TGTGTATTTACAGAAAGAGGGATGCAGGCTCAGCTAGTCACTACTTTCAAACAAACTCCAGGCCAGCTCTGGACAGATATAAACAGGGGTCTCCTGTGCAAGGTGTTCTGGCATTCCCCTTTCTGACCTGCAGATCTTGCAGCATGCAAGGCATGGCCACTGCCATACACCTCCCAAGGTATTCCAGCACGGGAGGGAGCAATTCAGATTCCATAAGCTGGAATCTGTATTCTGTTGCACCACCTCACTGTATTAGAAAGCATTTTGAGAGTGTACATTAGTCACATTAGGAAGGGCTACAGAAGGGACCAGGTTGAATCCCCAGCATCTCCAGGTAGGGCTGGGAGAGAACACTGCCTGGAATTCTGATGAGTTGCCACCAGTCAGTTCACAATATAAAAATTCAAAATACATAATAAAACAAAGACAAATCAATAAACCTCCATCCCACAAACAAATTTAAAAAGCCATTGAATGTTAATCAGCTGAATGCCTGGTTGAAGAGAAACATTTTCACCTGGTGCCTATATATAATAAAGGTGCCAGGCGAGTCTCACTGAGGAAAGCATTCTGCAAATGGGGAGCCACTGCAGAAAAGGCCAATTCTCCAGTTGCCACCCTCCAGACCTCTCTTGCATGAAGGGCCTCACATGATGATCTCAGAGTAGGTTAATATGGAGAGGCTGTTTTTGAGGTATTGCAGTCCTGAGCCATTTAAGGCTTTATATGTCAAAAACCAGCACTTTGCATTGGATCTGGAAACTAATTGGCAGCCAGTGCAGTCAGGCCAAGATTGGTGTAATATACTCAGATCATCTTGCGCTGATGAACAACCTGGCTGCCGGGGCTGTTATAACTTTGTGCCTGAAGCTGAATCTTTGTTGTTACAGTGGTACCTCTGGTTGCGAACAGGATCCATTCTGGAGCACCGTTTGCAACATGCGCAGAACGCAACCCGCGTCTCTGGGTTGCGAATCGCCGCTTCTGTGCATGCGTGTGACATCATTTTGAGCATCTGTGCATGCACGAGCAGCGAAACCCTCAAGTAACCCTTTCCAGTACTTCCGGGTCACCGTGGGACGAAGCAAATGTAACAAGAGGCATGACTGTACTTTGCTTCAGTAAAGATCCCTTTGTGTAACATGTGTGACTTGACAAAACGTTTCAGAGAGAAGGTGGTTTTGCACAAAGATCTGAATATAAACCAATCCTAACATCAGAAATCACAATTTAAGAAACACCCAGGTTACATCCTTAATATGTGTGTTAAAACCACAACTGTGGGGAACTGCTTCTCACTTAATAAACAAGGATGGCAGAACAGGATGCACTGGATTTTAACAATGTTCTTCCACACAGGCCTGTGGGCTGTCTCTGTGGCTGTCCATATAAAGTTGGAGCTCTACTTTCCCTCGAATATAGTTACATTTCAATTTCTGCAACAGTTTGTACAGAAAAGTGGCCAGCTACCATTTAACCTTCTCATTTACCCATTCTCTTTATGTACTCAATCCATTTTCTTCAGTGACTGCTATGTATTTAACTCTGGTTGTTTGCATCCTGTGACAATCATTTTAAGACTCAACCACTGATCTAAATGCATTAGCTCTTAAAGCCATATCCAGGGCTCTTTCCCCCCCTTTTTCTCTCTCGCTTCAGCAAAACCCAGCTTCCTGGTGGAACTCATATGCAGTGACAAAATAGGGGAGGATACATGTTTTTGGTAGCACAAGTAATGTAATACTGGGAAGAATGGGGAAAAAATGTGTGCAGTTCACATTTTCATGCAGACCTACCAAATTCACAGTTTTTGGACTAATAAGTAAACCGGAATACCTCTATTCTTTGAAATTCACACATTGAATTATGTGACTCAGTTCCCCAACCAAACCATTTACACAAAATTGAACAGGTTAGCGACAATACTGTATAAAACTACAACATATTGGGGGAAATCGCTTGCAGAAATGCAAATATTAAGCCAAATGATACAAATAAAAGCAAAAAAGACTACATATTGTGAGAAATTAACACAAAAAGTCACAATTTTTGTGCAGATTTTTAAAAAGAAAATTTTGTTTAACAGATGTGGAAATGGAGCATGGAAATTGAACACTGGCATGCATGGGCTTTCAAGCCTCAGAGGGATATTTCTTTTGCAGGTAGAAAGTAAAATACCTATTTCGCCTTGCAACAAATGAGAAAACAGCAAGAGGATTTATTATATTACATAACCAAATGTGACAGAGAACATGAAAGCACACCAAGGCCCATTTAATGATGTAGAAAGATCTGATGCATTTTTTGAAGTTAAATGGGACTGGACCTCCTCTGATCTGGATGGTAGCTTTTCAGAAGGAAAAGTGTGCTGTGAGTCTAATACCTTGCAATAATAATTTAGGTAGCTGTTTTGCTAAAATCCAGCTTTTGCTTAAATAATCCTTTTTGCCATGCAAAAGCATTCTTCTGTGACATTTACTGGATTACATATTTTGATGCCTGTACATAAAATGATTTAACAAGACCCCACACCACAAAAGTAAGGTACATGACAATGACATGTTGCAAAGTTCTGTGTTCTACAGATGCACATGTGAGGAACTGGGTGTCCTGCCTCCCACCCAAAACACAATACTGGGCATGTGTCAAGGTGATGTATGATGTAAACAGAAAAAAGTGAAACACACAAATATGAAAACTGCAGATAAGTTTAAAACTAAAACAATGCAAAATAGACAAGGACCTATTATTTCAGCTGAGACAGCCTATTGGAACAAAAATATCTTCTGGAAGTGCAGATAGTAGGTGCCTGTCCAATTTTGAAAGGGATGCTGTTTCACAGAACAGGAACGGCAACATAGGCAGATATTTGGGGGATTAGACCAAATATGCATCAAGTCCAGCATCCAGCTTAACCCAGTAGACAACCGCTTATATCCAGAAAGCCCACAAGCATGTCACAAAGATAAAAACCATCAACACCCTTATATGTCCCTCAGGGACTGGTGTTCAGAGGTATGTATACTGTTTTCTTTGAACACTACAGTGCCATTTAATTGTTATACGGAATGAACATTCTGCTGGATCAGTGTGCAGGAGATGTATAAAGGCAAATTCTGCCCTAGGGATCATTAGGAAATGAAGTGAAAATGAAAATGAAACTGCTGACATCATAATGCCATTCTATAAATCTATGGAGCAACCACATTGCATATACTGTGCAGTTTTGGCCAACTCGCCTCATAAAGGATATTGTAGTGTCAGAAAAGTTTCAGAAAAGGATAACCCAAATCATCAAGGGGATGGAGTGACTTTCCTTTGAAGAAAGGTTGCAATGTTTGGGATGTTTTAGTTTAGAGAAAAGGTAAGAGTAATATAAACGAAGCTGGGTGTTGGAAGATTCAATACAGACAAAAGAAAGTGCTTCTTCATAGGTAAAGGTAAAGGACCCCTGGATGGTTAAGTCCGGTCAAAGGTAACTATGGGGTGTGGTGCTCATCTCGCTTTCAGGCCAAGGGAGCCGGTGTTTGTCCACAGACAGCTTTCCAGGTCATGTGGCCAGCATGATTAAACCGCTTCTGGCACAGTGGAACAGAGAGCACGGAAATGCTGTTTACTTCTTCATACAGTGCATTCAGCTATGGAACTTGCTCCCACAGGAGACTGTGTCACCAACCTGGATGGCTTTAAAAGAGGACTGCACAAATTCATGGATGATAAGGATGGCGTGCTCTGCATTATGACTAGTCATGCTTCTGAATACCAGTTGCTGGAAGCCACAGGAGAAGAGAGGGCTCTTGTGCTTGGGTTCTGCTTGAGGCTGTCCTATGCTGGCTTGGATGGGCCATTGACCTGATTCAGCAAGGCTCTTCCTATGTGTTTATATCATTATCAAACCCAAAACACTGGTTCAGAACAATGCCAGAGCTCAGTGACAGAATATATACTTTGCAGGCATGCAAAATGCCTGAAGCTCAGAGAACAGGTTGCTAGACTAGATGGGCCTTTGGTCTGATTCAGCAGGGCTATTCTTACATTCTCTTTTGAAGGCAATAGCGCTCTCCCACTTTGTCCCTCTTAAAACTGGCATGCATTTACTTACCAAAGGGACCCCAAGCTTCTCCTGAAACACACTAATTTGTGGGGCCTATATGACAACAAAATACTCTGATCAGAAGCTTGAGACTTGTCAGCTCTAAAAGCTCCAGAGTCAGAATTAGGCGGTGGGGAGCCAGCCTTTTGGAGCACTCCAGCTTTTAAGGAGATAATAGCAACCAGTCACAAATCTTTTATGTAGCTGCTTTCAGAGCACAAATACTTTGAAACCAAACACAATCGGAAACTGACACTTTGCAGGCATAAGACGTCGGGGCAAGGTAGGTGGGTGGGGAGAAGTTTGATAATGCCACTCAGCCAGCATCATGAAAATTGGAATCCTGACAAAATTTACCTAGGCAATTCCCCCTTTATGAAAAGGGAAACAAAACAGAGATTATGAAAGGTTTCTTTTTCTTTTTTAAATTTGTCTAAGAAAAATGTTTAACAAGTGCCGGATGTGAAATCAATTGTTAAGAAGCTTTCATTCTCCACGTTTCATTTTATTTCCTTCTCTTGCGGTGACAGGCTGTCTTCCTAGACAAGGATCCCAAGCTTTAGATAGTGACACATAAGAGGAAGCGTTCAGACCAATTAAGCCCACAGCTCCGTCAAAGAAGCAAGAAAGCACCCCTGTTTCTCTGAGAGAGATTAATTGGGATACTGAACATGATTATTAAAATCAGGTTGGGGGGGAGGGGAGAGAATAAAAATCAAATAATGATGGTAGTGGGAGCCTACTTTATGTGACAGATGAATGACACCCAGGAAAGTCTTGGAAAGTAGGAAAACAGGAAGCTGCCTTATACTGAATCAGACCAACAGTCCGTCTAGTTCAGTGTTGTTTATACTGACTGACAGCATCTCTCCAGTGTTTCAGACAGGGAGATTTCCCCAGCCTTACCTAGTGATGCTGAGAGTTGAACCTAGGACCTTGTGCATGCAAAACATGTACTCTGCCACTGAGCTATCACATTTTATCATATACTGCAGGGGCCCAGGACTCAGAAAACTCCAACAGCCTTCGCATGTGGTACCCAGAAGTTTGAGCAGACCCTTGGCCTGAAAAAGGTTCACCAGCCATTCCTATGGCTGCTTAAAGACATTTTATTATTTAGCATCTGTTGCAAGCCACATTGAAAGGATCTCAGTTATAAAGTGACATATAAATATAGGAAATAAGCAAACAAGTAAGTAAAATAAATATTGGTTCCCACACAGACAGACTTGACTTTCACTATGTTTTGGAAAGTACCAGACAAAGCTGCTCTTCCAAAGAAGGGATTTTGTTTTCAATATTTTGTACAATATTATGTGGAACAATATTTTGTAGTAATTAAGGGATTTCCTCAACCCCCGCTTAAGCTGAGCACACTCCGTGAAACGAAAACACATTTTCAATTTGGGGAAAATAAAATGACTTTGGAGCCTGATTGTTAGCCATAAATTATCTGTCACAAACATTGGGTGGTTAATGTATTAATAGCCTTCCATCTACAGAATTGGATTTAGTATTCCTGTTTATTGAATTGATTTGCAAGCTGTTTACTCAGACTAGAAGAATAATTTGTGAATGACCAAGTCTGTGAGAGTCTAAATGAAAAGGTGGAAACTAATTCCATTAGTTAATCTGTGCTACTTCCTTCCTTCCTTTTCTTTCTCTTTCTTTCTTTCTAAATGCAATTGTCTCTGTTTTTATTTTTAAAAGATAAAACTGCAACATCTACACATTAATTCTCCCTTCCCCAACTTGGTGCCGGCCATGTCTTTTGAATTACAACTCCCATCACCCTTGATACTAGGTCATGCTGGCTGGTCCGATGGGATTTGTAGTCAAATCAAAGTTCCTTGCTCAAGCAAGAACTTCCAAGTTCACATTAAATTTTGTTTTAGGCAGAAGTTAATGGTGACACTACCTAGAAGGCTTCCAGCTCAGCCATTTACTTGAGGTTAATGGCTCCTTGCTCCAGACAAGTGGCAAATCATTCTTCTGCTGGAGAGAAAAAATGTACCGCAGGAAGTTCTCTGTCGCAATTGTAATTTGAATGAGCTGGGCCCATCTCTCAAGCCTATTGCATTGAACCAGATGACCCACTTATCACTTCCAGCTTTGCAGAATACCAGGATTCTATTCTGCTGCACTGACAGTTCAGAAAATATTTATATCTTTCCATGGAGAGTCATCTCCTCCTATTTTTCATCTCCATTGTGCTCTTAAAATAATTCATAAGCACCAAACGAAGGAAAGCATTTCTTAAAAAAAAGAAACTTTCCCAAGACTTTGCAAGAGACTCAAATACTTTCATGTATCTAGAAAAATCAAAGGGGGGACAGAACCCTGCTGCTTTCTTGACTTCACAATACATCTTCATTGATTCCAGTTCATTGTTTTTCCAAAGACTGACTAATCAAGTTGAGCATTCTCCTTCTGCAGATCTTCTTGACTGCAGCTTGCTCAACGGGACTCTGGCTGGCCTGCTGAGCACCAGAATTATCACGGGTCACACAGAAAGAGTTGCAGCCCATTAAAAGATGCATTTGCATCTCCTTTCTGGCTCATCTAGCATGCTGCAATATATATTGTTTTATGTGATTTGCAAGGCTTAAGGGCAGGGGGAGACTATTCTAAAGGAAATAAATTGGGGTTATATTTGAAGATGTGCTGTAATCGTTCCAGCATGGGGAATGCTTTGGTTTACTACGAGAGAAGGCTGCCCTTTGATCAACTATTTGGCCATACAGGATTTGACACCTAAAAGGAGTGTTACATGCCTACACTCTTGAATTTGGAGCCCTGAATAACAGGCACTGCTAACTTCCTACTCCCTGTGCTATGAGAATCAAGAGACCCAACCTCTGCAACTATCTGATCTATAGCCTATACAATTTGTTGGTGAGATGAACCATTAAGTTGTAACTTGCCTTCCTACTTTCTGACAATACGTTCTTCCTTTCTTGTCTATTTTCTGGCCCATACAGCCTTGTTATATATGGTCTGATCCTGCTACTACAGGTACTGCAGCCTTGGTTCTACAGGCAGTGCTACTGCCTTTAGAACAGAGGTCAACAAAGTGGCATTTGTGGACACAATGAAACCCTTGATAATGTTCCAATTCCTGTCCATACCACAGAATTCAGAGAAGTTTTGAAGGAGCTGTATTTTGCTTGGTTTGATATTTAGTAAATACCCACAGGTCCTGCTTTCTGAACATAATGTGTACCCAGGAAATTGTTTGTTAGGGGAGTGTTTGCATATCAAGCTGACAATTGCCATTGTTTCCTATATCTCTAATCTGTGATTTGTCTCATCTCTCACCACCCTTCTTGAAATGGCTGCAGTCAACCAGCAGAAGAGAGACAAAAGAAAAATATATATTTTTCTGATCTCTCCCTCCCTGCATGGTTTCTATCCTAAAATGTTTGGCACTGACAAGCAAAACACCAATAAGGAGGTGGACAAAGTCCAGCTTTTCGTTTTGACTGATTCTGCAGTGCATATAGTGAGGTTTGGGTACTAATTTCTTGTGTTCTGATAAATGAATTTTTGCATAGTGAGCTCTTGGAAAGCAACAGAAAGGGGACAAATTTCTCCCCAGGCCCTACAAGATTCACATATTCTGGCCAGCCTCATCACTTCACTTGTTTTGAATTTTCTACATCACTATCTACAACACTATGAAGAAGCAGCAAATTGAAGCCAAGAAACATAAAGCATAACTTTTGCAACATCCCATGAAGATAAAGAGCCCCTCCAGGTTACTTGTTTATTGATCATCCATCCTGATTTTCTTGCACAAAGATCACACAGAAGTTGCATTATATCCAGTATTTACTGAGCATGCATCCTGATTTGTTGGCAGGGTGGTTATAGAACAATCAGCATTTGTCCTGCATTCATCCTGATTTGCTTGTAAGGGTTTTTAAACCTTCCCATACATTCATCTCACAAGTTCTATTGCATTTCCCCATCACTTTCCAAACCACAAAATGTCTTTCTTTCTTTTTCTTTTCTTTTTTAAAAAGTGGATTTATTGTGCTAGGATGACAAAGTTTTTAAAATCCACTTCAAATGCACAAACATAAAGGTCTGGTATGTGATTGAATCACTCAGACAAAATGTGACAGTCTGGAAGCAATCACAAGTTAAAAGGGAGAGAGAGAGAGAGAGAGAGAGAGAGAGAGAGAGAGAGAGAGAGAGAACAACATGGGCACACACTCACACACAAATACATTGCATGGAGACTTACCTGGTATGTGGCCATTGCTTCTCTGTCCAGAGACCGTGTCACAAGGACCTCTCCTGTGCTCTCGACAATTTTGAAAAATCCCTTTGGCTCCTGGTCCACACCTTTCCCAAAAATCCGAAATTTGGAGCCCTCTGGTCTGTCATTGTCTACCACCTGTATGAAGCAAACACAGTAGTGAGGATACAAGCCAAGGAAGCAGCAAAAAGGAATTAGGAACAATTTATCATCTTGTAGCATGCCTATATTATGATTCCTACACCCCACATAGCTACAATTCCCAAAGTAGTTTAACAATCAATCCCTCTTCCTAGGGTAGTATTGGAACTGTAGTTCTGTGAGGGGAACTCACAACTCTCAGCACTCTTAACAAACTGCAGTTCCCAGGATTCTTTGGAGAATCCATGACTTTTTAAAGTGACATGATACTGCTTTAAATGTATAGTGCAGATGGGGCCTCATGTAAGGCAAGAGACAGGTCTAGGTAACAGCTGGGGTTTATGTTTTCAGCAATGGAGATCAGGACATTGCTTTCCCTGCCTTCCCCCAGAATCCTAGGTGTAACCTGATGCCAACAGAACCTAGCAGACACTAATTCGATGTGCCCCTTCCCTGTTTTTTTTTTGGGGGGGGTGAGTGTGTGTGTGTGTGTGTGTGTGTGTGTAAGAGAGATTTGCCATCAATGTTAGCTGCCAGTTAAACAATAATAATGGCTCTTGCCATGTCTCTTTAAAGATGTTCAATTCAATATAAGTTTATTGTTCTAGCCAATGACCATGACAAACCTGCAACAACAGTAGCAATAAAACAATACAGTTCATCTATCCATAATATGAGGCAACATTCATGATGTAAGAAATATTGTTTCCTCTATATATACAATGGTGGTGCTGGCTATTATTATTCATAATATTTCTTACCCACCCATGTGAGGGTAAAAAGGTGTGTGTGCAGCATCCAATGAGGCTACATCATAAAGGTCCCAGGTGTGCCTCTGGGGAGAGGGAATTCTACAGCTGCTACAGATAATGCCTTCTGCTGGAAAACCATCCCCTTAATATCTGAGGGTGGTAGTGGCACTGCCAAGAAGGAAATAGTGCAAAGTGTACAGTTGCTGCATTTTGGGTCAAGCAACGCCACCGGTTCTCACTGGAAACTGGAGAGTTGTTCAGTTCACTAAAACAAAGAGGGAATTCTGCACATGGTGTCAGAAGTGAACAGCAAAGCTCTTCCACATGAGAGAGCTGCGATCACTTCAGAGGACAAAGGAGTTTGTTTTCAGGAAGTCCAGGTTCTGACTGCTGTCCACAGCACCCTCTCAACATTTCAAGGCCTCATCTACACTATACATTTAAAGAACTCTGATACTGCTTTAAACAGCTATGGTTTCCCCAAAGATTTCTGGGAGCTGAAGTTTTTTTTTAAGGGTGCTGAGAATTGTTAAGAGAACACTATTCCTCCTCACAGGAGTATGATTCTTATGAAGAAAGTATGATTGATAAACCATTCTGAGAGCTGTAGCTCTGTGAGGGGAATAGAGGTCAATCAAAGTGCTCGGCACCCTTTATATACTACAGTTCACAGAAATATTTGGACGAAGCCATTATTATTATTAAAGTGGTATCATAGTGCTTTAAATGTATGAAGTGAATGTGGTCAAAGTGAGTGCTTCAGAAGACAAAGGAGTTTGTTTTCCAGAAAGTCATTCTATTGCTCTGAAGGACAGTCATTCAGATCCCCCTGAAAAGCTTGCTGTTGCCTCTAGTCATTCTCCCTCCAAATTTTGCAAATAAAGTTAACATTAAAAAACCCTCCTAGATATGGTTCAGAACAAAACACCTGCAATGAAAACTAAGCACAAGAGTCAAGATCCAATTATGTCTGCCCATCCCTGAGTCTATCCTTGCACCTGCTCTTTTAAAGTCTGGAATGACGACATTGACAATTACCCAGAAGAAGGTCTTTCTAAGTTGATACTTTGTTTAAAGTTTAATTAGCCACAAGAGGGAGCTACGTACTCCCAAAAATGACAGAAATGTGGACCTCTTCTAATTGAGGTGACATTCATATATAATTCCACATTAAATAGACAGGACTTATCCCAAAGAATTCTGGGAGTTGCAATTTGTTAAAGGTGCTGAGAGGTGTTAGGAGGCCCCCACTCCTCCCAGAAAGTTACAATTCTCAGAATCCTCTGTGAATAGGAAGTGATTGTCAAACTGCTCTGGGAATTGTAACTCCGGGAAGGGAATAGGAGCCTTCTAACAACTCTCAGCACCCTTAATAAACCACAGCTCCCAGAATCCTTTGGGGAAAACCATGATGCCTATAGAATGTTGACACAATTCAAAATGTGTGCTCCTTTGGTTGAGGTCCCTTCACCCACCCCCAATAAATTATTTGAGGGGGCCACCCTACCCCACCCCCAAAGTTGATGGGCATTGCCATTCAAATGGTGTGCGCGCACACCATATCATGTGATCAATTATGTGGGACGGGGCTTATCTGCTCCCACAGTGTGTTGGCACTCCTGTTTTGATAACACCGAAGAATGTAGAGTTGTGGGGGGATTGGCAGAAATCAAAATGCCATGTTTTTGAGGGTCCAGGTAATAGTAACCTGTGTGGCATAGTGGTTAAGGTGTCAAACTAAGTCCTGAGGGACTAGGGTTCACATTCCTCCTTGCCCATGATGCTCACTGGGTGACCTTGGACACCAGCTCTCGGAGTAGCCTACCACACAAGGATAGTATAGCGATAGGGAGAGGCATGTATATCACCCTGAGCTCCTCTTAGGAAAAGCAAGATATAAATGAAATAAATAAGAGAGCAACACCATTCTGGCATCTTTAGAACATTTCATCAAATGGTATCCAATGCTGGCCCTACACAGAGTAGAGACATTGAAGCTAAAGGACATTAGCTGCAATGGGTCTACTCTGAGTAGGGCTTAGTTGGCCACAGTCCATCTCTGTTTCTTCATCATCATTATCCCAGTGTATCATCATCATCATTTTATTTGTATGCCGCCTTTCCATAGTTGAAACAATGCTCAAGGCGACTTACAGCATGACAAGATTTACATATTCACCAACTTAATGAAGGTCATAAACAATAAATAAAACACATCAGAAAGTACACAACGAAATGGAAAACAGTTTCCACATAATTCATAAAAGCTAAAAACTAAGAATACAGCATTAATAGCAATCACAATCTAAAATGACATAGATAAAAAATAAAAGCAATTTTAAAAAGAAAACAAAAACGGAGCCCTCTCTGCCCAGCAGCAGCAGCAGCAGCACTCCTTTATGGAGCCTGTCAGGCCCCGCCCCAAGCCAGGTGGAGAAAACAAACCCCATTTCTTCCCATAATTCCCATTGCAATGATTCTTTTCCTGCACTCCCTGATTTTCTGCCTTCCAGATGTTTTGGACAAGAATTCCCTTCATCCTGGATCACTGGCCATCTTCTCTGGGGAAGATGGGAATTGTAAGCCAAAATATCTGGAGGGCACCAGTTTACAGGTGGCTGTTCTGTGCCATGATGTGCCATTGCTCCAATGGGACTTACGGGGGGATTATAAGGTGCCCCCCCAGCCAAGAGAAGTTACATTGCTTCCACAAAATAAACTATGAAAAATCTGGGCAGGGGTTGGTTTTGGCTCCTTGCCCATTTTGCCCTCTCTAACACCCCCTGTGAATAAATGTTCTTGTGAGATTCAGGCCTAATTCAAATCTTCTGAACAGGAAAAGGAGCACTTCTGAAGCAGGAAAAGACTGCATCCCTTGAGGTTTCTCCATAAGGGAAATCAAAGCTAAGGCAAATGGCATTCGAAAGCTGATAAACTCCTACAAGCAGTATAAAACAAATGGGCAACTATACTTAGAAGTCCCTTACACTCAGTGAATTCTGGCCAGAAGAAATTCACCAACACCATTTTTCAACTGGTGTTACCATGTCCCTTCCAGCTAAGCTCATTTCAACAGTATGATCCCTCAGCTGTTCTGATCTTATCACAGAAGTAAATCACAGAGCGTTTTCCAAGGAGTGAGAAAGAAATAGATAAGTGGACCCAGGCGGAGGGAACATCAGCCCACAATATCCCCAGGAGAGGATTTGTGTGTGTGTGTAGTTTTATAACCACAACAATTTTGCTTTTGACAATATTATTCCAGCTTAGCAACCACAGAGGTGATGTTACTTAATAACTGTCTATCTCCCCCCCCCCAAACTCCAAGTATACCTGCACATCCTTTAGTCTCAGAGGCAGGTATGTGGTTGCACTCAAAATAATTTTCCATTTCCCAACACAAAAGTACCTGGATTTTAACAGAAACTCTATACCAAGGGTATCCAAGATGGTGTACTCCACATGTGCCCACTATAAGTTCCATCAACCTTAGGCAGTATGGTCAGGGATGATGGGAATTGTAGTTCAGGTACCACATTGATTACCCCTGCTCTACACATTCCAGGCACCCACATCATCTCGTTCAATTGTAAGACTCACAACCCCCTCAAAGAATCCTGGGAACTATGGTTAGTTAAGGGTTTTTTAAAAATTCTCAGCACCCTTAACACACTACAGTTCCCAGACTTCTTTCAGAGAAGTCATGGCTCTTAAAGTGATACAGTGCTGTAAGAGTGTTTTAGATGCATGGTGGGGGGTGACCTTAAGTCTACACAGTATAAATTAAAAACAACATTCGCCTACTTGACAGGGTTGGATTATATACTATATATTTATTTGTTCTGGAGATTTCTATCCCTGTTCCCAGTGTATCTGTACCCTCACAAGGCAGCTTACATTTGCAACAGCAAACCATAACAAAAAGTATTATAAATATAATGAGAAATATTGTTGTGTGTGTGTGTGTATAAAACAAAGGGTGGCTGGGGAGACCCAGCCAGATGGGTGGGGTACAAATAATAAAATTATCATTGAAATTATTAAATGTATCAACAATCCCAGATGATTTTAAAAAAATCAAATAGCACAGAACATCAGTGCTAAAAAGGTGTTTAAAATATCAGCATAAACAGAGCTCAATAAAATTATCCAAATGCAGATCAAAAGGGGGGGGGGAGCCCTTAAGCACCTTCTAAGAATCAACAGCAAAGGAGCAATGTCCATTTCCCTGGGAAGGCACTCCAGCAGTGTGGGGCCAACCCAAAAAGGGTCCTGCCTATGGTGTGCTCCAACCAGACAGCTTCTGTGGCGAGTCAAAGATCAGGACCAAAGAAACTGAACTCAAAGGTATCCTTCATGTGGGTATTATATAGGTATCCGTCAGATAGCCTGGTCCCCAACAGTTTAGGGACATAAAGGTCAGTTCCAGCACCTTAAATGGGGTCTGGGGGAAAATTGGCAGCCAGTGGTACCACCACAGAAGAAGTGTAATGCAGTCCCAATGCCAACATGCATTTCAGCTGCCACATTCTGCCCTATACGAAGTGTCCAAAACATCTTTAAGTCACATTACAGTACTCTGGCGTGGATGTAACCAAAACATGTAATTCAAAAAGAGATAAATAGATACAGAACAACAATCATGTACACCTCCTTTCTCTTGAACATAATTTTTTCAGGAATCCAGCAGTACAGATTATGAATGTGTGTGTGTGTGTGTGTGTGTGTGTGTGTATTTGCAGTGCACTTTTTTGGTTTTGGTTGTGTGTTTCTTTACTGTAATAAATGTTTCCTTTTTTCTGACAGGCAGAAAAGTTGCACACTAGCAAATAAACAGGCACAATTTAATTCAGCAAAGAAAACTAAGTCTGGCTCTTAACTTTTTGCTATATTTCCTTTTGCAGGTTTAATTAGTCCCCCCCCCCATCCTCTATTTGATGTCAAATCCCCAAGGGTCAATTTTAATTGGGAGATGCATGTGACTAGAAATGCTGCTCTAATTTTACTATTTTAAGTGCAGAATAATAATAATAAAATGAATATCTGCTGGGCAATGCAGCTCCTCAAAGCGTTGCTGTGGTTTCCTGCAGGCTTTAGGGCTATATATCCAACAGAGACGGGCCAAGACACATTGATGCCTCAGGCAGAAAATCAAAATGGCGTTCCCACAACGGTAATAAACAAAATAATTGAGAAGATGCTGCTTTTTCACAGCACCCCATAACCGTGGCGGCTGGTAACCACCGAAGCTGGTGGGACAGAACAGCTAATGGCAGGCAGAGTCAACTTATTCTGGCTTTCTTCCCATCCTCCTCCCTTGCAAGGAATATAGGAAGCACTTAAACAGTTATCAGACAAAAGCATCAGAGGGCACCTAGGATTTTACATTTCATGGGGCTGGCATCAAATACCTAGATAGACTTGTCATTTTTCAGTTCTACTTATACCAACAGGGGTGAACAGAAAAGACTCTGGGGAGTTATCTGAATGATAAGTTATTTATGAGTACAGTGGTACCTCGGGTTACAGATGCTTCAGGCTACAGACGCTTCAGGTTACAGACTCCGCTAACCCAGAAATAGTACCTCGGGTTAAGAACTTTGCTTCAGGATGAGAACAGAAATCGTGCAGTGGCAGTGGGAGGCCCCATTAGCTAAAGTGGTGTTTCAGGTTAAAAACAGTTTCAGGTTAAGAACGGACCTCCAGAACGAATTAAGTTCTTAACCCAAGGTACCACTGTATGACTGAGGAGACACTAGACTGTTGGGCTAAAGCTTTGCATTTTAGGGTGCAGAAATGGTGACTGAATAAAGACATGCATCACTTATTTACTGCATTTATATCCCATTCTTACGTTTGGGGGATGGACAGGTGGTGTGATGTGCATGCCTTGAATGCACGTAAATGGGGAGTTTCCTGCATTGCAAAACTCAGTGAACAGCACAATTCATAGGAAAACTGCATTCCAGTCTCCATATTAGTTCAGGAAGTAAGTGCAAATTAGGTCAGCTCATTTTTAAATGCAGATTGAACAAAATTCTCCAGCTTCCCTAGAGGTATTTTGAAGTTTACAGCACAGCTGCAGCTAGGCCTTCTTGCAACACATTGTTATTCTTGTTGCAAATGCAGCAGAATTTTCTCCATGAAGTTCAAAACAGAATATATGGTTCTCCCTTCCAACTTTCCCAAAGTTATCCTCATAGCAACCCTGCAAGGCAGGTTAGATTGAGTGAGAGCTTATGATTTTCAGGGGGTTGGACTAGATGACCCGTGGCTCCCTTCCAACTCTAAGATTCTATGATTCTATGAATACCATACTTCTTCTTGTCCCTCTGCATTCCCCCCGAGGAAAACCATCCTTTAGTGTTCAATCAAAGCAAATGAGCAATTCAGGTGTTCACCAGATTGAAGTTTGCACCATTTTAGAGATAAGGAGTAGGCTTTCCCTGGGAAAGGAGAGGGGCAAAGGGAAAACTGTTTAGTCCAAGGAGAATGTGGATGAGCCCCAAGAGAGGGATTGGTCAAAATTCATCCAGTGAGTTTCATGCCTGAGTATAGATTGACAATCTGGCCTTCCTGTTCCAAATCTGCATGTGTATCTGTGCTAAGTAATGCTCATTTCGATTTGAATCTGAATACAATCCATCGCGGGTGGCTCTGTGGTCTAAATCACTGAGCCTCTTGGGCTTGCAAATCAGAAGGTTGGTGGTTCGAATCCCCGCGACGGGGGGAGCTCCCGTTGCTCAGTCCCAGCCCCTGCCAACCTAGCAGTTCGAAAGCACATTAAAGTGCAAGTAGATAAATAGGTACCGCTCTGGCCGGAAGGTAAACGGCGTTTCCGTGCGCTGCACTGGTTCGCCAGAAGCGGCTTAGTCATGCTGGCCACATGATCCAGAAGCTGTATGCTGGCTCCCTCGGCCAGTAAAGCAAGGTGAGTGCTGCAACCCCAGAGTCGTCTGCGACTGGACTTAACTGTCAGGGGTCCTTTACCTTTACAATCCAATTAAAATCAAAACAGTAGCCATATCCACATGTGAATTTTCATTGCCTCATTTGCAGCAATGCTCAATAATCTGCACAGATATCCAAGGCCATGGAGTAGTACTAATCTACACACATGCCAAACACTTTTTTGTTGTTGTTGCTGCACTATTAGGGTTTGCAAAGTTTGTGGTTCAAAAAAATTACATGAAAACCAACATAAAGGTCAACGCCTTTTGCAATGCAAAATTTGTGGGATGCAAATCTCACAAGACCTTCACTATTTGATTTATATTTCACCTTTCCTCCAAGGAGTTCATATCAGCTTACATGTGCCCCCCCATTTTATTCTCACAACAGTGACTGGGCCACGGGTACACAATGAGCTTTATGTCCAAGTGGTGATTTGAACCCTGGTCTCCCAGGTCCTAGTCCAATGCGCTAACCATCCCACTGCATAGCTTGCATGGGTATTTTGGTGGGGAGTTAAACCTGCATTTCTTTAGCATTTATAAACTAGCGAGGATAACAATGCATTTATCTAATCATATAGCTCAAAACCCAAAGGGAAGAAAAAATCAGAAAATCTCTACAACAGACCATAGCATTTTGAAAATATAAGCCTTGGAAAGCTGCTTCTGACATAATGTTAAGACCCAGGTTCAAATCTCAGGTAGGATCGGGCATGTTGTTATCTCTATGCCACATCGTAAATCTACTTTAACAAAATTGTCATGAGGATAAATACACCGAGATGAGGATAAGTCCTTGATGTAGGACAGATGGAGGACAGAAATACTTTGGAGGTATTAACATGCATAACAGTGCCTTATTTTGCCTTCACATTCCTAATCTTGCATCTCCAAGTCAGACAGGTTTGTTGAATGAGGACCACAAAATTAGAAACCTGAAGGATCACAGCTGTGTGTGTGTGTGTGTGTGTGTGTGTGTGTGTGTAAATGACAGAATTCATCCTCTCCCAATGACTTCACTACGGGCAATCAGGTCCTGACTCCAACTGTTTCCGACAAGATATGATTCCTAATAACATCATCCCACACAAAACTTCATGCGGCATAGAGAGGTGGGGTTGGGGTAGGGAGAAAGGTGAGAAGAAAATCCAGAGTACTTGATATAATTTCTCAAATGAATCTCTCATAATTGAAATCATCTTGGATCTAGCTTATTACATCTAGATGCTTTACTTTTGCAGGGAAACACTTAGCACCCGGTTCCCATATGTAGCTTATAACCCACAGATCTAATTATAGATTTTTCTCAGTTACCAGTTCCCTAGGAAACAAATCCATGGCTCATGTACTGAAGGTCATGGGAGGAAGATTTTCCCCCACCCCCATGTATAAGTAACTTATCTAGAGGTCACAGGTCTGGATGGTGACAAGATAATGACACTACTGTCAAGGACAGACAGCTGGTCCACTGGACCAATTTAACACCTTGAACTTTTAAATCTTGTAAGCCCTTAATACTTTAATTATTAATTAAAACACCTACTTTTTTTCTTGCAATAAAGAGAGGAATCCAATGAGGGTTTTTTTGGGGGGGGGTGCACATTTTTCTGGTTACAAAGTAAGGAACAAGGAGAAACCAATGTGAATATCTAAAAAAACAGGAAGGGATGGCATGCCTGATAGGTTATCGTGCGATATTTATTCAGAAATTGTCCCTGCACTTCAGCTTAAAATGGCAGCACATCCAAGCGTTTTAATCAATAGGCTTTGTGGTTGCTGCTCTTCCAGAATGGGAAAGATGGATAAACAGGTGTGGTGCTTGAAATTTATTCTGCATTGCTCTTAAGGTGATTGCATTGTAACACCAAGAGGCACACAGACAGTGGCCAATGGAAGATTGAATTATAAAACAAGCAGCAGGCAAAATAGGACATGTCTAGAGATGGAATCTGGAACCAAGACAGCACTGACAGGGCAGTTTATTCTGTTTCCCTAACTGGTAATTTATTCATTATATTTGGGCTTTCACATGTGCAAAAAGCAGTTTTGGAAACCTAGCAGCACATGAGGGAAGTTTAACACTCATTTCCATGTGCAATCGATTCCAGAAATCTTCTGTTTGTAACCCCGTGGACCCAGAAAATGGGGGGAGTAAAGTGATGAAATCTGAAGCAGTTCTTTTCTGCCATTTTAAGGGGAAACAGAAGGATGCAGGTACAGCAGCAATGTTGTCCAAGGATGTTCATGGTTGTATCGTACCATGCCCACTGGGGTGAATGAAATTTAGCATGACATGGTGGTACATCGATTAAAAAAACCTCACAGTTCCACAACACAACAACTACTGCAGTGTGAAAAGAATGTTAGAAAACTAGCAGAAGGATTATAATTACTAGTATTAGAATCAGGAAAACTAACACAATATTACCCTCATCTGAATGCACCCTAAATGTGTGGAAGAGGTGTTGATGTTGGTTCTGATCCTGATATTCACATGTTGACTAGCTCATCTATATAACGTGTGCAAGCATTAAATTAATACCCTCACTGTATGAAATCTATAGCCTGCCAATATTCAGGGTGCATATGCACACATAGTTTGTGAGTTACAGAATAGGTTGATGCATGGAGAGCAGAAGTGGGATCTTGCCACTATCCTGTAATAGTGCCACTGTATTCTGCTCTGGTCAGACCTCACCTGGAGTACTGTGTCCAGTTCTGGGCACCACAGTTCAAGAAGGACACTGACAAACTGGAACGTGTCCAGAGGAGGGCAACCAAAATGGTCAAAGGCCTGGAAACGATGCCTTATGAGGAACGGCTAAGGGAGCTGGGCATGTTTAGCCTGGAGAAGAGGAGGTTAAGGGGTGATATGATAGCCATGTTCAAATATATAAAAGGATGCCACATAGAGGAGGGAGAAAGGTTGTTTTCTGCTGCTCCAGAGAAGCGGACACGGAGCAATGGATCCAAACTACAAGAAAGAAGATTCCACCTAAACATTAGGAAGAACTTCCTGACAGTAAGAGCTGTTCGACAGTGGAATTTGCTGCCAAGGAGTGTGGTGGAGTCTCCTTCTTTGGAGGTCTTTAAGCAGAGGCTTGGCAACCATATGTTAGGAGTGCTCTGATGGTGTTTCCTGCTTGGCAGGGGGTTGGACTCGATGGCCCTTGTGGTCTCTTCCAACTCTATGATTCTATGATTCTATGTTCCACCAGCTTTCTCTCAGGAACAGCCTATAACCAGATGAGATCTTTGAGGAGGAAAATAACCCTATCACCTGTTCTAGTACACACAGAGTTCAAGGGGAGTCAGAAGATACAGACCACCACCACCCTAATAACACCACCTGGGAAGATACCCTGCTTGAGGTGGGGGTGGGGGGCAATCCATATGCCCTTACTGGTGCCACTACCAGATCCAAACCCTCCAGGATCTCCAAATGGGTCCTATCTCAGAAGCAGAGACAGTGGTAGTGCCTGAGTAGAAGACCAATATCAGAGAGATGGTCCCGTATTTAACACATCACCTTCCATCCCTTCTCATGAGGAGGAAGCCAGATGACTTCCATGGTCTGTAGATCAGAGCCTTCCTGAGTGTCATAAGCCCAGTGGAGATGTCATGGAAGGGATGAGTGGATTCTGAGGTGGAGGAGGAAGATGGAGGGAGTTGGAGAGATGACCAGGGGTAGAGTCTGAGAGGGATGAGGGGGTCAAAATTATGTCTGAGCTGGAGAAGGGGGCCAGTGGTCCAAAGTGTCAGGAGCTCGGTCCTGAGGAAGGTTCAAGTGGGTTGTCATAGATGTGTCCCACCCCTGTGATAAGAGACACCTTTAGTCAGACACCTCAGGAAGGGCCACTGCCAGTCCCTCCTATCACTCCTGTCAGTTAGCAGCAGCCTCGTGGGGAGGCACCTGAGAGTAAGTCAGATACTGTGCCAGCACCTCCATCGTCAAGGACATGGTGTTGCCAGCGCTGGTGCAAACAAACTTCACAGGCCCAACCCATTTGCAGAGTGCATGTCCAGAAGTGCTTTCCCAGACCAGAGATGCCTGTCATTTGCCACACTAAGGCTTGTGCCCACCCTGCTCTTCAAAAGGAAGAGGTAGGGGGCATGAAGCTTGTTGAGTCAGCATTTCTACTGGAGCTTAGACATGCAATTCACCTGCTGTGCCTTTAGCTCTTGCCTTACCTATGTATTGCTCAGATTTAAGCTCCAAAGAATTTGGCAGAAACAGAAACCCGAGTTCACGTTCTTCATCTGGCTATGAGGGCAAGGACACTGACATGCCAATGAAAAGTTGGCAGCAGAGCCAAGCAGTTCAATTCATTATTTATTTATTCATTCCATTTCTACCCCACCTTTTTCTTTAAGGAGCTTCAAGTGGTGTACATGGTTCCCCCCCTCCTCATTTCATCCCCCAAACAACTCTGTGAGGCAGGATATGCTGAGAGGCAGTGACTGGCCCATGCTTCATGGCTGGGTAGTAATTTGAACCGTGGTCTCACAGGTCATAGTCTGACACTCTAACCACTAACCACTACACCACACTGGCTCACCTACACCAAAGTGCTGAAGCAACACCTTATCCCAGTGAACTTCCCCTGAAACCTTTGCTGGATGATACCTTAATCCCTGACTTACTGAACAGTTTCCTTGTCTCACCAGTAAGGCAGAATTTTGAAGCAGTGATCATGGCAACAATAAATGACCCTTATGGATATATGCAGTTGTCAGTGACATTTGAACCCCTGGACCACTGCACTGTCTGCATCCAAGAAAGCAATGGCCATTTTCGATTTGCTACTGCAAACCTGATTAATATTCACCCAAACAGCATGGTGTCACAAGACCACATCCCTATGTGAAGTGACTTGGTAGCAAAAAGCAAGTTTAAGAGCCCAAATTAGGTCAACTCTGTATCATAAAAATTTCCACCCCTTTATATATCATATCCCTTCTCATTTTCAAATCATTTGTAATATAAATAAATGCTCACTTTTGCTGCTCTAAAACACTATTTAATTCACATCAGAGAGTCGTACTAAATAAACATTTGCTAGCTAAAAAAAACATTAAATCAGTAAACTCATTCACATTAAATTGGTTTTAGTGAATATTAAAAGGCACTTTATGTTGATATGATGTTAGAAATATGCTGCCTGGTTTTTAATGCTATTATTTACAGTCAGTAATGGGAAGGGTTGTAATACTGAATATTAAGCATGCAAGAAACCGTAAGTCTTTGATGAAGCAAAAGGTGGAGTTCTGTATTTTATCTGTAAGTACATTTAGTTATGAATTCCAGGGCTGGGGAAACTGTGATCCTTCAGATCTTGCCAGAGCCTAGTTCTGGTATCTTAAAGCGCTGGAATCATATCATAAGAACCTAAGAGGCTTGCTGCATAAGGCCAAAGGTCCATCCAGTCCAGAATCCTGGCCTCACAGGTGCCTATGGGAAGCCCACAAGCAGGAACCAAGTACAACAGCACTGTCTGCACTTAACTGGTTCACAATCTACAGACCCTTTCGGACAGAAATAACTTGGCCCTCTACTCCATGCTCTTCCAGGTTAGATTATTTCATTGTGCTCTACATGGGGCTGCCCTTGAAGATGACTTGGAAACTTGAAATGGTCCATAATGCTGTGAGATTATTGACTGGAGTTCTCACATTTAAAACACCTGCCTTGGTTGCTGGTTTGTCACCAGGCCCAATTCAAGATGTTCGAAGCCCTAAACAACTAAGGCCCCAAATATCTGAAAGACCACTTCATTCCCTTGGGTGTTCCACCAGCCTTTGAAGCTTGGAGGTGGTGTGGCCTGACAGATGGCTTGCTATGTGGCAGTCCCTAGAGAGGTGTGTCTGGCATCTTCATTATACAGCGTTTGATGAATTGTGAACACGCAGCTATTTTGATACCTGGAATTAATATTTTTAGGACCCATTTCACTTTTGTGATTGTAAGTTGTTTCAAACTGTTTTTAATATTGTGCTTTAATGTTGCAACCTATGGGATTTTCATCATCATCCCTGCAGGGATGCTGTCTACCTGTTCAGCATGCAACATTGGACCCAAACAGTTTGTGGCAAAAGGCAGCGTACATCTATTGTAATCTCTAGATCAAGGAGCGGGAGCATTTTCAGCATGAGCTCGGCAAACCTTCATGAGGTCTGCAGGCCAGGGTTGGGTGTGAGTGATGCTAATGCAAAAGTGAGCAAGGTGCTCTCCTATACGCTAATGTCCTACACACTCATTCTTTAGTTATGTCAGGGAATTGAGCCAGAACTGGAAATGGGAGTGGAAACTTCCCTTACTACTTACTACTCCCATGTCTGGAACAGAAATCCAGGGAATGTGATTAGTATTGCTGTGGCTTTCTATCTCCCCAAAACATATATAATTGCTTGCAGTTCCCAACCCCCATTTTGCATTTAATGTAAAAAAATTTAAAAGGCAGAAAATGAACTGCAGTGGAGTGGAAACAGTGCTGCATGTGACAAATGCAGAGTACCATTCCCTACCATTCCTACATATGCATGCATAAGCACACACACACACATACTTCCTTTCTTACACATCAACAAACACACACACATTTATTCACAGTCTTACAACACCCTCCTAGTATCTACTCTATTTCAATGTCCTACATTTAATTCTCCAAATCTCTGCATCAGTTGTTGTTGTTGTTGTTAAAACCCATCAGCATTTTAGAGCATATTTCTCCTAATATACTCCCTGTTGTATTCAATTTTGCTAGAAATATTTTTTGTGAAGCATTCCCTTTAATATAATGGAGGGGTGTTGGGGGTCATTTTCATCAATATATGCACATTCATGCACACTTTACCTAATATATGCATTACTGTGTACATTATTTGGGGAACTGCATCACAAAATTTGGAGAGGTGAACATTTTGAAGGAGAGCTGAGCTTTGGATCACAAGTTGTTTCAGGAAGTGGGTAGGTTCTCATTTAAATCTGAACCACATCAAACTCCTCCCTATCCCTAGCAATCCTTTAAGAGGCTTCTCTCAGAACTTCCTACCACACGGAGTAAATATAGGCAATGTGTTTTCAATTGTTTTCTGCCTTCCCCTTCCTCTTTTAAATAAACCTTTTTATTTAAACTGATTCTGAATTAATGAGAACTTCCGAAGCCCTATAATGCCCTAACATGAGGGCTGGAATAATTGCTCACTACAACGGACAGCACTTTCTCGCTCCTAATTCTTCTATGCTCATTTCTCCAGAGATAAAGGCTCAAAATCCACAATAAATCTCAAGATTATTAGCCCCTCTAATGTTATGGCAGAAAACTCTGCTCTTTACTATGGCTCCCCCCCCCTTCTTCTTCTTCTTTTTACTTTCGCACTTGGGAAAGATTAACATTGTACCTTAATTAAGGCTCCATTCTTTTTAAAACACACATAATACAATGGTCTTCTAGACAATGGGTTCATACCAATAAAAGCCACTTTCAGATAAACCAGGGGTAGGGAACCACTGGCCCGCAAACCTGGTTGCACTCTCTTAAGTCTCCTCATTTAGCCCCTGATGTCCCTGCTCCCACCCTTGTATAAAACACATGGACTGCTGGCTATGAAAACCCCTGAAAGATGTATAAAAGAAATTGACACATAGTCTTAGCACCACTTCAGACTGTAGGTTGCACAGCTCAAAAGGTACATCAGCAAAGCCTATGATTGATTGATTGATTGATTGATTGATTATTTGATATATTTATAGCCTACCTTTGTTCTCCAAGGCACTCAAGGTGCTGTACATGGTTTTACCCCCTCTCCCTATTTAATCCCCACAACAAACCTGTGAGGTAAGTTAGATTGAGTGACTGGCCCAAAGCCACCCAGTGAGCTTCATGGCAGAGTGGAGTTTTGAACCCCATTTTCCCAGCTCTTAGTCATGTCCAGACAAAAGCAAAGATATTGTCCCAACTCCTGACACTTCCCCCGCCACTGAACTTCTAAAATGTGATATGGGCCTAGTCATTTTTATGGTTCTTGTTCCAAGTGTGAAAACTTTGCCCACCTCTGAGCACTCGCAGGGGCTGAGATCTACATCTGTTCATGCCTGTGCTGAAGGTGGTAGATCCTTGAAGATTGGACTCAAGTCCAGCCCTCTGGTTCTCCCTCCACCTCTGATCGAGTCAGTTGTACCAATTGGCCAGCTGGCTCCTCAGCTACCAAGTGAAGCTTGCTTTCAGGAGGATGGGTCGAGACTGACTTGGCCAGCTGCCCCTCCACTTCTGAGACATGTAGCAATCCCACAACATCACCTTTAGCAACATTTGACACCACCCCCAGCACTTGCTCTAACTTCCCAAAGCCAGGTAAGCGGAAGGAGGTGTGAGGGCTCTGACAGGGTCGTAGAGTCCTCCTGCCTCCTTCCCCATTGCAAAAATTAATATTGCATAGTTTGAAGTGACTGGATGCACCATGGGTGTCGGCTCTCTGGGGCCCTGGGTGCCCAAGCACCCACAAAATTCCCCATGAAGGGGATGGGCACCTGCAAATTTTGGTGCCAGGGCTATGCACACTGCATGCTACCCATGGCCCCAGGCACCCACTGTCTTGGAGCCAAGCTGGCACTCCTGGGATGCATGAAAACTGACTTCTTTCGGGGGGGCACATTGTCGGGGCCCTTGACTTTAATTAAGACTTTACTTGGAGAACTTTCTTCAAAACAAAACAGAAACATCAAAGATGCATCCAAATAATTTCATAAGAAAAATGCCAGCCCGAGGCAGCCAAATGGAAGCCACACCTTGGTTTTTGAACAGTTTCGGAGTCAAACGGACTCCCGGAATGGATTTAGTTTGAGAACCAAGATACCACTGTATATCAATTATACTTAACATTCCCAAAGCCAAGTTAGCACTTCCCCAGCTTGGGGATCCAGCCAGTGCCTCACGTCTCCTTCCCAAAGCCCAGTGCTTCACTTAGCCAGCTTTGGGAAGGGAGTGTGAAGGCTGGGGAGGGGTGTAAAATTTTGGCCTCACTCCTCCCCACCTCCACGTGATAAGGCAGTGTACGGCCCATGAGTTCCATGTCAAAGTTCTCTTGCAGCCCACTTGGTCTAAAAAGTTGGACCACATTTGTCTAGGCATGCTAAGAAACAGTGAGGAGCATGTCTGACCTCCTTGATGCCAAGATGACTTCCAAGTGGTCTACAAATGTAAGAAGTATACAATTGTTAATATAAACATTAAAACATGCCATAATTAAAATATGCTTTTATTAATACTACTAATATTAATATTAGTAGTATCTGGTCCATGGGGTCTGGTCCATGGGGTCACGAAGAGTCGGACACGACTAAATGACTAAACAATAACAATATTAATATCTAGTCTTTCCCCTAATAAAAACAATTCTGTTAAAACATTAAAGCAGAAATGCCCCTAATTAAAATGTGCAATAAATCCACACACAAATTAAAACACCAGACCCACATGAATAGATCAAGGGAATGCCTGTGTAAAGAGGGGCATTTTCAAAAGCCGGCAGGGTGCCAATAAAGAGAGGGCCTCTTGTAGAATGCTCTCCCTGCTGAAATGCAACACTGTTGTCAGCAGTGAAAAAATCTGACTCTGCATCATCACAACCAGATAGGAAATGCTAAGGCTAGCCAGGTTCTCTGTGTTGATTTTAATGCCCTTAATGGACTATTAGTGACCAACAAAGGCATCACAAAATAACTGGGTTTTGAACAAATGCCCCAACTGCATCAGTGTGCATGTAGGGAAAATATCCTTCATTGGGGGACTGCTGCTTTCTCAGTTGGTACAATGAACTATGAAACATTCTGACTAAACTCGTTTGAAATACTGGAGCTGGTGAGACTTTATTATTATAGCGAGATATGATAACAATAAATAGGAGGTTTAAAGGGCTGTAAAAAGCTATATATAAAAGAAGCCATAAATCTGCAAAAGTAAAAGAAAGAAAGAAATAGAAATAAAAGGCTGGAACAAAAGCCCCAGGATAATCCTTTCCTAATCCTCCTCCCATATCTGAGTGTTCGATTTGAATTTTAGAGAGCATGACTGCTTTGCTATGGGCGACTAAGACTGTAAGTTTTTATGTTTAGTGCTTCTTTGCTGAAAATCGACCTCGGTAAAGAAGTGTCCCTCTCTGTTCTTCCTGTTTGTGCAAACTCACTGATCATATAAGCTCTGGATAACCAGGGGAGCTTGCACTTTCTTGCAATGCTATGTGCAGAAAAAGCATCAAATATTGGAGGAAACAGGTCAATAAGTAGCAGTCTGTGTGTTTTTCAATCTGCAAAGTTCCAAGCCATCCTCTCTTAATCCAGCACTTCATAAAGTAGCAGGACTAGCTCAGCTGTGATCTGAAATCAACCACAATATTCCCATTACTCCCCAGACAGATTTGGAGCAGCCTCAACCAATCAGGATTTTAGCATAGCATAGTGGGAAGGTATCTATGCCCTGCTGCCAAAAAAGAGAGACATCAAAATTCTGTGCCGAGCTAACCTGCATTACACATAAAATGAAATATGTGGTCTGTTGAACCATGACTAATGATTGAGGCTTGACACAAGTGCTGATAAGGGTCTGCCTTTTGTAAAGTGGGTCATTTGACTAGTGAAGCCCTGCTGGGATACAATAGATACCTGATGAGGGTTTACTGTTGGGTGTAACTTGTTTCAGGTCTAATCAAAACAAAAACAAAATCACCATCTTTACTTTAAAAATATTCATCCCCCCCTCACTTTGATAGATAATGCTCTTTCTCTAACTGATGCAAGAGTTCATTAAAAAGCCAATCAACTTTGCTTTGCAACTGCCAAGGGGGACGAAAAGTTTCCTAAAATAATCTTTATGACGGATGGTGGTGCATATACACTTGCGTGTGCACACGCTTAATGCAAACTGCCTCATTAAAAATTAAATGCAAAAATAGAATTCAAAAATAGGAATCTGTTTACTTTTCAAGTCTTTCAGCAGTGGCAACTGATGAGCCATTAATGAGTTCCCCAAATGAGCATCCCTGTGGAATGATGGACTATTTGACTCCAGAAGTCAAGATGTGCTTCAGTGATTTTGACAGAATTCTCGCTACAGTCCTGAAGTCGTTTGGAAAGGCCTTTGCTGGGAGAACTGATAAAGTCTCCTCCTGCTATGGTGGAATGTTAACTTGGCTAAGTTTCTTGCTGCATGCAAGAATCATGGAAAATGAAATAGATGGTTATTTAAACCAGCCACTAGGGATACAATATTTCCATTCTGCCCTGTATTCATTGCATACCACACAGTTTCCATTTTGCTGCAGTTCAGCTTCTGTCCTATTTTACCGGTTTCACTGTCTGCTACGGCAAAATTTTGTGTAATTAATTATGTTGTCATTACTTTAGTCTACATCGTTCATTTCAATGTGAAGGAAACACAACACAACTTGTGGGGGGAGCCTTCAAGTACTCATCACTACATATCATTCGTGGACAGAAAACAACAATGAATCTCAATAGCATTTGCTGGGTTGAATTCTTTTCCAAACATGGGATGAATAAGTGAACACTGCCTAGTTCCCATTTCGTTTCTGTTTTTCTCTGAATTCTCTGACAACTCTACTTGCCACTACCTGGAATGTCCTGCCATTGACTTTCTATCATCAAGCATCATGGGCTTTCAAAGGATTTCGTTCATCGTAATTGGTTGATGGTACATTCAGCACAGACAAAAGGAAGTGCTTTAAAAAAAATAACTGCATGATTGATTTATGGAATTCACTCCCTCAATATATGCTGGTGATCATGAGATGTAATTGATTTAAAAGTGGATTGAACAAATTTGTGGTGGTTTGAGTTAAGAAAGGCTATTAGTCCTGATGGCTATATGCCACTTCTGGTATGCCGCTGGATAGCAATTGCTGGGGAGCAACAGCAGGAAGTGCCTATTGCCTTCATGTCTCACTTGTGACTTGCCAGAGGCACCTGACTGGTCCCTGTTGAAAAGAAACCCAAGGTGCTGGAGTAAATAAAGTTTTCACCCAAAGTCACAAGGCTCTTAGGATATGGAACATCACCTTATCCCTATGTTGTAGATTGTTGGATAGCACAGGTTAGAGGAGGAGAGGCTAATCTGTGGCCCAATTCGTGTTGTATAACTACAACTCCCATCAGCCCCAGCCAGTATGGCCAATAGTAAGGGATGATTGGAGCTGAAGTCCAACAACATTTGGAAAGTCATACATTAGCCATCCCTAAGCTAGACTTTATGCACCTTTGGTGGCTGTTTTCTGTTTGTTTTAGCCTTTTTATGCTGGGTTGGCTGAAAAAAACCAAACCATTCATAGCTGCTCCATCCAGAGTGGTGCCGTGGGAGGCACGACACTACCATGCTTAATGATGAATAGATGCAATTGGCAAAAGGATACGTAATCCAGTGGAATCATCAGCATTATCAGAAGTGAAGCCCAGATGCCAAGTGTTACGTCTCATGTTTGTTTGCACTGGTCTTTTAAAACTAACATCAAAATAAGCCTTTTTATTGATTGGGAAAGTAACTGTCCAAAGTACCCAGTCGATAGTAGCATTGACACTTCATTTCTCACCATCACCATAAAAGAAACACAATTCACTTGATTCAAACAATTCAAAAAATGGTCATTTATCCTTATGTCATGAGTGTCCATCAGCATTTTCGATCTGCTAAGTAGCTCATTCCATTGATGCATTATTTATGCATCTTTTTCCAATAAAACACCCTTGGAGTGGGGGTGCTACTGATGATATTGCATTGAATTTAAGCTCACACATAATAATAAAAAAAATCAATTGGAATCAGGACCAAGTAAAACTGAAGTGTCTTCTGACAAAGAAGTTGGAGTGTTCATATGCTTTTTGAATTTCATACAGGCAGCCCCCCGTTTACACAGGGTTACGTTCTGAGGCACTGCGTGCATCGGTGAAATCACATATAATTGAAGCTCATTGAAAAAGCCTGCAAACACCCCATTCCACCTTTTTAGTGACGTTTCAGTGACATCTTTATGATGTTTCCAGGTCACTTCCGAGTTCAGCGCAGTGCGTGCATACATGGTCACACACATATTGAACATGTGTAAGTGAAAGCTGCCTGCATTTTGAAACATGTCATTGGTTTTTTATACGATTAGTCATATAAAATAGTGGGCTGAACAATCAGTATCAAGTCTCAGGTTATTTTTAATGCTTACTTACCAAAAAAGTTGGGTGGCTTTAAAGCTTTCCAGACCAATTGGAAGGGATGGATCTGGGCTCACCACTGTGGAATGTTAGGAATCCTATGGGGCGGGGAATCTTTTTCTGCCTGAGGGACCCACTCGCTCATAGAAAACCTTTTTTGGGGGTGGGGGGTGGGGGACACATACCACTAATGGGTGTGGCCAGACACAAACCACTCCATCAGAGCCCCATCAGGGTCACCTATCTCTGAATCCACACACCCCCAACATACATATACACACAGTAGAATTTGACCCCATGCTTCCTATCCAAAAATATTAATTTCAACACTGATCACATTAGCTACATCCATATAAGTGGTGCTGTGAATATATATTTCCTAAACAACCATTCTCTGAAACTTTGGAAACTGAAAATGCCTATCAAAAAGCCCTTTGGATTACAAGTTCTGCATTAGCGCCCTATATATTAGTGAAGCATTTGATATACAGAAATAATAATGCAGCATAAAATATGCTCTCTATGCTTCATCTTTGGGATCAGGAGGAAGCAGATGAAGGCTCAAAATGAGGCTGAAAGCTTGATGAGCTAAAAAATGCAGTTGCTTTTCTATTATTCTGACACCGTAAAAGAGGGGAAAGAAGATATTTAGGTGGCTTCATTTCCCTTCGAATTACATTTTAAATGGCTGGACCCCAAATCCAATCAGCCACAGATGTAATGATCAACACAGAGATTGGATGGGAATTGTACTCCAGTAACCACTTGAGTTACGTAAGATTTCCCAACCCGGTTCAAAAGCTACGAAATGAGTCTCAAGGTCTGCAAGTTTGTTAATAATCGAATTCAAATAATTCAAACAATTCAACTTAAAATGAGTAGTGATAATTAATAGGGGTGTGCAGGGCCCCAAAGATTCACATTGTATTTGTGCAATAAGGGGGGGGGGTGATCTGTTTCTAAGTTGCTTGGTGATCTTTCTGTTTGGATCTGTACTCCCATCTTCAAGCTGCTCTGATGAAAGAGTTTCCCCCATTTGTTATAACGAGCAATCTAAAATGTCTAGAGCAGTTTCTCCTTCAGGCAAAAGTTTATGGAATTTATAGGCATATGAGCCTCTTCAGAGTGCTAAATTGTAGGTAGTACACCCAGAAGTGCATCTTTAAAATTGATTGAAAACATCAACAAAGGAAAACATGTGAACCTCCACCAAATCAACCCAAATTCACATTGTATTTCAGGGTATAGACAGAGCAAAATGCAACCCTAATACGTTTTGGTCCCAATGAGGGAGCCCATGTGGCAAGGCAGGTCAGTTGCTTCAGGACCAAGGAGAGCTCCAAGTGAGCTACGTGCTCAGGCAGGGATTGGAATTGAATTAAGGCCTTTGCTTCATTTCTCATCTCCCAGGCTGTGTCCCCTTCTGGAAAACTGGAGTGTCTTAAAGAGCCAACCCTCTGCCCCCTGCATTCCCTGGCTCCTCACTTTGTGCGCTTCCTGTGCCACCAGACTGGAGAGGTACTGCAAGAGGCATGCAGTTCTTCAGGCCATGGAATGGTATCTGTGGGAGCCCTGGTTGTGGTTCTGTGAACCCTGTACCTGTGGGAGCTTGTTCAGAAGACTTGTGCCTAGTGCTCTCCTCATCACCACCATCAGGCTCAGAGATAGGATAACCAATCTGGCTCCCCACCTTGCAACACTGTAGCCTCCGAGCAGCACCAGCTTCTTCAGAGGATGGGGTGGGAGACAACATGACATCATCACACAATGTCATGAAGAGCCGGGGGTAGTGCTGAACAGTCTCTAAAAATTGAGGGGGCCCAATCCCCTCCAAAATATATCTGCTTTGGCCCCTAGGAGTTGGCATCTATGCCTCTGAGTCAGTGTCTTCGTCACTCCTGGACTGTAGGACCATAAATCATATGTGAAATATATAAATATATCTCACACAAAAAAACTCTCCATTACACTGGAAAATGGATATAAGAATCAGCCTAATGTAATAGTGTATTTCCTCACACTGCTTTGAAAAATGAGATAATTTCAAGACACACACAACTGTTTACCATAATATTATGCAGCGTTGTTGTTTTTACGCCTAATGGTAAGATTATGTGAAAAGTCTGAGATATTAAATTATTAAACTTTAAGAAGTGTAACTTTTGTGGATAATGGCTTTGTATTCTACACTTTGAATAATGCAAGCATAGTTCTTCGTTTATGGGAGGGCCTTATTAATATATGATACAGAAAGACAGACAGATTTGCAGCTAACAAGCTTCACTGGGCAATGAAGAAGAACTTGGCCTTTCAAGTAACCTGACCCAGAGTTGTTTAGGGCTTTATATATAATGAGCAATACCTTAAAACTGGCTCATGTGCTAATAGGCAGCTAGTACAGATCTTCAGCTCTGTGTGCAGTAAGGAACATGACTCCACACCCTGTCATGACATTTGCACAATCTGAGGCCTCGGAACCACTCTGAAGGGAAGCCCCTCACATGGCACATTACAGTAGTCTAAAATGAGGTTCCCAGTGCATGGATCATTGTGTCCAAGTTATCCTTGAGGCAGGGAAAGGGTGCAGTTGATTCACCAGACAAAGTTGGTGGTAGGTGGTCTTTGCCATGGAGGCAACCTAAACTGCATACTTGCTCCTTCAGAGGGAGTGCAACCCCATCTATAAAGAGTGCAAAGACCACAGTTCTCATACCTGGGAATGACTTGCTTACATTGTCTCTGATTTAGTAGGGTTTGAAATGGAATGCCCTTCCCCTGAGTAAACAGGAAGTCAAAGTTAGAGCTGAACTTCAGAGGTCATCTAATCCAACTTCATTTTCAATGCAGGATCAAAAATGCAGGACCTTGCATCCACAACATCCCTGTATTGTTCCCAATAAATGGGACAGTTGGGGTATCTCCACCTCCCTAGTATATATGGAAATGCTAAGACAGTGCAATGCAAGCGGCTCCTAAGAATAACATCTACTGAACTCCACGCACCCTTAGGATTTGGAAAATAAGTTCACGGTCATTACAGTGCAGGGGCTGCCTCCTTCGAGAAAGCTATCCCCAACGCCTTTGTGTCCATAATTAGTTTGTTAAAGAATAGGATGGGAAACCAAACTAAAATCCACAACACCCACTCGCATATGCCAAGATTCATGCATTCAGAGACACATTAAAACAGATCACAGATTCTTTTATATATAATTCAAGATAATGGCACATTCACTGGCAAACAGACTCTAGGGATAAACACTGGAGTAAATCAAACTTTTCGCTTAATGAAGCAAGCTCCTTTCCCAGGATCATGCTTTGTTGTCTAATTTTCCCTGAAATGTGAATGCTTCCGGCAAATCAAAAGAACAAATGATTTAATGGCATTAGCAACACTGCTTAGTTCATGGTAATGAGACAATAACACATCTTGAACTTTGTATGAAAATTATTCAGTAGGTTTATTAAACTTTATTAAATATTAAAATCATTTCAGGAGTCTGTGTATTCTGGACAAGATTGATGGTGCTTACTGGAAGATGCAGAGAAATTTCCTAGATTATCAAGGAATGTGGGAAGTTCTGAAGTGTGCAAATTGATATTTAAAGCACTCAGATCCATCACAGATAAAAAGAAAAGAAGAAAACAACCCATTTGGCTTATGCCAGAAAAAATAGGTTTCCCAGACAGCAAGCCAGAGAACATTATACCTCTAAGCAAGAGATAAAATCGTTGTGGGTTCTGTTTTCTTTTTTCCTCCTGTCTTTAGTCATCCTATCATCTATGATTCCTGCAAGTGAAGGAGGTGTGTGGAAGTCAACTATGACCTTAAAGGTATAACATGAGCCTGTGAATTGCAACCTGACCATCAGTGGATTCACATAATCATTTAAAAACAAGTAGGTACATAATCATTTAAAAACAAGTGTGGTGGAGTCTCCTCCTTTGTAGGTCTTTAAGCAGAGGCTTGACAACCATATGTCAGGAGTGCTCTGATGGTGTTTCCTGCTTGGCAGGGGGTTGGACTCGATGGCCCTTGTGGTCTCTTCCCACTCTATGATTCTATGATTCTAGGTGTTTGCAATTATTGATAGGGTATCCTACTTGGCTGAATTATCTAACACATGGTGTGCCTCATCTGGATAGGCTTTCTTATTCTCGTCCTTCAGACACAGCAAATGATTCCTTATTCTCACTTCAGTTTGGTCCTGTGTTCAAAGGATGAGGCTGAATTTAGTATGAGGTGCAGAGAGGAAGAACTGACAACATCCCTCCACAACTGCAGAGTTTCTCCTGCAAGTTCTAAAGATCTCTGAAGCCTGCTCTGCAGGAACTCAGAACAGGGCTTTTAGTGTGGATGCCCCTATTCTGTGGAATAGCATTCCTGTTGAGATATGACTGGCACTCACTAGCTGCACTTTCCAGAAACAATTGAAGACACTTTTGTTCTTGCAAGCTTTTCCAGCTGGAAATGGGTAAAAAGACCCATGGTAAATGGGTCTTTACCATGAGTTTCCACTTGGTAGGGTTTTACACTTGTTTTAAATGGATTTGTTGTTTTTGTGTTTTTATCTTGTGTGTGAATTGCCTTCAAATGGTGGTTTGGAATATGATGAATAAATCAATAGTAATAATTATAATAATATTTTTAAAGCCTTAATTCTAAGACACAACAGGAAACATTTAATTATTTGTCAGTCCTATACTTACAGTCAATAGATCACATCAAGCTCTACACTTACACCCTTAGGGCTCATGCATACTTCCACTTCACCTGTGCCTAAAAAGTACAGGTCCAAAAGGTTTTCCACTTGTTCCATGCTTTCTAGGCATGGGTTTATCCTGCCGCTTTCCCTGGGAAAAACCACAATCTACTGCTGAATCAGAAAAAAACCTCAAACCACAAAAAAGTTAGACATTTCTTCTGATTCAGTGGTAAACAATAGGTTTTCCTGGCGGAAGCAGCAGGATAATAAGTGTAAGTGTGGATGAGCCCTTGGTACAAGGAAGACTCCTATGTTCCAAACATAAGTTTGCTAATAGGCTTTGATAAACTAGGAGGCAAAGCTTGTTGGCAAGACTATACAGCACATTGTTAGCTATAAGGAAAGAGACCGAGAGGATCATGATGAGATGCATCAAGAAATAGAAGAATGCCTTCTCACTTGCTGTTTTAGATCCCTGGCTGAACTATGCCCAAGCAAAACGTCCCTCCCACAGTGGGAAGCTTGGGTTGAGGACTTCAGAGAGTTTCACTTGGATCAGGTCACCAGTTGTGTGGCACAAACAATTAATGAGGGAGATAAGAGAACTGCCTCTGTTGCCCTGAAGTGTGCTGATGGAAGAAAGCAGGGAAAGATGATGGGGAAGGGGGGTGGGAGAGAGAGAGCAGGGAAGCCTTTAAAATACTTGCAAAAGCAAGAACACAGAAGTTGGCCCACAGGTCAGTAGTGCTTGGTGCGAGAGAGAAAAAGCACAGTCCTTTGATCTGATTGTCACACAATTTAGAAGTATAGAAGCAAAAGCTAAACCCTGAGTGAGTGTGATTCTATTTTTATCTACTGGTTATGTTATTGGTTGTATACATATTGCCAAGCCATGTTCAAGGTTGTTAGAAATTTGGACCCAGGACATTGTAAGTAACTACCCAACCACCAAGATCTCTGGGGATCTCTTTTGGTGTTCTCCATGGCTCAGACCTCATCTGTCTCTATGTGGGACAAGAAGCTACAGTTAGAACTGGATATGGAACAACTGATTGGTTCAAAATTGGGAAAGGAGTACGACAAGGCTGTATATTGTCTCCCTGCTTATTTAACTTATATGCAGAATCCATCATGCAAAAGGCTGGGCTGGATGAATCCCTAGCCGGAATTAAGATTGCCGGAAGAAATATCAACAACCTCAGATATGCAGATGACACAACCTTGATGGCAGAAAGTGAGGAGGAATTAAAGAACCTTTTATTGAGGGTGAAAGAGGAGAGCGCAAAATATGGTCTGAAACTCAACATCAAAAAACCGAAGATCATGGCCACTGGTCCCATCACCTCCTGGCAAATAGAAGGGGAAGAAGTGGAGGCAGTGAGAGATTTTACTTTCTTGGGCTCCATGATCACTGCAGATGGTGACAGCAGCCACGAAATTAAAAGACGCCTGCTTCTTGGGAGAAAAGTGATGACAAACCTAGACAGCATCTTAAAAAGTAGAGACATCACCTTGCCAACAAAGGTCCGTATAGTAAAAGCTATGGTTTTCCCAGTAGTGATGCATGGAAGTGAAAGCTGGACCATAAAAAAAGCTGATCACCAAAGAATTGATGCTTTTGAATTATGGTGCTGGAGGAGACTCTTGACATGGACTGCAAGAAGATCAATCCTATCCATTCTTAAGGAAATCAGCCCCGAGTGCTCACTGGAAGGACAGATCGTGAAGCTGAGGCTCCAATACTTTGGCCACCTCATGAGAAGAGAAGACTCCCTGGAAAAGACCCTGATGTTGGGAAAGATGGAGGGCACAAGGAGAAGGGGACGACAGAGGACAAGATGGTTGGACAGTGTTCTCGAAGCTACCAGCATGAGTTTGACCAAACTGCGGGAGGCAGTGGAAGACAAACTGAGAACCTATATAGGAGCTGTAAGCTCTGGCGCTTCTTAGTTCTCAGTGAGGTTCTGATCCTGGCAGCTGTATCTATATAGTAACTTCAGTAGCCACTCAAGGACTTCACCAATGGTCCTGAAGTTAAAGTAAATATCATAATCTCCTCTTCTGTAGCCTTGGGGTGATGAATTGAGGTCTAGCATCCAGCTGGAAGCCTAGGCAATTCATGTGAAGTCCCTAGATACTATGTTTTCAGGTTTTTTGTTTTTTGTTTTTTGTTTTTTTTGGCAATGTGCTCTGGAACTTCAGGAACAATGAGTCATTGGAGTTACTGGTTCTGCAGCAGTTTACTGGGGGGGGGGATTCCAAGGAGCTGATTTGAGGTTCAGGGTCTGGGAATGGCTGGGCCCTGACTCAAAGGCTGAGGCAAGGTTTTTCTAGCCAGATTTTGGAAGTCAAAGGAATGAAGGTGCCTCAAGGTTGCTGTGGCAGGGTAGTAGTGCCCCCTGTCAAATCAAAATTTCTGCACAGATGTTTCATTGGAATTACACTGCTTGGCAATGCACAGTACCTTGTACAGTACAATGGTTACTATAACCCTGATGGCTATGTTCTAACTCCACTGTCAGAGGCAAAATGCTTCTGAATACCACCTGGACGCCATAGGAGGGGAGAGTGCTATTGTGCTCAAATCCTTACTGGAGGCTTCCCTTCTCCCACTGTGAGAACTAGGGATGGGCAAATGTATCAACTTCAGCTTATCTCAGTTTCTCATTTGTCCAGTCTTTGGTTCTTCATATTTCCAGATTAGTTGGTAATTTTTCAGAAAGTCCTCAGAAAAATTCATCAGAATTTTACTGTGACTTTCTCTGTAAATAACATGCAATTTTTCCTAATATACACATTATTTTGCAAAGCAACTTCCTCTAATATAGTGTTTTAGCCTTTAAATGTATGTGTACACACAAGCATGCATTTATATACACACTTTACCCTAGTATGCATTTTTTGTACAAGTAGCCTGACCAGAGAACCATACTGAAAAATCTAGAGATGTGTGAATTTCAAAGTATGACTGTGTTTTGGTTCACACATTTTCTTGGAAAGTGTGAATTAAGTCAGTTTGCCTTAAATGTGAAATAAGTTGAATTTCTCTCCCATGCTTAGTGGAACAGTGTGCTGGACAAGATGGTCTACTGGCCTGATCCAGCAGGCTGTTCTTTAGGTTCTTTGCACAGGACTTATTGAAGATGAAAATGGTGGATCTGAGGTCATTTGGAAGGCTCATCTATTCCATCCCCTTCACACTGCTGCCACCAAATCAATGAAATCCCCTCCATTTAACTCACTGAAGTGGTAAAAGGGGAGAATAAAGTGGTAAAAGGGGAGGAAAATTTGGGGTCAGTCCTACCAATGAGAGATGAACAAGAATGAAGAAATGAGAAATCAATTCCAAGTGGTCTTTTTCCTTATCTATTCGTGGTCCCCAGACTAGCATTATTAGTGGTTTGGTAGTTGATTTTCTGACAGCACCCTTTCTCTCTTTCTCTCTCTGAATGATTTTACTAGTCCTCTGAGTGAGAAACATCAATAGTTGTGGCTCTATGAACATGTCACAGCAAAAGTATTTGCTATTTACTAGTGGTTTATACTCACATCCTCAGAGGCTTACGAAGCAATGCAACATATCTCACCATTGGCAAAACAACAGCTGGGATCTAGCACCAGGTCTGTAGAGGACAGACAGGTTCAAAGAAGATCATAGAATCAGGTTGAAAGAGAAATTAAGTGTTTGAGCCCGTGGCTGCTGTACCTTTTGAATCAGTCCATGTTGACCTGAGAATCATTGACCATAGTTCGGTGGCAGAGCATCTGCTTTGCATGCAGGAGATTCCAGGTTCAAACATAGACACAGCTGGATTGCTCTCACCAGCAGCAAAATCATGAGAGTCACGTAGTTCTACATAGCAATTATCTATGGATCCAGGTCAATGTGTTCCCTGGCTCCCCAAATAACATAACTGTGCCTGGGGTAATAAATGCAATTACTATATAATGCATCATATCTTTTATATGTGGATTGGTTCAGTGTTACATATATTTTTTAAAAAAACAAGCTGACATGGGGTTTAGCCCATGAGCTAGTGATATACTCAGCTTTGCTAAAATGATGGTAGCACTTTCCCCTCTTTAATTTACTGTTATCAAAAGCTCCCCATTAATCACTGATGATTAAATAGTGCTAGCAGCACAAAGGCAGGGGAAAGAGCGTCAAACATCTGCCCCTCCTCAAAGTCCCAGCTAATTACACGTGACGGCATATGAGATCCATATAAAACACACATTACCTTCTTTGGGAATCATCTGTCTGGCTGCTTTCCTTAACCTTTTCATAATTTATAGCCAGCTCTGCTTTGTGGAACCTCAGCCTACCCTTGCCTTAATAGAAACTGCCACTAAATTAAGTGCTCAACTTCTTGACTGAGAGAAGAGATGCAAGGAAAGGCCTGGAATTCCTACCAGCACTAGTTCAACCCTTCATTGCCTCTGTATTGTTGCTTGCCCATTGACTTGGTGTGCCAAATGATTTCCCCCTCAGGCAAAAACCCTTAGACCAGATATGTTCCCAAGGCTTTAGGTTGTCCATGCTAGTCTCTAACACATCTTTTTGCCACAATGATCATGGGTTTATGTATGTCTGCAGCAGCCATAGATCTCAGAGGTGGCACTGCTTGGATTGAGGTTAATATCTCAACTGATGAGCTGCTATCACTCTCAGGTGTCTCCTGGACCACCTGTCTTGTGAGCACAATTTTATGCATGTTTATTAAGGACTAAATCTCAGTTCAGCGGGACTATGTGTGCATAGTATTTCAGCTTTAGCCTGCTCCCTGCTCTCCAGGGAGGAATTCTATGTTCTGGATTGGTTAGAAAAACAAACTCCGGCCTTTGCTTATATACATGCAGCTGCCTGAACCACTGTGTCTTTGAGGTTCAGGGAGCTGGAAAAGGTTAAGAAAAGGGCAACCAACATTATCAAAGGGATCAAGCAACTCCACTATGATAAAAGGTTGCAGCATTTGGGACATTTTAGTTTAGAGAAAAGGCAAAAAGGGGCTGGCATGACAGAAGTTTATAAAATTATGCACGGCGTGAAGAAAAGTGGATAGATAAATGTTTGTAACTTCCCTCATAACACTAGAACTCAGGGACATCATGTGAAACTGAATGTTGGAAGATTCAGAACAGTCGAAACAGTTCTTAACTACAGAATTCGCTCCCAAAGGAGACAGAGATGGCCACCAGTTTGACTGGCTTTAGAAGAGGATTAGACAAATTCATAGAGGAGAAGGCTACACCAGTGGCTACTATCATGGTGATGTAGCTGGTGGCAGAAATGCTTCTGAATACTAGTTGCTGGAAACTACAGGAGGGAGAAGTGTTCTTGTGCTGGGGTCTTGCTTGATGTTTTCCCACAGGCATCTGGTTGGTACTGTGATGTTGGACTAGGTGGGCCTCTGGCCTGATCCAGCAGGCTCTTATCATCACACACAAACCGGTGGTCCCCAGCTTCCTACCCACAGCCTCCAACCTGACCTCCTTGTCTTTTCAATGGGAAATAGGTATACTGAAAGTAAGGCCCCCTGTCTTTTGTGGGGCTTTCTCCCTAGTAAGAATGTTTAGGACTGCAACCTCAAAGTAGTTCTCTTGAGGAATGGCACTGCTAATAGAGATCCAAATCTATTACTTGACACTGAACATTCATGGTGTGCAGATACTTAGGAGGCATTTTCTTTTCTTTCTTTTTTTAAAAAAAAGAATCTATTTGTTCACTATGCCACATTGTAGCAAGAGACCCAAGCACATCTACGGGACATTGTACACTTACATCTCTACTTTTTCATTACAAAGAAATCAAGATTTCCTTAAATCCCAAGGCTTAGGTCAACACTCCCAGCACAGGAGTTAATCCCTTCATATTATCCTTTGCTAAGTAAGCTCTTGAGCATAGACCAGATTATATATCCAAGGTCATTAGTGTGATTTATTATGAAGATACAGGAAATTAGGTACTGATATTTCAATATTGGGCAGAAAATTTAATTCCGCTGTTGCTATAGAGCTAATGTATCTCCCACCAATCTGTCACCGCAGCAACTAGATAAGGACATTCCCTCTTTTTAAAAAAACAAAAAAGTTTCCACGTCCTTTTCCCTTGTTCAGTCCAAAACAACTGCTTAAAAAAGAGGGTGGTATTTATAATTCAGTTTATAATTACTTTGTCAACATGTGTGAGGTCTCCAGTTTAGCCAACAACAATACTTCTGAAAATGTTTTATGCAAGCAGAACTATTTGCACAAGAATATTTCATCAGGGCTGTGTTCATTTAAAGTAGTCCTATGCCCAATTTTTTCCTTCAGTTTAAGACCATTCACCCCCAGTTAAAGACATGACAATTTGCATTCAAAAATGATCACAAAGGACAGAAGATTTTGATGACATCCTTTTGTCTCTCTGCAGGGACGAAGGAAGGTGTCGTGAGACCCGGGGCGGCATTGCTATGTAGGGTGCATGTGCCGTGTCGCTACATACAATGCATGCGAATCACTAAGTACAGCGCATGTGCAGTGTTGCACTCATGTGCACTCATGTATAGCGGTTTGCCGCCAGTGCCGCTCCAGTGCCGTACGGACGGTGCTGGGATCCCTCCACCGCCACTACAGCCGTTCATGGCTATAGCGGCAATGGAGGGATCCCGGCACCATCTGTAAGGCACTGGAGCAGCGCCAGTGGCAAACCGCTATATAGCGCATGTGTGGCATCGCCACGTACAGTGCATGCGTGCAACACTACACATGCGCTGTACTTAGCGATTTGCCGCCGGCGCCGGGATCCTCTGCTCGCGGCTACAGCCGCGAACGGAGGATCCTCCACATGCAGCTGCGGCGGCACAATGGCCTCTCGCACCACCGCGAGCCCCCATGGGGTGACTTGTCACCCCTGCAGACATGGAATCCGGGGCATACTGCCCCCCCCGCCCCCCATTGCGACACCACTGTCTGTCTGTCTGTGTGTTACATTTGCCTTAATTTTGAGATGGCAAGAAGTGTTTGCAAAGTGTCTTTTTGCATGTCAAGGACACCAGAATTTTGTGTTTATGGGCTAAATAAGGCCACAACTTTATTGGTTACAGATGTGAGTGGTATTGGCTTAGGCACTGGACTAGAAATGACTATATCTGACTCCTGCCCGCCATGCAGGTGGTCCAGTAAGGGTCAACCACCTGCCAATGACCATTAACTGCAAACTCCCCCAGGGTCCCTCATGGGGTCATGGCATGGCCTTAGCCCTTAGTTGGGCTTCAGACAAGATCCACACACACCAGATCCCTTTAACAGAATACCCTTAAAGAGGAGGGGCAGGTGAAGGCCTTCACCTCCCCTCCCATAAACCAGGTTTTTCCAATGCCTAACCACCAAACCTTACAAAGTTGTGACGATTGCTACGAGGCAGGCAAAAACCACATGGCTGGTGTCAATTTACCAAGTGGGAAAATTCCTACCTGCCCCCCTCAACAGGTGACCAATCATGGTCCATAGCAAGACCAAGATGGTGAACACATGAAAATATGGTGGGAGGGCGGGAGATCCGAAGCACGAGTAGGCAAGAAGGGAGAGCCCCCCAGCCATGCAGCTGTTTAAATAGCCCAAGCCATGCCCCCTGGCCGACCAGATTTGTCATCCTTGAGCTGTGGCTCAGAAAGTGTCTTTTTCATTCATTCTCTCAGGTGGACCTTGCTCTGGTGCATTCGTAGGAGCCCATGCTTCCTGAAAACCTCATAATGTCCTTAGCTAGGCTTTACTGTGAGCACAGAATGGCTGCCTACTGTGCTCCTAAGTACCATTCTTTAGGGATTTAAGAAGGATGTGATTTCTGCACTCCAACTCTATGATTCCAAGGCGTAATTTTTCACCCCACATTTGTCACACAGAAGCACCATTCCCATTCCACTGAAATTAGTCTTCCACCTACAAAAATACATCATATTTCACGTAATTGCAAAAAGCTGCACAAACCGAGCAAGTCACATTGTCAACACACCCAATTCACTTCAATATAAAGGAAATGCAATGCAAATGGGGAACATTATCAATTAGGTATCATTTATAGACTGAAAGCAACAACAGTGAATACTGATAATATTGGCTGGATTGATTTCTGCTCCAATCATGAGACAAATTATTTTTTATTTTATTATTAACTCGATTTCTACTCCACAACTTTTCTCCAAAGGAGCTCAGAGCAGCAAACATGTCAATCCTAATACAGTTATAACTTCTAAAACAATTTAAAACAATCTTCTTTTTTAAAGAAAGGTTAAAAACAACTTCTCTCCCCCCTCTAGGACCACACAGCAATTTCCATAGACACACAGTCTGGGATAAGTCCAGTCCCACCCACATTGCTTTTGAAACTAAGGAGAATTTTCGGGGAGGGAGGAATTCAGTTTACAGTATTTGCAGAAAGACAACTGTTAAAGAGGTGGAATCTAAAATTCCATGCATGCCAGTCTTTGAACACTCCTTTAAAGTAGTCTTTTGAACTGCAGCCACTCTGTGATGAAGGCATCAAAGAATCATACAGGGCACATTCACACCATACATTTAAAGCACTATGACACCACTTTAAGCAGCCATATCTTTCCCCAAAAGAATTCTGGAGGTTGTAGTTTGCTAAGAGTTGATAGGAGACCCCTATTCCCCTCCAAGAGTTACAGTTCCCAGAGTTTCCTGCGAATAGGGCTTTAATTGTTCAGCCACTCTGGGAACTGCAGAATTCTCTTCAGTGTGGCACCATACTGCTCTACATGTATAGTGTAAATGGTACCACAGCATAGGCATCATCAGGGGGTGCAAGGGCACCACCAAAATTTCAAGGAGGGGGTCAGCCCCCTCAAAAATCCACAGTGGCCCTGTGAGTATGCTGCATAACATGCTCACCTTAATTGTGCAGCCTGCATGGCATGCACGTGCCACTTGTACAAATGGGGGGGAGGAAGGTGGCACATTTGTGCCACAGTTAGAAAAGAACCAATTAATTTTCCATGTCAACTGTTGCCTATTAAACAGACTTCACTGCTCCCCCCCCAAAAAAAACCCCACCCCAAGTATCCCCCAATAGCTAAATGAGAAGAAGGGTCTTTTTCAGTATAATAATAAATAATAAATAATAATAACAATAATTTATTTATTTATTTATTTATTTATTATACCCCACCCACCTGGCTGGGTTTCCCCAGCCACTCTGGGTGGCTTCCAACGGAATATTAAAATATAATAACCTATTAAACATTAAAAGCTTCCCTAAACAAGTGATGCCAAGTGATGAGTAGCTTTGGCCCATGTCTTGTAATTTCTAGAAACCCCAAACAGGAAAGAGCAAATGCAAATTATTGTATTTTATTACTCTGCCTTCTAAGAGAAGCACGGAGGTGTAGAAGCAAGAGTGTAAAATTTAGACTGGTCCTGGGTTCAAAACCCATCTCAGTCACAACAGATTGCATCCAATGTCCGTTCTACTCAGAATAGACCTACTGAAATCAATTGGCCCATTGATCATGCCTGTTAATGTCAATGGGTCTACTCTGAGTAGAACCATCATTTTATACAAGCCCATGTCTCAGCCCAATCTATCTCATGGTAGCCGAACAATGATGCATTGCCCAAGGTAATAGCTCTGGTATCTCAACAAACAAAGCTAACGGTTCTTGATTCCAGTCCTGGCAGGTCCTGACAGTGTCCCAAACCATGCTAGGGCACAGAGAAAACTGAATATGGCATAGCAATGGAGGGGTCCTTGGCCCCCTCAATATTTGCTGGGAGGGGGCCAAGCCCCCTGAATGTTGAGGGGGTGGAGGAGGTTGAATGGCTGGCTCCTCCCAAACATGAGAGAGGAAGCCGCGCTGCACTTGGCTCCTCACTCAGCCTCCTCCCAACGATGTGCATTGCACGTGTGAAATGTCATATGCATAACCTGCAATACACATGCAACGTTGCATCATCCGGAGGCAGCCAAGCAGGGAGCCCAGTGCAGTGCATCTTCCTCTCTCACAGGAGGAGCCAGCCATTGAGCCATGCCACGCTGGGCTCTCCATTTGGCCTCCACCTGGCGATGTGATGTGTGCACATTGCATGCATAATGTCACACATACATGATGGGAGATGCAGTCCAACAACATTTGGAGAAGGGCATTGTGCTCTTCCTATGCTCAAATGACTCCAGCATCAAGTTGAGACATCCAGCTCTTGACTGACATAACTGTCAGCGTCTGATTCTAACTGCATTCAATAGACTATAAAAAGAAATTGGCAAAACACAATTCCACCAGGTAAAGCAGATAAAACCACCGTCCTTCCATTCGTCATAGGATAAATATCTGTCATTCTTCATGACCAACTGACAAATAAACAATCCCAGTAATTAAAGGGTACGGTGCATCCCATTATTCCATACTTCATCCGACTTGAGGCAGACAAATAAATTGTAACAGTAGCATATGGATGGAGACCAAAAAAATTGCCAGCCCCCAAATATGACATCCCTCTGCTTGTATCAGCAAGAGAATGTGAGGAAATGCATCAATAATACCCGTCAACATTGGTAACCCAGGCCATCTGGACGTCGAGCGGAAGCGCTGCCAAGAGTGTATTAAAATATTTTAATCTCATTGTTTTCCCACAAGAATGCTGCCTCACATGCAGAAGTGTAAGGTCTGCTAAACGGCCAGGCCCATCAACGCAGGCTCATGCTTGGTGTCTGATAGCTATTTAATTAAGAGATACTGAGGAAGGGGGTAGTCAGTTACAAGCAATAAGCAGGCTCCCAGGCGGACAGGAGAGGCCGGCAATAATATAAAGGAGGAAATGGATCTCTGCATTGTGTCTTTGTTGTGCTGCCTAATTAGAAGTTTTCTTTTTTAATAATTAAAGAACACAAATGTCCATCTCGCTTATGAAAGTGTTGCCTCTGTGCTTTCAAAAAGGCAGATGCTTAGTTATTCCCATTTACAGTGATTAACGGAGGGTTGGAAAAGTCCCAAAGCAAATGTGACCAGCCAGGAATGATGCAACAAGAATGTTTCTTGTGGTGAACTTGCATTTGGATAAGAAATCAGGCTGTTCTTCAGAATGTTTAGATCAGGTCTGGGGAAACGTGAGGCCCTGATATTGCTGGACTCCCATTCTTGTCAGCTCCAGCCAGCATGGCCAATTGAGATGTGATGGGAGCTGTAGGCAACAACATCTGGGGGGACCATGTTGACCACTCCTGGTGTAAGGAAACGTCTTCTTCATTTTGCCACAGGAAACATGGCAGAACTAAAGAACAGCTTCAGGGAGTGAAGACAAACTCAAAGTGTTCAAGTGCAGAGGAGTTATGCAGAAACCAACAGTCCAATATTGCAACATTCAATAAAAAATCACCACAATTATTATCGGTGTGGCGATGAAGAGGTGGACCTTATCTATGGTGGCACCAGTGTTATAGAATGCACCCTGTTGAATTATATCCTACTTGGTATTCCACCAACTTTTGAAGTTGCACTTGTTTACATATGTGTTCCCTTGATCTTTGGAGCTGTGGGTCCTGTTTTAATTACTATTGTTTTAATTGAATTGTTTTATTGCATACATTGTGTATTTAAATTATGGTTTATATTTTAATAGAATTTGATTTTATACTTGTAAACTGCTTAGATGCTTATTTTGGCATTAAATGGTATTATTAATTTTATTATTATCCCTCAGTTTTAGCTTCTCTCAGTTTTCCAAGTTATTCAGTTCTCCACATTTCTGCAGTAATTTGCATTTCTTTAAAAAATCTCATGAAAATTATTCAGCATTTCTGTGAGCTTCTTCTAGTAAAGACATGTTTGTATTTTGTACACATTTCACAAGCAATACAGTGCATTTCTGTAAACGCTGGTAGGTCAGAGAACTCCATCACGAAATTCAGATAAGTGCAAATTTCAAAGGACAGTTGTGCTTCCATTCTCACATTGTTTCAGAAAGTGCAAAAGTGTCTTTAAATGCAAACCGAATTGAATTTCTCCTCCAGTCCATAGTCTCTAGGCTGCATTATTTAAAGGAAGAAAGGCCATTCCCAAACATTGTATCGTCAGCTGGATTTGATGCAGTGGTTCAGTTCATCAAAACAGTCGTAAATTAGTCCTAGCTAAGTTTGGACATGTTGTATGTTTATTAGTGAGGAAATTGCAAGCACAAATCAAGTTGTACTCATGTAAGATTCAGTCATGCAAGGTATTGCACGCTCTAGCCTCATCTAGCAGAGCACTCAAGCATGTCAGCTTTTAAGGCACAGCTCTCCAGTTTTTAGCAGAAGCACATGCCTTAGGCTTGTGTATCATCCACACACATATGGCTAATGTTGGAAGAAGCTATAGGGATGAGATTCATCAGTAATAAGCATATCCTGGACCCAGGCATCAGAGCATTATAGGTTTGAGCCCAGAGCTGTGCATCAACATGCAAGTCAAAACACCTGAAAACTCAGAAGAGTAGATATGCCAAAGAGTACTTTGTTTTGTTACAGGAACAAAGGAAACTGCCTTCTATCCTGTCGGACTATTTGCCCATTTAGCTATAGGAACATAGGAAGCTATCCACCGTCTCCATGCCATGTATCATTTTATACACTTCTATCATGTCACCTCTTAAAGTACCTTTTCTGCAAACTAAAAAGCTCCAAATGCTGCAGCCTTTCCTCATCAGAAAGCTGCTTAATCATGCTTGTTAATTCTAATGTGTCTACTCTGAGCAATCTGTATACCAACCAGAGGCTTAAGCCACAATTTCAGAGTTCAAACATCTAGCAATATGCAGAAGCAACGTGTTAAGGAAGGCATAAGCAAACTCGGTCCTCCAGATGTTTTGGGACTACAACTCCCATCATCCCTAGCTAACAGGACCAGTGGTCAGGGATGATGGGAGTTGTATTCCCAAAACATCCGGAGGGCTGACTTTGCCTATGCCTGTGTTAAGGCATGCAAGAGGCTGAAATACCAATGCACAACAATTCTTTTCCATCCAATAAACCATGGTTTGTCAGACTGATATTGATATGTCTGAATCCAGCCAATGACTTGCCATTAGCCCACTGTGCAATACATTTCTTCTTACAACACTAGGTAGCTCGACCGTGCAATTTGTATTCATAGTCACGGCGCTAGCAAAGGCAGCTTCGTGTCCAATTCCCTAGAGGAAGAGACCTTCAGCCACTGGCAGCTCAAATCAGTCTCCAGTTACACGAGGACACGGGCCGTAGCTTTCTGTCACATTGCCACATGCTCAGGAACAAGAGATGCTCTGTCTTTATTCCTTGTTGACACAGAAGTGGTTTGTAACTGCATTCCTGCCGGAGGAGCACAGATTGCCAGCAAGTAGCTTTTCCAGACAAGTAACTTCTCTGAAAATGACCGTATGAAGTTATAGCTAATTCATTTTCCCCACTCCAATCTGATGACTATAACTCATTATAGCATTTTATTGATCAGCTCAGCTGTGTACGTCCTTATAGGGAGCAAGCTCAATAACACTCAATATTACATTTTTATTACACCCAAGCTGCTTGGCTCGCCTGCACATTTTTTCTTCTTTGGTTTCTCTGAGATTCTGCCAGTGCAGAAAACAAAACAAAAGCAAATGCCCCCATTCTCAAATTGAAACATACAACACATCACTGTACTAAAGACAAACTTTTGCAGTCTAGTGTTCACTCAATCAGCTGCCTGCAGTCTAAGAACACAAGACAAGGAGGAGAGTCCTACCTGACCAGGCCAAAGACCCATCAAGTTCAGCATCCTGTTCACAAAGTGGTCCACTAGATGTCCATGGGAAGCTTGCAAGCATAACCTGAGCACTACTACCTCTTAAAACTTGTGATTCCCAGCAATTGGCATTCAGAGTTATACAGCTTCCATAATTTATCTACTGTGTGAAGAAGTACTTTCTTTTGCCTGTCCAGAATCTTTCAACAATCAGCTACATTGAAGCAGCCCAGAAATGCAAATAAAAGCAAATTAAAGCTGGACTGAATTTGCTATGAAAATAATTTTGGTTGAAAATTTGAGAGTGCTTTTTCAGGACTTGACTGAACTGTTGGAGAATTTCAGTCTTCCTGATCAAAAAATAATTAGTGGAATGCCCCACTCCACCCCAGTTTCTGCATTTGAGAATAATATATAGTATAGAACTTTAAAGATGTCCTGTAATAAAATTGTTCTATCTACCTGCCTACAATTTAGCAGGCTCAGTTGACTGTGGAGGGACTGCTGTGCCTGCAAATTTCATTCACTTCTGTAAAAGCAAAAAATTTAAAAAATATAGCCATTTGTAGTTCCCCCATTATAGTGAATGGGGAGGCAGAGTTTCATTTTTAACAAATGTAATTTGGTCCCAAATAACAAGTCAAATTGTAAAGAAATGTTGTGGCTCTGAAACAGATTGAGCTGCTTCCCAAAGCTACATTCACAGGTACAGTACAAGTAAACACTTGTGGCCTGGGCACACCATTGATAGTTATTTACTTGTAAAGCAAATTAATAATGATAGATGAATCCCCATTCCTTCCCGATGTCTTTTTATGACAAGTGAATGGAAATAAAGACATGAATGGTAGAAGCAAATGTCATTTCATTTTGTTTCCCCATTATTTCCTCATAGGAGAGATTTCCTGAAACTGCCAAAAGGCGCAGCATTAGGTTTATTAGGAATGAAGGTTGATACATTCCTAGAAAATTCTACAGGAGGGGGGATCTTCGAGTGTTCTGAATGTGGTGAGGCATGAACATTCTCCAATATGAAGCATGAAGCAATGGTTGAGGTCACAACTGGAGTATTAAGTCCATTACTGGGCATTGTGTTAAAAGGGCACTGACATACTAGATCAGGTCCATAGTGGGGCAACCAGAATGGTGAGGGGTCTGATACCAAGTCCTTTGAGGAATGGTTTGAAGAAATAGATTTGTTTAGACAAGAAAACAATGAGGACAATAGCAAAACATCTGATTTGTGTGCAGAAGGCCTCAGGTTCAATCCCCAGCATCTCCAAATATGTCTATGGAAGACCGCTGCTAGCAACCTTAGTAAGCTACTGCTACTGTAGACCACACCGGGCTTAATAAACCATGAGTGTCACTCAACATAAGGCAGGTTTAACTGTTCAAACACTATCCTAGGCAGGTAAGAAGGACCATAGTTCTATAGTTAGAGCTTCTGTTTTGCATGCAGAAGCTCTCATGTTCAATCCTCAACATGTCTAGGTAGGGCTGAGAGAGACCCTACCTGAAACTTTGGAGAGCTGCTTCCATTCAGCGCTAGAAGGACAAATGGTCTAACTCAGTATAAGGCAGCTTCCTTTATTCCTATGTTATCCTCAAAATGTAAAGTTTCTGCTCAGGTGGGTAGCCTGCCAAGATGGGTTGCTCAGAAGAATGTGGTGGTGGCCTGTGGTTCAGCAGCACAGCATGTGCTTTGCATGCAGGAGGTTCCAGGTGGGGTTGGGAGAGAGACTCCCTGTCTAATACCCCAGAGCTGCTGCCAGTCAGTGTAGACAATACTGAGCTAGATGGCCCAATGATTTCCCTTGGTACAAGGCAGTTCCTCTGTTCTTAAGATTAAGCGGGGACATGGTAGCTGTTTCTCAAACGAACTACATTTCAGAAGATGGGGCAGATTTGTCCCCCGTTTCTCCTCCTATCCAGGGAGTGGAAATAGTATAGAAGTAGATTACAGCTAAGCAGTAGTTGGAATTTTGAACTGTAAGAACTGTTTGACAGTAGCTTCGAATTGTCAAGAGAGGAGATGGGGTTGCCTTTCCTGGAGGTATTTAAACAGAGGCTGACCAGCCATCTGACAGACATAATGCTGTTTCATGTGGCAATGTAGCTCCATTGTTGAACAGAGGGTTTCGTTATATGACCTCCAATATCCCTTCCAACTCTCCAGTTACAAGGTTTTTGTCCTGAGTACACTCAGTCTGAGGAGGACAAATGGCTGGTAGTTTAATTCTTTATTGACAGAGCACACACTTACAGTAGCTCCTAAGGTGCACTGAACACACACAAACACACGTTTCTGTTGACTAAGTAACTGGCTCCTGACACATCCTACACCTCTCCAATCTCTTTCCCTTCCACCAGCCCTGGCTCCTTCCTTGCTGGTGGCACAAATCCCCATAAATTGTTAACCCTCTTCCTCTTGATCAGCCTTGGCCATCCTGCCTCTATTACGCATTCCTTGTATCCCCAGCAGTCCCTGGCAGTTACATGAAACTTAGAGGATACCCTCACCTCCACCCCACCCCACCCTTTTCATTTGCTTATATAATATGAATTATTTGCATTTGGCAAGTCTGGTTCCTTCAGGAGCAGCGCAACACTCCTTTGGGGAATGCTGCAAGCTACATGCCATCTGGGTGGTAAATTCCAAAGTTGTAGAGATTGGCCAGGTCTCCATTGTAATCAGTGCCAAAGCAAAACAAATTAAACATTTATGAAACAGTAACAAAAGAAAACAATTTCCACAATATCAAGTGGAAAATGAAGCAAACGGGCCTGCTAGAAAGGAAAGCGAGTAAAAAAGCTAACACTTCACAAGTGCATAGCCCTATCCCAATACCTGCATAACTTCATGTAAGTTCAGCAAACCTGTGTTATCATGCATCCTGGGACTGTTTCATCCCCCACGTGGGTTTTCTTTTTCCCCTGCAGAAGATATTCAATACCACTTTGGTATCTGACCAAAGCACTTTTTTAAGGCTCCTTCCAGCCAGAAGACAAACCCTTGCTGCCATCAACTGATTCAGTGGAGCTGTCTTCCACAGTACCCAATCTTCCCACACTCACAGGAGCCAAACATTGCAAAATCAGGTGATGCCTATTTTAAAAGCCAGCCGGTGAGCTTTCCTGGGGAGGTGGGGATTACTAAACTGAAGCTCAATCAGCACATAGAAGACTTCAGTTGGATTCAGGTGTTTACAGAGACAAGGTTTGGTATAGCTACCCTGGGATCTCCCCAAGGAGCTGCAGGGGATCTGGATTCCCAATTGACTTGGCCTCTTGATGATATCTGGCTAGGCTTCTTCTGAGCCATGGCCTCTCAAAGACCAGGACACTGATAGTATCACACTTTCCCCTCTAACTGCTTTCATTTAAAGCAAAGCACTTCATCCTGGGTTCTCATACTGTCCATGTTCTCATGAAGACTTCACATCCTGCATGCAGATTAATCTGAGGCATCTGGTTGGCCTCTATGGGAAACAGGATGCCAGACAAGAGAGTCTCTTGACCTGACTGAGCAGGAGTCATGGTCTTTTTTATGTACAAAGACAGTTTAAACCAGTGTTTCCCAAACCTGGACTACAATTCCCATCATGCCTGACCACTGGTCCTGCTAGCTAGGGATGATGGGAGTTGTAGTCCGAAAACAGCTGGAGACCAAAGTTAGGTAAACCTAGTTTAAACCAATTGCCCAGTGGGACCCACATCAAGAGGAATGTTGGTGAGTATCAGTATCTGGGGTAGAGCAACAAGGGGGAAGACCTCTTGTCTTCAGCTCTTCTTGGAAGACAATACTTTATGATCTAGCAGGGGGCTTCATATGTTCTTAAAGTCCACCAGCTCTCACAGCAATGTAACATGCATCAGGGTTAAAATCCTACTGAATACAGAAATAACCAAGTCTAAAACTCTTCCCTATTACATTCAGCTATTTAAGTATGGGCAATGTTGCAATGTCACCTTAGCCCGCATCTGATTCAGTTGATCCAACAATAAGTATTGTGATTCAAGGGCTGAGTTTGCCACTTGAAATGTTAGGGGTATTCCAAGCAACCTTTTCCTGAATTTGACAAAAAGGGAGGGGGGTGTGGTGGATGAATATAGAGCTGCTGATAAACATCTCATAAGTGCTTTGCCCTTGAAATGTAATGCAACTGTGAAAAAGGTCAAATGAGGCACCTTCCCATATTTACTGCCAGATGTGCATATATATATAAAACAATTCCTTCTTACAAATCTGTTAAGTGCTCTAGTGCACACAAGAACTCTGCCCCCACATCTTGAAAACACAAACCATTGCAACCACATATAGGAATTTTAGAGGTAAGTGTGCTAGTGTGGCTTTAGATATGGCAAATGGAACCCATCTCAATTAGTGGAAATTACTTTCTGTACCAAATTAGATGTTCCAATGAAAAAATCTATCCATTCCACAAACAAACACCAGGCTTCTCTCTCCAAAATAAGGCAAGAGTCAATTTATCGCATTCCATTTATTTATTATTCTGTAGACTCACTTTTGCCAATGTTTTACCTTCTCCTTTATTCCAGTTTGATGAAAGAATTTCTAAAATCAATTTTGGTACTGAAACACATGCAGTTAATTGCAGTTTCCCTTCACCTCACCTTTTTTTTTATCTTCCACATTACTGATGCCCGTATATAAAACACTGCAAAAAAACCATTTTGGTGAGCCCATACCTAGGACTAGATCAATATTCTTTTTGTATGGTGCTTTACTGATGTTCACATGAGCTCCTATGACCAGCAAAACAAAATTCAAAAAGAATTTAACACAACCAGCTAGACAACCACATGAATAGGGCTTTTTGTAGTTTTAATCATGATGCACAACTACAAGTGGATGATGGTAAGCCAGCACACAAAAGGAATTCAGCATGCATGTAATTCCATCAATATTGCTTTTTTGGTAGTGGTGGTTTTTGTTTATTTATTTATTTATTATATTTACATGTTAACACAAGGAATTTCATTGTACTAATTAGACCACTATGGTTTTTGGTGGCTCTCCAGTAACTCACACTGGGATACTTCTTAGTCCTAGATTCCAGAAATTGAGCTTAGGATCTTATGCATGCAAGACATATACCCTACCACTGAACTAGAACCAGAAAAGCAGGGAAAGTAGAAGAAGTTATGAATAAATTGAAGGAAATAAATCTGTAGCAAACTATTCTTGCACATGTTCTCCCCAACATTTTGATATAAGTATAATATAGAGGATTCTAATGCACTGATTTCAGTCTGAAAGTAAGACTGGGTCATTCAGTACTTTAAAATTCAGAGATAAATTGGATTGGAGGAATTTCAGAAGCACCACTAATCCAAATACACTAAAAAAAGAAAGATCTACTCAATCACATTGGTGGTGGCCATGGATAACTCTGCAAACGCAAATGGTAACAATCAATTTAGGTTAAGGCCAGCAGATTTTATCACTCACCTTGCCCACGGGCCTTGGGAATGGAGATCTCTGGTTTTCAGGAATTAAGATTGGAGTTGCCACAATGGACCTTCTTTGCCTTACAATTCCAAGGCTGCCTTCTGCCTTAAAGATTTCCTAAAGAAAGAAGGAAAGAATAATGAGATTAATTAGCCCAAGGCTTCTTAGGACAGCATAATTTATTATCCATCTTGCACATATTTTTTACTTCTGAATAAAAGCATCCATGAGCCAGAGTCCTACTAATAGACTTTATCAACCTTCATTAGCTGTAGAAGTATTGTTAGTTCAAGACACAGGATCAGGCTTCTGATTAATGAAGATCATTATTAAGCTTCTTCAAGTGAAATCTTCAGGATCGGCCTATTTATGAGAATGTCAATAATGACAGATAATTCATGCTTCACCCTGCATCCCTATAACCACATTGTGTCAAAAAAGCAGTAGAGATTATATTAGCAGCTCTCCATTTCTGCTGAAGGAAGGTATGGGAAGAGAAATGCCAGCATAAGTGACTGAGACTGTCAGCCTGTTTGATCTGATTGCAGAAATGTGTGGGTCACATTTCTGAAGTAAGAGTACAACTGTGCCTGCAGGAACACAGGATGTTGGTGTTGGCTGCATCCTGGATGGGTGTTCATGTATCAGGATGTCTCAAAAGAGGGTGTCTAATGATGTCCCACACTGTATGTTGGAACTTGCCATTACTTTCTGAAGCAAGGGTTGGATTCAGTGCTAATTCTACGCAGAATAGATGCACTTCTCCAGTCAAAACAAAATTTATGTGCACATAAATGCGTATGTTATGAGAAAGTGTGCATATGAATGCATATGTTAGTGAGAATAACATACAAAAATGCATTATATTAGGTGAAACTGCTTGCAATAATGTGTATATTAGTCAAATATGCATGCAGAAATGTTTTTATTAGCAGAAGTTTGCACCAAAACACTGACAAATTTCTATGAGGTTTATTTTTAAATAATAATCACAAAGTGCTCCAGAAACATGAAGAACTAAATTTATGACTAGAAAAAGAGAAACAGAGAGAAACAACATTGACATATTTGACAACTCCTAGTAATAACCAAGGTCCCAACTCCTAGTAATAATCAGCATTAATAGGTCCCAGCATATCTATTTTAGCCTAGATCCTGGTGCTCGGTTTTAGCCCCCAAATCCAACCTTAGCTGCACCACTGGTCATGAGAACTGCACAGGCACAATCTTCTCTTGCCATCATATATCACCTTCCATTATTTATGAAAGATTCATGCTAATATTGAATTTGCCTCCATCCTCAGACAGTTGCCTTGGTTCTTTAGCCTTTCATTGTATGGAATATTGAGGATCTTGAGCACTGCAATGCCTTGCATTTTAATTTCACTCTCTCCAAAGAGGGTGTGTGTGTGTGTGTGTAAGAGAGAGAGAGAGTCCACACACATGCAAAGACACACAGTTGATGTGTCAAGGAAAACTGAAGTCTGTCGAAAAGGCAAAATGTGTGATGCAGCAGAAGTGAGCTTTCAAATCCACTTTGAAAGTGAAGACAGACAGAGGGGCCCAGCTGCCATGTATCTGTGGCAGAGGTTAGAAGACTTACATGAATCAGACTTCTGTATTAAAAACAGTAGGAACAACAACAACATCCACCCTTGTGGATTCCTGGGAGTCAATCCAGGACCACTTGCATGTATGTAATACTAATTACCTAAACAAGATTGCAGCACCAGCATAAGTGATGACAAAAAATTACCAAAAATCCCCCTTTTAACAAAAGAAGTCCTTCTGGATACCAAGGACCTGTGTCCCACACAAATCTTATCAAAAGTCAAGGGGCATAGCTCAGTGGAAGAGTACATACATTCAGTTCCTAGCACTCCAAATTTGGCAGGGGAAAAGTCTCAATCAAGAGGGCTGAAAAAGGCCCCTCTAATATCTTGGAGAGATGCAGCTCTGGACTAGACAGATTAATGGTTCAATGTATCTTCATACATTTTGCACATACTATAAACACATATCCTTTGACTATCATGCTAATCACATAGCACTTTTCAAAAGAAACATTTTCGCTCCAACACCATAGTATCAAGGTGTTTGATTTCCTACTGAAAATGAGCAATAACTTGTCTGTCATCATGGCTCAAGCTCACAGTGACACAGAAATTGTTTTTGTGGACTCCAACTAAATAGATTTAAGGTCCATCTAAAGTGGAATGCTGCTTGGGCATAATGTTTTTTCCCCTTGCTGTAGAATTCTCCATTCTGTTTGTTTCTTTATTTTTTGCTGGGAAAAGTCCCTTTGGGATCCTACCACATTCAAAATTTGAATGAATGACCTGGCCACTTCCTGGTAGCAGACACCATTAGTCTTAGCAAGGAAAACTTCATTAGAAGCCGTCATGGGTATGAGTCAGACAGCTGGGCCGTTGCCTATTTGTCACAATAAGAGTTGGAATCATCATTGGCGTGGCAATCGGTAACCTATTATGGCTGACCAGGAAGCTGTGTTCCATGTTGATTAGCTATATATTAGATTTGATTGTGTAGATCTGCAGGAGGAACATGGCTCCTTCCCCATAAGTTTATGAAATAGCTGCAAGCAAAAAAAAAAAAAACCCATTGAAATTGCAAAGTGGAAACTAATATTCATGATGTTAGTTGAAGAGTCTACAGCAGGGCTAGGGAGCTTAATTAATCATTCAAGGCCTCCTCATTTGACCCACAATGCCATTTCAACCAAGCCATGCCCACCTGCTTTACAGCTAACATCATGTGTGGGATGTCAGGGGCTGGCAGAGCCAGGAGCAGGATGAGCCTGGGGGAGCACAGAATGGGGAAAAGATGATCCCAGGGAAGGGCCCAGCAGGTTGTGGTGCCCACTGGCAGGAGAAGGAGAATGGGAGACTAGTGATATAGAGGGAGAGAGGCAAGAAACCCTAGAGGACCATTGCCAGTCAGTGTAGACAATATTTGTCATTTCCCCTGCTTCTGGTCACCACAAGGAAGACTAAGATTTGGATAAATTACTTCTGGAGGACTCTTCAGCACCTGCTTCTTCTCTGTACCAACCTGAAAGCTAGATGGACCAGTGTCTCTCTCTCTCTCTCTCTCTCTCTCTCTCTCTCTCACACACACACACACACACACACACACACATTCTATCAGTGCAGTTCCGGAGGAGGATTTTGTATTGGATGACTGGGAAATCATCTTGTCTGTGTCGCAATACCTTCCCTGCCTGCCAGGAGTTCACACGGATCCTGTCGGACATAATTAATATCTGTCAAGTGTGCCAAGTACAAATTATCCCAAGCACCACTTGATTGTTATCATAGACTCTATATTGGCAGTTAATACTTTCAAAAATGTTTGCCAAATCATTAAAAATCTTTGTTCTTATTAACAGCCCTCTCAAAGACTCTGCAGTGCTCCGGGCTTCATAACTGAGCAAAAAGAACAGCTGTTCAAATAAATCTCAGATCAATGAATAAAGTTTTTTTTAAATAAATAAATAAATAAATAAATCCAGACCTATCTACAGAAATCTTACTCAGGTACAATCACCTCACACTCCCAGACCTCCCCATACCCACCCCCCCAAGATAAGAAAATAAACTTGATAATTAATTAGATTTGAAAGATTCTGCCCTGTTAGAACTAGTTGAAGGACTCTGGACCATCCTCTAAAACAGGTTTGGGGAAGCTTCAGCCCTCCATATGTTGCTGAATTACAACTCCCAACAGATATAGGAGAAGGCTAGCCATAAAGCAGAGGTGGTTAACCTATCATCCTCCATATGTTAGAATCCAATTCCCAAGGGCCATGGTGTCTGGATCTGATGAGTGTATACAAGAGCACTACCATTATCCACCCATGTCATAAAAGATGGAAAGACAGCATCCAAACAATCTGTTACTTTGATACTCCAGATACTACAACAAGCAATCTGAAGTTGAGACCCAACAGAGATACACAGAAGTCTTGTGGAGACACACAAACACACACATGCAGATCAGACACACAAGTTAGTAAGATGGTCCGTCTCCATTCACAGGATGCTTAAGAGAGTGAAGTCTCTAATGATTCTTTTTATGGCACAACAATCTTCCACCCTTTTCTGAATGTTCTAAGGTTTTCACATCCAACGGTTCTAGTGGTCCAATGGTCACAGAGCAGTAAAACCCAGCTTATTTCTCAGGATTCTGTCATGGAATCTCACCAACCAAAATGTCAACTGGAATCACTCCAGGTCTTTCCGTACTTTGGTATAAAACGTAGGTCAGGATCTCAGATCTTTCTACCCTTAATCAATGTTTCATGGGGGCATTCCCTAGTCTAGTTAAAAATGATTCATATCTGTAAGGCAAGCTGAATGAGACTTGAGCATTACACAGCACAGTAAATGATTTACATCTTGTCAGTCTCATGCCATTAGTCATAATGCCATGGCCGCATACATCTCAATAGAATGCAGTTTCAGCTCAAATTCATTAGTTTCCAAGCAGCTTCATTGTCTGAAGCTCTGGAGAAAGAAATGTGATCAGTCAATCAGTTTCACGCCTCCTATTGCTCTCATATTCTTTCCTTAAACTGTAGATATAGGTTATTTCCCTGAAAAAATATACCGCAGCAATTAATTTCCTCACTGGGAATGTTAGCACTGGCTTTCAGATAAATTCTCTTTGCTTCTTGATTCCATATGTCCCAGTGAAGTATCTCCAAGAACCAGAAGTTTAGAGATTATTTAGAAACATTTATTGGAAATTCTAATAGATTAGACAGTAGGGAGATGGCCACAGGGTATGGTTTGAAAGTGCATGAGGCTGCTCCTTTGATGATGCTAAGCAGGTCTGGGTTTGTGTTTGGTCTGGGACAGTGCTTGAATGGGTGGCCACCTGGGAAGCACATGTATGATGCCTTTGACTCCATGAATGCTGAAAGGTGGGTTATATAAAATAAATAAATGAAATGAAATGCTGGGTAGTGGTGAGGAGCTCAGGCCAGCAGGACAACTGTAGCCCTCCAGGTCCCTTGGGACTCTTCTCAGGCCACCCCCCACCTCCTTCGCAGTGTTTTAAAAAATGCAACCTGTTACTGCATTACTAGGGACGCGGGTGGTGCTGTGGGTTAAACCACAGAGCCTAGGACTTGCCGATCAGAAGGTCGGCGGTTTGAATCCCCGTGACGGGGTGAGCTCCCATTGCTTGGTCCCTGCTCCTGCCAACCTAGCAGTTCGAAAGCAGGTCAAAGTGTAAGTAGATAAATAGGTATCACTCCGGCAGGAAGGTAAACAGCATTTCCATGCACTGCTCTGGTTCGCCAGAAGCAGCTTAGTCATGCTGGCCACATGACCCGGAAGCTGTACGCCGGCTCCCTCAGCCAATAAATCGAGATGAGCGCCGCAACCCCAGAGTCGGCCATGACTGGACCTAATGGTCAGGGGTCCCTTTACCTTTACCCTACTGCATTACTATGAAGTCCTCTAGACCCCATTCAGTATAATGGGGGAATCTAATAATTGTTATTGACACCCCCCCTTTAGGCCAACTTTGGGAGACTGTTAACTGACTTCATGGTAAGCTTTATGCTAATGAATTTCCTTTGAATATATTTTAACTGAACTCTTCTTCTTCTTCTTCTTCTTGCAATTAATTTCCCAACCTCCACCTTAAAGTCCCAGGTGGGGGTAGAATAATTAAAACACAACATTCATATTCAAATGCAATATTACACAATATTTAAAAACTTTAAAACAAAATTACAAAGTAAGGTGTGCCCTATTGTATGTGTGTGTTTTTGCAAACTACTTTGAGCACACCTGTATATGTGGAGAATGTCATATATAAATAAACTGACTGTGCCTTCCACACACACACACACTATATATATATATATATATATATATATATATATATATATGTTAAAAAAGTAAATATAAATGTGTGTGCATTGTTCAATATGGATCTCATTCCATTATGAGAATGAAGCACAAAAGCAATTTCTTGTTTCCCTTAAGCAATAGTGCAGCATGTAAAAATTACTTTTAGATATTTTATTGGCTCTGCCATACAGGGCCCTGGTACTCTAGGTCTGTGCTGAAATAAAAATGATGCATCTGGGTCTATTGATGCACTGCTGGCATCTGTGCACAGGGAAGCCACTTTAAACAAATATAATGAGAAGAGAAGTTCATGCACGCAGCGGGTGCACTTTGCAAATTCCTTCTGGTGTTCGATGGATAGCTTGCGACCAGAAATATCCCCATCTCTAAACAAAGGAACACAGCAAGATATAACAAGTGGCATCAACTTGCAGGTTAGACGGGTGAGGTGAAGTGAACGATTGTATCCCTGAAGTCACAGTGGTGTACCCAGCTCCCTGCCTTTGGTGAAAAATCAGTTTTAGTACCCTAAAACTCAACCAGTAATAGCAGTGATTTATGCCCCCTGCCCTTCATTTTCTCTCTCACTTATTTGGCAGAGTCTGTTTTTGCACAGTATTATGCCCAGGAATTGACAAAAAGGATGAGACACACAGCTTCTGTGTAGAGATGGTGGCAAGGGCAGGGAAGATGGGGTTGGTGCTTTGTCACATCCTTTGGCCTCATCAGAGCTCAGGTTCAGTATCCATCCCCCTCAATTAAAAAGATTCCATGTAGTACAGCTGAGAAAGACCTACTTCTGCTTGAGAGACTTTGCTGGTCCAAGCAGACCAATCTGGACTAGATGGACCAATGGGCTGATTTGGCATGAAACAGCCTCATAGAGCCTGTGTCCAATATTTGGGGCAAATATTCCAAACCACTGAGATGGCTGTTTCTGAGCCAGCAAATGAAAAATCTGGCAGCACTGCTAAATAAAAACTCATTCTGATATATGGATACTTGGCAATTAAGTACTGCTGTATTCAATTGTGTTTGCTCCCTTGTAAGTGTGTTTCAGATTGTGGACTAAATCATTTATTCAAAGAAGGGTCTTCTGAACCAATCCTCTGTGTGTGTGTGTGTGTGTGTGTGTGTGTGTGTGTGTTCAAGTAGGATACCATTGCTACTGGTCCTCGTTGCACCCTGAAGTTCGTTTCATCCCAGCCACAAACTTAATGCTGTTTCTTTTAAGCATGCTCACTGCAATGCATACAAATGTCAAATTTTCTGTGAAAGGCTCATTTTGTCAGAGTTCATAGGCATTCTCTGAAAAGGGCCCTGAGTGGAAGAGCTCTTGTTCAAACTCCTCCATGCTGCAGTCTGAATGTCGAGTCGTAAAGGAGGTCTAGTAATCGAGAGAGGATCCTGACCTTCTCTACTTTAGCCACTGGCATCTGCCAAAAACAGCCTTTGAGAAGAGGGTCGTAAGGAATGAATGCTCATCGCGGTGCTCCTGTATTCCCTCTCTAAGCCAAGCCTGCCAGGGCTGACAGTTGAAGTGGTGGTCCGTGATGAAGACAAAATGCTCACATAGAAGGAGGCCAAGGCCAAACTGCTCGTTTTGAAACAAGCTAAACTCTGAAACAGAATCCAAAGAGCTAGGAAATGTAAGTGCATCAATCCACTTCACACTTCACACATTTACTCCTCTATCCAAATTAATTAACGGGCATTAACTGCTTGGTGCTAAGAGCTTAGCAATTCTGCTCGGGGATACAAAAAAGGGCAAATGTTGGCAAAGAGATTGGGTGCAACTTTGCATCACACAGTCTGGATAACATGCTGGCCAGATGCAAAGGCTTGGTCTGAGAGATGGATGCTTCACTGCAGACATACTCCAACAGGGATGTGCAAAGAAGACTCTTGCTTTTATTTTCCTTGAAGGCTTTGTTCACACAGTTTATTCCATTTCCCTGATGTTCGGCTAAGTGTTAATTTCTGCATCACATTTGAACTTCCACATGATGTGGAAGCCACTTCCAGTAAGCTAATGGAAGGTAGTGCATGTTTACTATTCATTTCCACATGATTTGATTCCAGAAAACAATCAATTTCCAGCTCCCTTAACCCAGAAAATGTGGGAGCAAAGTGAAGAAATTTGGGGCTGAATATGCATTTGCTGTTTTCACGGGAGCATTATGCAGGAACAGGAGCACGCATGTGCAGAAAGGGTGGAGGAGGGATGACATTGTCCAATGACATTCATTGTTGTGTCACAGCATGTCCATTAGTGTGAATTAAATTTAGTGTGACATGCCAGTCTATCTGTCAAAAAGCCACAGTTCTATGACGCAACAGGAACTGCAATGTGAAAGGAACCTTAGAAAATGACACAGAACCACTAGCATTATAATCAGGAAAAATAATGAAATATCTCCCATATTAGAATGCACCCAAATAATCATTTGGCTTTCTTAAATATTTTCTTAGAACATATGCATGAGAAGGATCTTCCAAATGTGCTGCAAACTACTCTTTGGGCAATTTTGCAGATCTACAACAAAACTACACTCTTCTTCTTCTTTTCTTTTCTTTTTTTCTTCTTTTTTTCTCTGATTCAGGTAGGCTGTATTGGACAAACAGACCAAATCCTATGCCAAAGGATAAATGGACATAAATCTGACATCAGGAATCACAAGACAGAGAAGTCAGTAGGAGAACACTTCAATCACCCAGGACATTCAATACAGGATCTCAAAGTAGCTGTCTTATTACAAAAGAATTTAAGAAATAGACTTGAAAGAGAAGTTGCTGAATTACAACTTATTACTAAACTGAAAACTATGGTGAGACCTAGTCTGAATAAAGATATTGGATTCTTGTCTCATTATATATGCTAAAGCTATTTTTGGTCATCTGCATACTATCCCTTGCTTTTTCCTGGAGGACTAATTGCAGTCATTAACAGTCGTCAACAAGTTTACCATACCCATAGAGTCAATCACCCATCTCCTACTACCCTTCTGAGAAAAACTTCACCCCATCCTCCCACTATATATACAGTATAAGGGTCTGGTGACTTCTGTTTCAGTGTATCTGAAGAAGTGTGCATGCACACAAAAGCTTATACCCAGAACAAACTTAGTTGGTCTCTAATGTGCTACTGGACAATTTTTTTATTTAATTCTTTTCTCAGAATTGGATGCAATTCGCAAGCATGTGAAAACTGTTAGGATTTTTATCCACCCATGCTGCTCCAGTACGTAGCACTATGTTCTTTATATCATGTGAGTGTCTGTGAGACAGGAAGTCTCAATACTGCTGGAACTTTAGTTTCACTTCTGTGTGTGATGCTTTTCTATACTGCTGCTGAGAGAGCACAGACACGCTGATGGATTCTTTGTATATAGACTGTAAAATGAAGTAGTTTAGGGCTACTGACTGTCTCTTTCTTCTGCAATGAGATGTCAGAAGACAAGTGTGCTCCTCTCAGGATGGAGGGGTCACTTATCACCAGTCTCTCTGGACTGAGGGAGATTTACAGTCAGAGAATGACTGGGAGAGCCGCCCCGGTGTCTTGGGAAGTTGGTGGCCTTCCCTGCGTTTTTCCTAACAAAAACTTCACCCTCATCATTCGAGAATGGTCCAACTTAATAGAAGACATGGACCGTCTCTCATAAATAGCTAGTGCATGTGAAGCTGCCTTTCAGGGAAGTAATTACCTCCACCCACCCCTGCTCATGAGCAAACCCAAGAATCTCAAGCTTCCTAGGACCAGACTCTGAAAACCACTAACCTATGCTATAATGTCATGATGCAACCATGTTGCCTTATGGAAGCCCATTTTGAGCTTGCATCTGCATGGCTTCAGACTCAAAGCAGGGCACTTGCTTAAGAGCCAGTATTGATTTGCTTCATCATCTTTCTCCTCCATACCCACCCACTGCTTTCATTTCTCCACATTGCTCAAAAGGAATCAGTGCTGACAAGTTAATGAACTCCAGCTACAAAACACAAAGATAAGCTCAGGGATGGGTTTAGCACCTGCCGTGTTCTAATCACTTGAGGCCTTGCTTAGGTGAATGTTTCTTGATCGCTACAAGAGGTGGTGAAGGGAGGGAAGGAACCTGGAAAGTCTCCTCTCCATATTACTGTCTGCAAACAGAACGCTTATCACCTCACCAATTGCTGTTTACGGAACCCTATACACTCCTCCCCTTCATGGTTCCTAACATGGTTCCTAACAAAACTGATTCCTACCATGTGAGCTTAGAATCCAAAGCCATTCTTCTAAATATGAAGAAGCTGTGAGTAACTGACATTTTTTCTTCATTAATGGAATCTGCGTGTTTTATATTAGTGATGTGTGAATGAGACAGAATGAGGCAGTATCTCCAGCTTCCAAGATTGTAACTATGCTAAACAAATTTGTAACCCACGATTTCTTGGATTTAAACATGGACTGCAATGCAGACAGAATTTCTCTAACTTGTGGAGCTTCTTCCTTAAAAAAGAAAAAAAAAGTTATTTTAGGGCAGTTTATGTAACTATGGCATTTTCTAAGTCCTTTTCAAAAAAAAGAAGAAGACTGGTCTTTTGCCATGAGCAATGCTAAACCCCAGCCTGAGCATCAAATCCCATGTGCCTGCTATGCATTAACATTTCTTACAGTGCTAAAATGCCTAATGGTGTATCATTGAATATATTTCCTGACTCAGAATTCTCTCCTCTACCCTGACTGCATTTTTAAAATGTTCCCACTCTCTCTGCTATGCACTTGCTCTGCCAAAGAAGGAACAAATGTGGGCAACCAAACTGCTCCATGGAGGATCCTCAGACACAACCTGCTTCTCAAATTGTTGAGAATGTGATATGCAGGCTAAATGTATTTATTTAGACCCAGCTTTTCAACCAAGATTGACTCCCTAAGTGTCTTAGATATAAAATCCATACAAATGTACATTATGAATTTTAGGGAGTAGATTTTTAAGAAATAATAATAAAATGGCATTGATCAACTTCAGCAAAACCAGTCACACATAAGAAGGAAAACTGAGCAGGGGGCAGCAAGTAACTAAATCATTGAATGCATTGCTAAGGCTTCAGTTGGCCATGACATAGCCTCTCCATAAATAAGCAGGAGTGGCTGGAGGTCTGACATTGACTTCACTTCTATTTACATAGCTGATGTATGGGAGCCATACCTTGTCAAAATGATCATGTTTAGTTTGATCTCTAACAACCTTTCTGTGTTGCATTAGATGCTGAGAAAGAGCCAGATCCCAAACTTCCCCTTGCCATCCCATCAGAGACGAACCTTTGAGGTATTTCCAATGGGAGGAGATCTCTAAACAGATAACAGTAAACAGCATGGCTGTTTGGTCCTTATGAACTGGGAGGGGGAGAGAAATGTATATTATGATTAGGAATATATTGGTGTTTATGTACACAAACACAAGGTGATGTTGCTGTTTCTTCTGACCATGGGCAGTTGGTGACTAAGGGTGTGTTCACATTACTGCCTTAGGCACAGTGGAGCTCCTGTCCATCTCCATGGTGTGTTTCACAGCCCGCCCCCCCAGCTGTTCCTATCATCAGGGCTTAATTAGTGTCAGATCTGTTTCTGTTGTGAACACACCAGGGGGCACTGATGGGATGGGGATATTGTTAACCTTATGCAAAGGTGTTTACACCTTGGCTAGAAACAAATTAGGAATGGCTTATCATGAACTGCAAGTGGCGTGAAGCTGTTGTGAGAAAGGACACATCACAGACAGTGCTACCTTAGCACAAAATATACAATACATATCCATTTACGATAATGGTGTGAGAAAATGGATTAAAAGCCCAGCCCTGGAAATTCAGGGAGGGCACAGTAAATGGGAATCTGAATACAGTTTAAGATTATAGGTTCTTCCATTCAGAGGAAGCCCAAGGAGCTGCAGATGGGCTCAGAGACTGGCTGCTTTTAAGGATTTGTGAAGGTAAGCAAGATAATGGATTTGGCCTAGTTTGTTCTGACAGCACAGGCTACAGTCTGGCTGCAAATCTAAGCTCTGCCTGGATGGAGGTTGCCTGGGTGGGGCATGTGACTTCTTCTGAAACCTTTGAAGTACAAGCTACTATGTACCACTATAATGTACCACATAACCATGCATTGGTAGCAAATAAACTAGGTTCTCCCAGCATAGCACCATGAGCAGTGCTCCACTGAGAAATGTATTATGACAGCCCCAACTGATATATACATTTCAGAAACATAAGAGGAACAATAATGATGTTCATGTGACACTTTCCATACTGAGCATGCCTATCATTATCCAGCTATCTATTGGCCAAGCTAAACCAATGGACCACTGTGTGTATAAAGACCTGCAGCAGATGGGCACATTCATTCTAATCACAGAGATTTAGCATTGTAGTCACCAAAGCTTCCATGCCAGCATCATGGACAAAGGAATCTATGGAAGCTCCTGGTGATAGCAACTGTATCGACCCCTTCCACTGTCTTCTCTGGCTGGCTAGGCCTAGAAACAGGTCAGAGATACTCTATTCTTCTAATGCCAGTGTAAGACAAGTTTAGCACCATAATACATAGATTTTTTACACCCAGGATAGACAAGGTGGAACTCTCCAGATGACTACAGCTCACAACATCCCCAAACACTGACCATGCCAGATGAGACCTGTAATCCAACATTGGGAGGGCACCACCATGGTGACCCCTGCTTTACACAGGTAGGTGTGAACAGCATGCATGTACATGAGAGGAATCTGCACATTTTGCTTGCTGAAGAGAGAGCTACCTGGGCAATGATAGGCTCAGGGGACAAAGTTAGTTTAGACGGAGCCAAAAGTGCACAAACATTTGAGTAACTATGAGTCAAAATGTATCGTGCAACTGACACTGTTCCCTCTGTTGGAACTGTGGTCTAGGAAACATGCACAATTTGTAAAGTTGCTTTCAACTTTGAACCTTTCCAAATATAATCACAAGTAAACTGAGCATATAAACAATTGATTTGCAGATGGAGAGAGATATCTTGGACTGCATAACTCTATGTTTCTCAGCCTGAGTGCTTGCCACATAGCTATTTGCAAAATATTTCCAACAAATGAGCCAGAGGTTATTCGGGCATCCAGATTGCTGGACTGCACAGCTGGCTTGGGGAATATTTTGCCATGCCCTTTAAAGGAAAGGGAACATCACTCTCCATATTTTCCATCTCTACACCTCTTGCCAAGAGAACAGGGTGGAGTACACATTGGTTCACAGCCCAAAATTCTGTCCGCTGATTTTCATCAAGGAGCTGCTGTGGGAAAGAGGAAAAGCTGGACCATCCCATGCAACTCGCCCATTGGAGTGGCATAAGCAAAACATGAAATGGTTTGCTTTTAAGAGTCTGTGATACCTTCATTATTGCAGTGGAAAAGCCAAGATAACAAGAGTTGTTGGTTTGTATTTCATCTGCTTAAAAGGCAGACACTGGATGGTTTGGAACCAGACAATTGTTCAGGGTGTTTCAAGAAAGGAAAGCATGCATCAAAGACCCCCTCACAATTAAAAATGGTTGATGTTGGCAGCAGAAACATTCATAATTGAATAGGGCAAAATGCAAATTAGGCAACCCACTGAGCAGATCAGATAGGAAGACTGGCTAGATGGATGGACAGACTTGTTTTTCTGACTTTTATTATGTTTTCAAACTAGGAGGATACATTAGGTGTGATCAGTAGTGGCCAAATTTTATCAGTGACAGTGAGAACAAGGGGATAATTAACCATGCAAAGCTGCAGGGGGCAACTTAGACCATTTGCTCTCTTGTGTATATGCATACTATATACACATTTTCTTTTGTATTTTCCTCTGTACTTAAGATTATGTTGCTTTATATGATTTTCTTTTTGCTCTTCTTTCAGGTCTGTTGATCATAATAACTGATTGTTAGCTGTTTTGGACTATAACTCTCATCAGTCCCAACCAGCAGGGAAGTTGGGAGTTGCAGTCTTTGAATCCTTCCTTCCTTCCTTCCTTCCTTCCTTCCTTCCTTCCTTCCTTTTTAACAATGGTGCTCTCTCTGCCATATAGGGCGAGTGTACACTAGAAAATCATATGTATCACTTGATTCACTTGGCATTGCCTGGAACCATTTGCCCATAAAAATATTTGTTGCAGTGACTGCTCTCAACTCATAGCAGCCACCTTCTTCATATTGCTCCTGAGATTGTAAACCTCAGACCTAGAGAGTAAATGTGGCCCTCCGGAATCCAGACTCTCCCCAGGCCATACTTCCTCTTTCTCAGGTCACACCTTTCACTGGCCCTGCTCCCGTTTCTCTGCCTGGCCAGCAAACAGTAATTATTCCTGTCTCTAGCTTGCCCAGATGGAAACATGTGCATGTAGGAAGCTCTGCCTTGTGCATGGCTCAACTGCAGGCTGCTACTCAGAGATGAAAGTCATGTCTGTTGATGTAGCCACAACTGACATTTGTCCCCCCCACCCAGGTGCTCATTCATCAATTACTAGCTCGTCAGTCATTGGTGGTTTGTTGGCCAATGAGAAACTATTCTTACTATCGTGTGCTCCATCTCTAGTACCTTTTCCTTTCTCCAAGTAAGAAATGATTGGAGAGGTCAAGAAGGGAGTATGCAAGCAATAGATGGTGGGACAGCACCTTTTTCCTTGTTGTTGTACCTTTTCTATGTCCTTTTCCACCTCTACATCTGCTTTACATTGCAGAATGGCGGGAGCATTGGATGGAATTTCCCAAACACCTGAAAGGGAAATTGGTCTCACTCCTCCCAATCCCCATTTCAAAGCAGCAACCGGTAAAACTCAGAGAAGTAAATAGCCCAGGATGGATATCTACAAGGGGAAGCCCCATATATCAGTGGTAGAGCATCTGCCTTGCAGCCCAGATTCAATCTCCAGTACCTCCAGGTAGGGTTGGGAGACAAACTTCTCTGAAATCCTGGAGAGTTGCTGTCACTCAGTGTAGGCAATACTACGCTAGATGAAGCATTGGTCTGACTCAGCATAAGGCAGCTTCCTTTGTTCCAACAATAGCTGAACACCCAGCTTTCTCCCTCTTTATTTAAATGAGATTATTTAGAATTTTGATTCTGTTTTGCTATTGCTGCTCTTGTTTTAAGACAAAATCATAGGTAGCTGTAGCATCCCGCCCAGATTGGACTCAGTTCTTTTGGTGCACATGCTGTAGAGTGTGTTTCACCCACAAGAAGATGAGTTATGTTGTTGTGGCTCAACAAAAGCAGACATTTCCCCTGTAGCCTAGTATCCAAGCTGTTGTGTTTGCAATTCAGGGAAACACAGCTGTGATAACTAATCAAGAGTTATCCCTTTGTGCTTATTATGGCCTCTTAATTAGAAAGAGGTTTAAACCAGGAGTGTGCATGGTGGCAAAGAGAAGGAGAAGTAGTCCTCTCACTCGTGGGCAGATAATGAATACAGTAAAGACTGAAGTTACTTTGCAGCATCCAGTATTTCTGGTTCATCTCCTAACAGATGGATGTAATAAAAGAGATTCTGTTTTAAAAATTCAGACACTCTGCTTTCCCTCCGCTTTTTTTCACCCCCTTCTGAGTTTCAAAGGCATTTAGATCTTTATATCCGAGGCAGGCCTCCGAAAATATTGGATTCCAAAGAAACACCATCACCAAGCCCTCCTTCATACTGCCACTTCTGTTCTCTATATTACACATTTGAATCAAAAGTTACTCAGACCAAGCTGGCTCATCACATCAGCCATCCTCAAGGGGGCTTCAAATGATATCTTGTCACGACGTACCTTTTCAGGCTTTTCTCAGTGAAATCTCCTGGAATGTAACAAAGACAAGTTTCTTTTTTCTTTGAAGACAGCTTTCCAGTGAGAGGCACGGAGAGCGGCATTGAACAAAGAAGCAAAAAATTGTGCCAGACAGAGGGTGTCACTGAGAGTACGGCAGTTAACAGGGAAAGAAAGACTGAGGATCAGGGCTAAGCAAGGCTCTGTAGCAAAGGTGAGGAAACGTTTCCCCCCCAGATTGCAGTTCCAGAAGGGCAGCCATCTAGGAGCACATGCCAGTCATGGACAGGGCCAGAGGCAAATGTAGGTGGAGGAATTAACGTGAATTTTACTTATGTACAGTGGGCTGGTTTCTACACACACCTCTCTATCCTTCATTCAGACAAGCAGGAGGCATTATCAGAGTTAAAGCAAAGACGTGCAAGGTGTGGGAGGTCAGGAGGGTCAGATTTGACAATAAGGCATTGAAGTTGGCTGTGTGCACCCAGTTCAGGTCATTAAGCAGTGGTTCATGGGATGCTCCATCAAAAGCCAGGCTGCTGCATTCTGTGTTACCTGCAACTTCTGGACCAAACGCAAGCGAACATAGCAGTGAGTTGGATCATAGTATTTGAATTCTAATGATGTGTGGAGTGAAAAATGTGCAATTTGCCTTTGTACAGTAGGCTAGTCCCCCTCCCCCACACACTTCAGTGCTCATTCCATTAAAGCAAGGAGCATTACCAGAGTACAAAGACACATTCCAGCCAGGCAAAAACACTCTAGGAGGGTATGAATCCAGGCCAGTGAAGGACGTGGTCTCCGGAGGGTGGGTGTGGCTAAGGAGGAGGGGCATATATCAAAGCATGGAAGGCTGCATTCAACCTGAGTTTTCCTCCAACCCTGCCCAAAGCAACCTTCCCAAATTTGGGGGAATGTTGTTGGACTACTGCTGCCATTGTCCTTGACCAATGGCCATGATGGCTGGAGATGATGATGGTTGAAGTCCAACAGCATCTAGCCAACGTTGTGTTAGGCTGTTCTGGAGGGACAGGAGAGATGATTCAATTCACATGCAGGCTAAATTTAGAGGGAGAATGTAGGAAAGAATACAGCAACCCTTGTGAGGTCCTTTGTAGTTTGGTGTAGCACAAGTCACATAGGTAGATATTATAATGCAACGCCTCACCACCAATCTCTCTTGTTTATGTGGCCATTAGTTCAAAGCCACAGACAAGCAATTTATTGGGTATGAAAAATGTCACCTATGGCACCCTAATTTGCATCTGAAAATTGATTTTTGTCACATTGGGATTTTAGGACAACCTCTTTTGGCAGCCAACACCGCGACAGAGCATAATAAAAATAATTATGTGGCCACAAAAGCATGTTAGGCTCACTGTAAATTTTAAGTCTCTAAAGGACGGAGCTCGACCAGGCATTATTGATGGGAGCTGTGGAAGAGTTACCTGGAGTAATCTTTCTTGATGATTTAACATTGACAGCAAAACTTTAGAAGTCTAACTTGCAACTGCCAGGAATGTGCAAGCCAATGTTAACAGTCTTTCATTGAGTTTAGTCAAATTCACCAGGTTCTTTCTCAGCAATGCTTACACCATGCATCTCTATAGCATCCGAGGGATGGGGGATAAATTCTATTCCCTCTGCATTTAAAGCTAAACTCACACAACTCACACTTTCTGAACTAACACATAATTGGAAACAGAGCCATCCTTCAAAATATGCACTTTTCTGAATTTTGCAATGCAGTCTTCCATCCAACTATTGTGAGATATATATATATACACACACACGTGAAAAGAAAAAAGAAAAAAATGCATTATATTAGGGGAAAATGCTTTGCGAAAATGTGCATATTAAACAAATAACACGGGTATTGTTGTAGGTCATTTGGAGTTGCTTTTTGTAAAAAAGAAGAAGAAATAAATAAAAATCTAGCAAGTTAAATTAATTATTGAATGGTATATTAGGGAAAATTTGCTGATAAACTTTCAAGAGGACTTAAAGTGAAAAACATCACAAACTGACGTAGAAATGTAAAGAACTGAAGACTGGAAAAATAAGAAACAGAGAGGATCCAGAATTAACAGATTTGCCAATCCTAATTAACATCCACTGTATGATTATTATTATTTTAAATAGCTCTTTGCAAAAGCAACCAAATGGTACCTAGGAACAGATGCCATTTTTCCTATGTGATCTTCCTGGGCTGCCTATTGCTGTTCTTTTTTCACTTTCCTGCTTGCTGCAGTTGTAACCAGAAAGGCCCAATGATATTAAGCAAAATATCTGTCTTGAACATGGCAAGACAAAACAACCACTGAAACATGACAGTCCCAAAAGCTCCTTTGCAGTCTGGAATAAAAACAAACGAGTTCCTGCACATGATTAAAACTTAAATCCACTTTTAGTCATAATATTGGACACTAATTAGTGTTTCCGTGGAGCTAAACAAAGACCCACTGTCCAAAAGAGGATTTCAAAGGCCCCAGAGACCAGAGGGTCTTACAAATCCTTCCTTTCAGTCACTTGTCTAGCTCTGTGTAAGCAGTAATTCAGAAAAGCAATAGATGAAATTATAAACAATCTAATATAGTATAAGAACATTATGCACCGTGCAAGTTCCAGGGTTGTTGTTTCATCTTTTTTTAGTTAGCCGTGTTTCCAGTGGATCCCCCTCCTTGAATAAAGTCTCCTCCTCCTCTTTGCCACTGTTGCTGCTGCCTATTCAGTTGCCTTCCTCACTGGACCCAATCCACACCTGCTCCCAAAAGAGCCAAGTTCAAGGAGAGCAAAGGCAGCTGCTGCTCCCCCTGTCATTGTTTGGTCGCTGGGTGAAGACAGATGAGCCGATAACATCAGCATGGAGGACCATGTCAAGGAGGCTTTAGTGATTGGTAGTAGGCCCCATGTCAGGAACTGGCAGGGCTCTGGCAAAAGTGTGCTGCAGGCAAGGGAGGTGCAGACTGGGAGAGGGAGTCAGTGTTTTGGGGGGGGTTCTGTGCCACCTCAGAGGCAGGAGCCTGGGCAAGAGGAGGGGTTGGAGCTATCAGGGATGGAAGGGGGCACAGGACACAACAGAGGAGGAGGAAAAGGCTCATCAGGGCAGGATTGGGAGAATGCCCTCCATTCCCTGCCCTGGTGTCTCCTAGAACCAGGAGAAGCTTGAAGTGGGAAGAGCAGTGATGACTTCCGCAGAGAAATTTCCAGTTGCATGAGCACAACCCATCAGGGGAGGGTACATAAGTTGGTGGAGGAGTGTGGCCGCCCATGCTGCCACACCTTCTCCGTAGGGCACCAACCTGGGAACAGTTGCCCAGGCACTAGAATATGTGTGCCCGTGTATTGGGAGCCCTGTAGGAGCTGCTGTAAGTGCTTGCTTTGACAATAAAGTAATAATTATCTGTTGTATGCATTCTTTGGCTGGAAGCATGCAGGACATCCCAACAGGGTGGATGGAGCCTGATGATGCTGACCTATCATGTCTGACACTGCTGACCTCAACACCAGCCTTGATCACATCTCTGTCTAGAGGGGATGGAATTAGATTGTTCTGAGAGCTCTCCAAAGGGAAATAGAATTGCTGAGCTAGAGATTGGCAACTATTGCATAGGCCTTAGCAAGTGCCAGAGCAGGCACAGGCAAACTCGGCCCTCCAGATGTTTTGAGACTACAATTCCCATCATCCCTGACCGCAGGTCCTGTTAGCTAGGGATGATGGGGGTTGTAGTCCCAAAACATCTGGAGGGCCGACTTTGCCTATACCTGTGCCAGAGGGTGGTGACTCCTGACACCAGTCCTTATTACATGTCTTTTTTGAACTCCAATGAGGGAAATGAATTGTTTTTCCTTCTTCTGATAGCTCTCCAAAAGTGAATGTAGCTCTTGAGCCATTTCCAAATTCAGCTAAGGGGCGTTTGCACATCACCAGTCTCAGCAGGGAGCTAATTTGGACTCCACTCCACACAGCACATGTTCCACAAACATACAACAGCAGTCACACATGGAGGTAGCTAGACAGACATTGGCCATATTGATTCCAACCACATAGCATGTCCCCAGTATCCTAAACCAGGCCTTTGGCTGATTAACATCCAATACCCTTTTAAATGAGTTTGTGGGACGGGAGGGGAGATTATTGGTTTGTTTTTGTTATGCGTTTTGTGCTATTTATCTTGCATTTTTATGTTGTGAGAGCCAGTGTGGTGTAGTGGTTAAGAGCGGTAGTCTCGTAATCTGGGGATCCAGGTTCGCGTCTCTGCTCCTCCACATGCAGCTGCTGGGTGACCTTGGGCTTGTCATACTTCTTTGAAGTCTCTCAGCCCCACTCACCTCACAGAGTGTTTGTTGTGGGGGAGGAGGGGAAAGGAGAATGTTAGCCGCTTTGAGACTCCTGAAAGGGAGTGAAAGGCGGGATATCAAATCCAAACTCTTCTTCTTCTTCTTCTTCTTGTGGACTACCCTGAGATCTGTGGGTGATGGGTGGTATACAAATTTAATAAATAGTAATAGCAGCCAACTTGGTGCCAACCAAACTACGATTCCTATCATCTCAGACCACATGGTTAAACCATGGAACTCACTACAATATGATGCACTGATGGCAACCAACTTGGGTGGCTTTAAAAGAAGACTGGATAAATTCATGGGGGAGAAAGCTATCAATGGTCACTAGCCACAATGCCTCTGTAGTGGTGGCTCCACAGTCAGAGGCAGTGATGCTTCTGATTATCAGCTGCTGGAAATTGCAGGAAGGGAGTGTGATATTGTGCTTGGGTCCTGCTTGTGGTTTACCACTAGTTGGCCACTGTGAGAACAGGATGCTAGCCTAGATGGGAAACTGCCCTGATCTAGCACAAACTTCTTATGTTCTTATTACCATAGGCCATGCTGGCTAGGGCTCAGAACATCTGAAGGGCACATTATTAACTACCCCAGATGCACACATCCACACACATGCACGCAGCAAGCAACATGCACACACAGCAGCAACACAGAGATAAATACTGTTGGTGGAGAAAAAATACTGTCACATTGTGTTGTATTGTAGATGGAAGAAAAAGAGACAGAGAGGAAGTCACCTTAGGTCATGTCAATTACTCCAGCAAACCTTCTTGGATGGCTGTACATACTGTTTACACTGCTTATATTACTCTGAACTTTCTTTCCTATTCACCCCCATGAAGCTCCCAGCTAGATTTGACCTCAAGAAAGTCCTGGCACATGTCTGAGAGCTATTTTCTGCAACTTTTATACGAATGAGAAACAAATACTGTTGCTGATTCACCTCGGAAATCTTCTCTCCCCCTCCATTCTTCCCCCATGCTGCATATCGCTTTATGTGGAACATAGCTGTCAGATCCTATCCCACCCCCTGTGGCAGCTTGATATGGCATAAAACAGTTGGAGAACTCACAGATTCCACCACCCAGGGGCTCCTGAGTGGCTCAGAGCTTCCCACATTACTGCGGTTATGCCTTGGGGGTTATAGCTGAACACAGCTGTGATCCAGAAACCAAAACCTGACCAAGCAAGTTGAATAGCAGGTGAAGAAGAAAGCTCAAGTGTTTATTTGTTTTTTAAGCCCCATCTTCTCAAAGTTCACTGGAAAGAGGGATGGGCTGTTAAACCATTCTGGGAATTGGATTCAGGTCACTGACGTCAGCAGAGACAACCATTCAAATAATAACTGTCTGCTTGCACAGTTCTGCTTTTTATATCCCTCCCCACCTACACCACCGTCAGATTAGGAAAGGCAATGGTTGAGAGGGTTCCTCCCTATGTTCTACCGCCACACATAAAAAAAGGAGGAAGCTGCCTTAAATTGAGTTGGACCATTGGTCCATCTAGCTCAGCACCACATTAACTGGTAGTGGCTCTCCAGGGTTTCAGATAAGTGTTTTTGCAAACCATACCAGGAGATGTCAGAGGTTGAACCTAAGACCTTCTGCATGCAAACCAGATGCTATACCACTGAGCTACAGGGCTCTTTCCCCAATGCAGCTAGCAGTTTTGCTTAGTGAACCATCTCACCATCTACCACTGACCTAGACTACAGGTCTTGTGCAGCAATCTTGACCCTGTCATAGCCTGTTTCAGAGTTCAGCCACTTCTATAAATTCTGATTTCATAAAATAAATAGATGATAAACATGATTTTTCCTCTACAGTTCAGTGAATGGACCCAACAATTCTAGAATGTGCTGCCAGCAGAATTTGGCAGAAATTTTGAATGATTTCCCACATTTCCCACCTCCGTAGTTGCTTAGTTTATTTTTGGCTGCTATTTTGTTAATGTTGTTAATATTGTTTTATAGCTTATAAATGCCGTATTGATTTGTTAACCATATAACATGACATTTGCTTTTAATTGTGATGTTTAGCTTATTTTTAGTTCCTGCTTTGTCAACTGTTTTATAGATTGTAATTGCTTCACTGATGATTTGTTAATTATTCTATATGATATGTGATATAGTTTTGATGTTCTGTGATGCTCTATCATGCTATTCTTATTTATTGTTTGTAAGCCACTTTGGAATTCATTTGAATGAAAAGCAGCATAGAAATATAATCAAATATTTTCTCCTACTAAACATTATGGTTCATTCTTAATAAGCCTTGGATTCTGTGCTTGCAGTTGCTGAAGAAAATAACTTGGCAAAAATTAATTTTCTCTCTCTCTCTCTCTCAAAAATAAATTCACAGATTTTGTCTGTTGTGTATTTTGCCTTCTTTTGGATTCATACCATCAGATCCTAGCATGATACAGTTCTCCAAGGTGCTTAAAAAGGACTGTGTGTTTGCATCACCAATCAAACTGAGCTTGGATGTTTTACTTCATTGTAGCAGAAGCATTTTAAACAATGGTTGCTAATCACCACGGAGAACAGCTGAATATTTAATAGGGCTTGTCATACAATGCATGACTGATTGGTGCCTAGTTGTGTCATGACCTGAGAATCAAGAGAGTGCTGGGACTCCATTAGTTGCTGTTTTGCAAATGCTGGAACCAAATTATGTAGGTGACCGTCTAAACGGCCAAGTTTGGTTCTCCAATATTTTAAAACTTGGCTGGTCAGAGGTTGTTGTTTTAAATAGGTTTTGAAAAATCTCATATTGGCAGCATTTTTTATTTTGCATCAACTACTGCTGTTTATTCCCCACAAAAATGTTCAAGCCTAGTTTTGAAAGGGAATGGGCACATATTCTGCAGAACAATTTGGATTACAAGTCATTGAAAGCAGGTAAAAAAACAAAATAAAAGGAGGGGTGGATGTGTCATCTTTCTTTCTTTCTTTCTTTCTTTCTTTCTTTCTTTCTTTCACACAGATATACCATGCCAGAGGGACAAAAGTTTCCAGCCTAATAACCTCCCAAGTTTTGTTTCAGTTTTGCATCTAGGAGACTTTTTATGCTGGATTCCTCCCCCCCCCCCCAGTAAGATGGGAAGGGAAATCTGTTGCCCGCTATTTAGAAGTTGCTGGACTAAAGCTCCCATCATGCCTGACCATTGGCTGTATTACCCATACCTGAGAGGAGCTGGCTGACAACATCTGGAGTGAGGGCCACAGATTCCCTATCCCTGATGCAGGCTTCCACCAGCAGTGTAATCTACCAGACTCTATAATTAACCAAAAATGGACAGCGTAATTCCACCCACATGTGTCTTGATCATACTTATTAAAGATGATAAAAGGTTCTCCTGGGTGTGTGGCTCTTTTGAAAGCATGTGCACAAACATGCACACACATCTACAGGCACCAAAATCACCCCACATAAAGAAAGCTAAGGCATTTGGAAGAGATTTTCCTCTTGTGTTTTCCCTGTTGGCCTTTCAGCAGTTCCCAATGACTCCTGCTTATAGGTATCAAAGGGTGACAAAACTGTTTGTTAGAACAGCTCTCTCAGCCAGGTGTCGTCCAGATGTGATCCCATGAAATGATCCTATGGTGTGATTCTATGCTGCATAACTTGAATTCTCATCAACCTGTCATCATGACCCATGGTCGGGGGTGATGGGAATTGGTGTCAAATTACCTTGGGAGGGTGCCAGGTTGGGATAGGTGTGCTAGAGTGTTGCTAATTTGAAGCACAAAGCTGCCTTAGAAAGCAGAGGTGCTAGTTGAAATGGAGTGGGGGGGCACATCAAAAGTCAACGGTGGTGGCCGGTGCCCACTGGGACAGGTAGGGCAGAAGGCAGGGAGATCAACAGTAGGTGGAACCAGAGACAATAATAGGCAGAGCCATCCCCTGACTATTTGTAAGTAAAAAGGCATGCATGCTAGCTGGGGGCAGACTGAGGTTGGTGGATCAGTGCTCCATTCACTGTTATTGGCAAGTCTTCACTAAGAATCAAGCTATTCTCATTTCATTGTCCTGCAAAATGCACCAATATATATAGATCTCTCTCATTCAGATATAGATATAGATATAGATATAGATATAGATGATATAGATCTAGATTAGATTCTAGCTCGGTTTGTTGTTATCAAGTATTATTCATCACACAGTGTGTTCACTGCATTTGAAGATTGGTTTATTAATTGAAAAACGCATTTCAAGATGATTATGAGTTGGTGTAAGTGTTGCAATTAAGTCTTTTCTCAAAGCACTCAGGATGGAGAAGAAAGGAGCTATTAATCTTGACCCCTTGACAAGGAGGACTTACGTAGAACTGGCAGAAAGCATGTCCATCACCAACAGATTACAGGAACGTATGAGGGACTAATCAATCAAAAAAACATGTTCCTATAAATACAGCCCTGTTGGGCAAAAGATGCAAATAAGTTGAGCCAAGCTTCCCATAAGTGGTATTGTTGTGAATGTGGAAATGCAACAGTTATGGGGTTGCCAGGTGCATGCCCAGGGCAAAGTGGCTGCTTTTCATGCAGTCCCCAGCATCTCCAGATTAGGGCTGCAGATCGAGGACTGTAGAGGTGCTGCCAGTCATGGGAATATTAGAAGCTTCTTCCTACTGAATCAGACCATTGGTTCATCTAGCTCAGGCATAGGCAAACTCCGGCCCTCCAGATGTTTGGGACTACAACTCCCATCATCTCTAGATAACAGGACCAGTGGTCGTGGATGATGGGAATTGTAGTCCCAAACATCTGGAGGGCTGGAATTAGCCTATGCCTGATCTAGCTCAATGCTGCCCATAATGACTGGCAGCAGCTTTACAGCATATCAAAGAGGGGTATTTTCCATTCCTATCTGAGGATTGAACCAGGGACCTGCTGTATGCAAGACAGATGCTCTATCAGTGAGCCATGGCACAGTTTGTGTCAACAATGCTGCACTGGATGGACCAATCAATGGATTGTCTCAGTATAAAGCAGCTTCCTATGTTCCTAAGGACACTGTGGACTTGTCAATACTGCCACTTGTCCCATGCCTAGAAAGCATGGCTCTGAGAATTTCCCCCCTTGCCCTTCTCCTTTCTCAGGGAAAACCTGCTCTTTTGTGCTAAATCGGAACAATTGTCAATTCAGAGAAAACCCAAATTTCTGTTTGCTTCAGCTGAGCCCTTAGTACTCCCTTTAGACCCCACCCCTCACCAGCCCCACCTTTCACATTTGCCTGGCTGGAAAATGACTGTGAACTCTGAAAACAACTCTTGCTTACCTAAATGGAGGTCAGAGAGGAGTATTGTGGTATTCAACACTAGTCTTACTCAGAGTAGACTCACTGAATTTAAGTTCATTAATGTCAATGATTAATCCCATCCAATGTGTTGCTGCCAGTCTACTGTACACAGGTAAAAAAATATATCTATTGCTCCGTTCACCCCTAGCATGCAGCCGCTGGAAGGTTGTCCAGAAAGAAGTGTGGCCCTCAGGTTGAAAAGAGTTCTGTATCCCTGCTGTATTCTCTCACTGTTCAAAAAACACTAAGCAACGTTGCCCCAATTATATATTGACAGAGGGATACGTTTCAGCTTTCTAGATGCAACTGAGGTAGCTCTCTAGCTGCATAAGCCTAATTGTTGATTAAACATATTTCCCTCCTTGCTTAGAGGTGATGATTTATTCGCCCAAGGTTGTGACTCAGAACAAACTGGAGCTTTCAAAGTGGAGCTCAGTGAGAGCCAAATATGGTAAAGCTATGCTGATGAGAAAAACCCCATGCTAGGGTGCTGTGTCTCCACTGCCCCAATAAATTACAGAGCTCAGCGTTTGGACTGCTTCATAAGGAAAAACATTATACAAAAGCACGAAGGCTAAATGGAATAAAAGCAAATTGTGTGTTGAGGTTTGATTTATTACGAGGTTTGATTATTGCGAAGTTCACATTTGTTGTATGCAGAGTGGAAATCATGAGAGTGTGGTGTGTTGGTTAGAAGTTTGCAGTTGTTGTTTGGGCTGTGATTTGTAAGACCTGGATCTGAATTGGTTTCATGTATATATTTAAACAAGATTTGCCCCACTTTTTAACGTAAAAGGCTTCTGGAGCAGCTTGTAAAGATCAACAGCAAAATAGTCCCTGACCTCAGGCTTACAATCTTACAAGACATGGCACACAAGGAAAAAGTGAGGAAGAGGGAAGAAGGATGGGGGGGGGGGGAGGAAGGTCTGGCACCAGTTCGTTAAAGTTACAGTTTAATAAGCAGCTGAGATGGAAACAGTTCAGGTAGCTGGCCTCTAGGAGTCAGTTCAGGAGAGACCAAGGCAGATGGTCACTCAGATGGGACAGCCCTGCTTCCCTTCTCTCCTCTGTTCTGATGGAATGGCAATCCCCTACGAGGGGGGACAAGCCCTGCTTCATTCCTATAGTTAGATCAGTTATGAAGTCTCTCTCTCTCTCTCTTTCAAGCATGGTTGCTGTTGGGGTAAAACAGGGATGGTACCTACTGGCAGAGAGTTACACAGGGCTGGGCCAGCCACACTAAAGGCTGAGTCCCTAGGAAAGGCCAACCAAATCTTAGGGGTGTGGAAAACCAGCAGAAGTGCTCCATCAGAGGATCTCAGTGATCTGGGTGGAGCATAAGGAATTAGGTGGTCCTTGAGGTTCTTTGGGGCCAGTTGTTTAGGGCCTTGCGAATTAACACAAGAACCTACAACCTGGCTGGGCGTTAACTGGCAACCTGTGAACAACTCTCAGCAGAGGGGTAGCTTGATGACAGCCATATACTCCTGTGAGTCGTCTGGCCACTGCACACCACTTTTACAGTCTGCCAAGATGCTCAAGAGTCAAGCATTATATTTACCATGGCAATATAACAGTTCCGGATCCAGATCTGATACAAGACCCACATAAAGCACATTACATCAGTAGTGGCTGATCTGTAGTAGATTCACACACTGCAAATTTAAAGATGGAATTGCACTGCTCATGTGCTTAACTCTGCACCCAATTGTGTCCATGGTTTCCAAATTATCTGCCATGCAAACAATTGTCAGGATCAAGTCCACTTAGCTTCAACCAAAAAAACCTGCATCATGTGCCTCAGGACCATTTGATGTGTTGTTCTCCAGAGCAAAGTTTCCCCCAAATGGCAGCCCACGTATTAAGAGACCGTTGAGCCATCAGTCATTCCCAGATATGTCAGGTTTCCCGCAAATAGGGCAATTTAACAACAGGATTTCACAGGTGTCAGCTACAGCATTCCAAAGAGGAGCAAGAGTCACAGTCAGTGGGGAAAGGTTTTAAAGCGTACTTACGCTCTCGTTAAATGAGATTCCACTGCATCTGCAGATTGAAACGCTAAGCAGCAAAGCAGCATATGCCTATTCTTAACCCTACACAATTTTACTAACAAGCTAAGGTTCCAAGCAGAGCTATTCTTAGCCAAGATTCATCTTGCCCACAGATGGAGACGTGGCACTGTTTGCCGGCTGACATGTTCTGGCTACAAAGCATAAATAAAAGCAGCCAAGCTTCTTGTAAAATCACACCGGATTGAAGTTTGAGAGGCTGGGAACAGACCATATCGAGAATGTGTGTCTGGCAAAGCTTTTAGCCTAGATGTACAAGCTAGAGTGCCAGCAAGTGGAGACATCTGTCTTAAAATTAGGGGAATTTTTTCTGTCATGTCCCCCCCGCAAACCAATCTCCATCAGTTAATGAGAAAATGAATTGCATTTGAAAATGATCACATGGGAGATAACATTTGGGTGAAATTCTCATGGGTAGGGTGCAGGATTTCTGCCATACAGTGGTGCCTCGCAAGACGAAATTAATCCGTTCCGCGAGTCTCTTCGTCTTGCGAAGCACAGCTATTAGTGGCTTAGCAGCTTAGCGGCTATTAGCGGCTTAGCGGCTATTAACGGCTTAGCGGCTTTAAGAAAAAGGAAACAAACTTGCAAGAACTCGCAAGACGTTTTGTCTTGCGAAGCAAGCCCATAGGGAAATTCGTCTTGCGGAACGACTCAAAAAACGGAAAACTCTTTCGTCTAGCGAGTTTTTCGTCTTGCGAGGCATTCGTCTTGCGGGGCACCACTGTACTTTCCTTAAAAGACCATAGATTGTTTAATCGGTGCAAGGGCCTGGTTATAGAGAAACATTTTTGCCTGATGCCTAGACATCATTTGTCTTCCACTAGAAAACTCAAATCAGTTAATCATAGAAAGCAAAATTAATCATAATGCTTGCAATACAATAAAAGCACCAACAATAGCAATAGTGACAGCATCAGCAATAATAAAAACAGTAGCAATAAGAAATCAGCAGTTAGAGCAGATAGCAAACTTAGCAGCAAACTCAGTAGCAGCAAAACAAAAACAAACACCCCAAAAAACCCAACTACAAACCCCTACATTGGTTTGGCCTCACTCAAAGGCCCCCTTTTTAAGTCGGGAAATGAGCCATATAGGCCTCTCTGAGGAGAACCTTTGAGTGCATTGGCACCACAACTGAAAAGACCCTGTTCCTTGAGCCCACCCACTATACCTTAATAGATAAGAGGGCCTTAGATGTCAAATGGAGACATACTCTATGCAGATAACTGAAAACAATATTATGGCAATGGTTTTATATGTACTTAAATATGAATCTCCAGATAGACACATAAAACTGGGCCATTAGAGTAAATGGGGTACTGCCTCACCAGCCTCAGTTTCCCTTCAGCCAGCCACAGGCCATTTGACTGCCAAATCAACCTGCTTCCAGGGGCTCAGTTACCGGTGGGTAAGCTGTATGCCATGTCCGACCGGGAGATGCAGGAGTTGCGGCAGTTTATTGACAAGAACCTGAAGAGGGGTTTCATAAGGGAATCAAAGGCGGTGGGAGGCAGTCCAGTGTTCTTTGTGGACAAAAAAGAGACTAATCAGCCCAGATTAGCCGTGGATTACAGGGCCCTAAACCTGGTGTCAGAACCCGTGACTTTCCCAATGCCCAGGATTGACGATATTTTGACACGTGTGAGGCAGGGGAAGATTTTTACCAAGCTGGACCTCAGGGGAGCATACAATCTGATTAGGATAAGGGAGGGGGACGAATGGAAAACGACCATGTTCACCCCCCTGGGGGCTTTTGAGTACTTAGTCATGCCATTTGGATTACAAACGGGGTCCGCCTGCTTTCAAGCATTCATGCACCATGTGTTGGGGCCCCTGCTGTACAAGAATTGCGTAGCCTTTCTGGATGATGTCTTAATCTATTCGGACAACGAAAAGCAACACGTCAGAGACGTCAGGGAGGTGCTACAGAGATTGAAGAAGCATCAGTTGTGGGTCAAACTGGAAAAATGCCAATTCCATGCCAGGGAGGTCAAGTTCCTGGGGTACAGGTTGTCAGACAAAGGACTAGCCATGGATCCGGGCAAGGTGAAGGCAGTGCTGGAATGGAAGCCCCCCAAAAACAGAAAGGATGTGCAGAGGTTCCTAGGCTTCAGCACCTTCTACAGGAAGTTCATAAAGAACTTTGCTCACTTGACAGCGCCCATAACGGATTGTCTTAGTAGCAAAAAGAAGTTCGCGTGGACAAAGGATGCGCAGCAATCCTTTGAAAAACTGAAGAAGGCGTTCGCCTCGGAAGAGCAGCTCCTGCACGTGGATCCGGAGAAGCCCATGAGACTGGAGACGGACGCGTCTGACCGCGTGATCGGAGTGGTCCTTTTGCATTCCGGGGCCAAGCAGAACTGGATGCCGTGTGCCTTTTTCTCTAGGAAGCTGAGCAAGTCGGAGCAAAACTACACGGTGTATGACCGAGAACTGCTTGTGATCTATATGGCATTTCGGCAATGGAGACATCTATTGATAGGGGTGCGGCACAAGATCCAGGTCCGAACTGACCACAAGAACTTGGAATATTGGCGGACCGCGCGGGTGCTCAACCAGAGGCAGATAAGGTGGTCTCAGGAGTTCGTCAAGTTTTTCTTCGAGATCCGATACGTGCCGGGAGAGGAAAACGTAAGGGCAGATGCTCTCTCTCGGAAACCGGAGTACATGGAAGGAGAGGGGCCACCAGAGACCAGGCACGTGTTCCCCGAGGACCGGTGGGTGGGTGGGGGAGCGTTGGTTGGGAAACGAGAACTGGCAGGGCTCACCAGAGATGATGAGTTTGCTCAGACAAAAATCAGGGAACTCAGGGACGGGAAGGAAGTCAATGGAGGGTTTGAGGAAAAGGAAGGACTACTGTACTATAAGGGGGCGCTGTATGTACCTGGGGAGACTTTGAGGGGGGAGGTACTTAGACAACTCCATGACAACCCAACAGCTGGGCACTTTGGACAGCACAAGACCATGCTACTTGTCACCAGGCAGTTCTGGTGGCCAAAGGTGAGGGAAGACGTAAGAGAATATGTACGAGGGTGCGACTGATGCCAGAGGGCAAAGGGGGAAAGGGCTGCCCCCACGGGGCTACTGGAACCCTTGCCTACACCGGAAAGGCCCTGGGAGGTGGTGTCCATTGATTTTATGACAGATCTGCCCAAGTCAAGGGGAAAGACAACAGTCATGGTAGTGGTCGATCTACTGACTAAAATGTGCCATTTCGTAGCTTGCTCACATGCAGCAACGGCAGAGGAGACAGCCAGGCTGTTTGTGGATCACATTTTCAGACTGCATGGAGCTCCATTGAGGGTAATCTCAGATCGCAGGAAACAATTTACTTCCTGGTTCTGGCGGAGACTCATGAGCTTGCTACAGGTCGAGGTGAGCTTCTCGACAGCGAGGCATCCAGAAACCAACGGACAAGCCGAAAGAGCAAACGGCATACTCCAGCAGTACCTGCGCTGCTATGTCAGCGAGAGGCAGAACGATTGGGTAGAGAAATTAGCTTTGGCTGAATTTGCGTACAATAACGCTGAACACGTGTCCACGGGAATGAGCACTTTCATGGCCAATTACGGGTGTCACCCTAGGGCCTTCCCGGGGTGGGGAGAGGAAGGATGGAGTGTACCTGCGGCTGAGCAATTTGTGGAGGAAATGGAGGCCTTACACCAGCAACTCAGGCTGAACTTGGAGCGGGCCAAGGAAGTCTACAAGAGGCAGGCAGACAGGCACCGTCGGGAGGGGGAGGCCATACGGGTGGGAGACCGGGTGTGGTTGTCATCCCAAGGGTTACCCCTTAAGGGAGGGTGCAAGAAGTTGCAGCCTAGGTGGCTGGGGCCGTTTGAGGTAATGCAGCAGGTTAACCCCATGGCATTTAAACTCAAGTTGCCTGACAGCATGAAGATACATCCGGTGTTCCATAGGTCCCTACTTTCACCTTACAGGGAGGGGCGGGAATTCCCGGGACGGGAGGGAGGGGTTACCACCCACCCGCGGGTAGAGGAGAGGGAACACTGTAACGAAGCCACAGAAATACTCGATTCAAGGTGGCGAGGTCGCCAGGTAGAGTACTTGGTAGCCTGGGAGGGGGAACCTAGGTCTGAAAACACTTGGGTCCCGGCTGAATCAATCACTGACAGGTATCTGGTGGAAGAATTCCACGGTTTGTTCCCAGAGAAACCCAAACCATTAGCTAGATTCTGGGAGGAACAATTTGGACCCACAGATGACAAAGGGTACTTTGTGGGTTTCCCTGCCTCCGAAGAGGAGGGAGGGGAGGTGTCCGAGGGAGAAGGATCAGACTGGGAGGTTCAACCAGCGGGGAGAAGTCCGAGTGGATGGGAGGCTGGTTTTGAATCCTCAGAAGATTATGACAGTTCCTTCAGGGGATTCCCCGCATCGTCGACAGAGGAGAGAGAGGAGGTTGTACCGGAAAATTGCGCCAGGGGTGGGGTGGGGGTCCTGAGGAGGTGGATGTCAGGGAACTGCCATCAGTGCCGGAGGGAGAGAGCAAAATCCAGAGGGATTCCGGAGAGCGTCCCGGGATTGGGAGAGGCAGCCCATCCTCTGGGGAAGAGAATCAGTGTAGCACCAGTGGAGAAGGGGGGCAGATGGGGGAAGCGGCGAGGCGGTCCCATGACTCCTTGCCAGGCACCAGCGGGGAGAGTAGAGGTCCTCCGCTGACTACGCCCTCCTTGCGCAGAAGGCTTTCGCGCAGAGAGAGTAGGAGGAGACTAGGCGTCAAAGAGCTTCTTTGCTGGAAGAAGTTTAAGAAACGCCCACTGACGGATTCTGCCAGCGATTGAGACAGCCACGGGTGAGTGGCTGTCCGGACAGAAAAGGTTCACTCAGGCAATCCAGCCAGGTGTTTGCACTGGCTTACGCACGAGCAACCCCTAGAACCATTACAGTGATGAAACTGCTGCCTGCCTGATGAGCTAAATAGTGGAGAGAGACAATGGATCAGTCATCCTTTATAACCTCCTCATTATGGCTTCTTTGTCATCCTAAATTATAGGTCTGTAAAAAAAGGTACCTGGCGTAATTGTCTTGTAAGTCATTGTCGTGACTGCCTCTTTGCTAAATGCCATGGTGCAGAAATGAAGGCTATCTCAGATATTCCTTTGTTATGTGGTTGAATGTGCTGTAAACATTTCGATCAGTTTGCAAAAGGACCTCGATTCTCTGCCGCCTCCTTCATTGTATGCCAAGGCTGGATTTAGAGTAAAATTGCAAAATATGAAAGGAGTTGGATATGAAAGGACATAAGAAGAGCCCGGCTGGATCAGACCAAAGGTTGATCTATTCCAGAACCCTGTTTCCTGACATGGGCAACCAGCTGCCTCTGGAAAGAGCAGCAAGACATGATGACAATGACCCTTCCCTACTCTTGTTCCCCAGCAACAAGCAACAAGGCCTCTATAGCCATCATGACTAGTAGCCAGGGATTGTCTATTTCTTTTTTCTTTTTTAAAAGCCATCTAGCTCAATGACTATCACAGCATCTCAAGGAAGCAAATGGCATGGCTTGAGTATATATTCTTTGAAGAAGTAGTTCCTTTTGTCTGTCCTGAAAGGGATAAACTGGAAGCAACACAAGCATGGAATATTCCCAAATGACATACCCGCTGGGGCTATCTCAATGCATTCAGTCAGACCGCTTTGGAGTAGTTAAGTATGGAGTGTGGACCTGGATTGATGCCTTTGACAAGATTCATGACTACGTAGTTCAGAAAAATGCATGTGATCTAGCAATATGAACTATACTGTTTTCCTTTCAAATGTTCTTTCACAATGCAGAGCATAAAATATTATTAATAGTCTTTGGAAAATAACATCAAGCTGAAGTGACTATTCTCTGTTAAAATGGCTAAAGGACATCCCCATTTAACTGCTAGTCCCGAGTAATCTGCCCTAGCGGCAGGAAAACTTTTGATTTACATTTGTTTTAGTCTTACCTTTAAAGAACCTTGTTTCTCTTTTCTGTCGACGAGCAATACTTCTGCTGTATCTTCAGCCTGAGCTGACCGGGCATGAATGAATAAGGCTCTGCCAGTGTCCGATAAATTTCTCAGTGCAACTAAAACCCCATTTGGTTCCACCTTGAAGCCTGGGTTTGAAACTTCAAAGTTCAATTTGTGATTTCCTTGACAATCATCAAATACCACTAGAGAGAGGCAAAAGGGGGGGAAAGAGATAGAAACAAGAGCATAAGTGTCCATTAAATATCTATTATTATTATTATTATTATTATTATTATTAATCCTTCCACACATATCTCAAGGCTATACACAGAATGTAATAAAACAGCAAAGACACAGTTCAAAACTACACAAAAACTAAAAGCAGATAAATTTAAAACAATAGGAACATAAGGATATAAGGAGATCCTGCTGGATCTGCAAAAGGCTCCTTCAGTCCAACATTCTGTTCTCACAGTGGCCTGTGGGAACTCTCAAGCAGGACCCCTGCAGAATATCACCCTGGCAGAGAACTGTTTGCAGGGAAAGCTTGTTAGAACCAAAATGACTTCATTTGTTTCTGGGAAGCACAGCTATCTCAACAGGACAGCTATTCCACAGAAAAGGGGCAGCCACACTTAAAAGCCCTGCTCCAGGTTACTTCGTAGCAGCATTCTTGACGCAGAGGCTTTTTAATGCACTGCAGTGACCTAATGGGTATATCATACTTGGTTGGTTTCTTGTACCTGCTGTCAGTGAACAAAATGGATGACAGGACGACAGGGCTAAATTGACGACAGGACGACAGGGCAAAACAGGATGACAGGGCCAAATTTTGAGGGAACTTTTGGCACTGAAATACAATCTGAATTCACAAAGTTTATGTTTATCTGTCAAAAGGGCTATGACAGTGAGGGCTTAAGTTCTGAGCACCGGGGTAGCTAGGTCTTAACAGCTTCATGATAGTTCATGCAGGATGGCTGTGGGAGTCAAAGTGACTGTGGACTTTTTTCACGATCCAAAGAACTCTTTGAACAAAAGGGTAGAATTTTCTGAAAATCTCAATGTCAAGTTTATCCACACAGATTTCTTCTAATTTCCACCTTGCTCCCTAATTTCAGTGAGAAGCAAGTTCCCCAACAGCACTCGTTTTGCTAAACAATATCAATTCCTGCATTGCTATACATGCCACATTATACACAACATTTGATAAACTTCTATCCTCATGCTCACCACTACCTATAGCCATCTTTATTTTCCTAAATGAAAAAAACAACCCAGATGTCATTCACTTTTCTTTGCAGGATGATTGGTTCTATACCTTTTTTCCAGGACTACAATATCCTTTTGGCAAGATGGGGCAATCTTATATAGGGTGGGTACATTTCAGACTTTACAGAGGACAATTTGCTATCTGAAAAAGTCCTATATTTGAAGGGTGGTCGAGTGCAAGTCCAGTTTAAAGATAAAGGATCCTAAGAATTGAGTATAGGAGCCTTGAAATTACCCTAAATGGTAGAATGAGTAGGCTCAGTATTTATATTTAAATTATAATTTTTTCTCTCAAGTTGCATCTATTAGCATATGCAAAATGTATGCAAATTTATGCCCTTGTTTGTCCTCTCTTTGAGTGATGCATAGGTGGTCACCCTAATGGTTTACAGGATTCCCAAATGAGCCCTCTTGACACTCTAGGACAAAAATACTAGGTATCTTTCACATAGTGAAGTCCAAAGAAGTGAACTATTTTCTACTATTTGTCCAGAGTGAAATTTATTCACCAAAATATAATCAGAAGCAGAGTTAAACAAACTTGAAATATAAGCATCTACTTTGGGAGCAGTTACCCCAGGTTTATAATGTGAGAAACAGCAGGCAAGAACAAAATGTTTTCAGTTAATAATGATATAGTAATCATCCCGGGCTTGGCCTGGGCATCTAAAATCCTTAAGGCTAACAACACAGTGCTGGGTAATAATTCTGTTTCATATTAAGAACCAATTCTGTTTGTTTGATGGAAATTACTGTAGGATGATTGGTTTGACTATCAAAGCGCCTCCCTGAATATATGAATTTCCACACTTCAACAGTGCCATAATTGTTATTGTGTAGACCACTGTAATTATGTTCAGCATGGGCTTTTTCTTATGGAAAGCTTTTCATATTTATGGAATTGAGATCCATCTCTAATAGGCTGCTGATCTGTGAAGCTCTCTGTTTCATTAGATGCAAATGCACCATATATATTTTTAATGCAGAAGTTATGATCTCAGGGCATTTATTGAAATAAAAGAGCAAGACCCGCTTCCTGCTAAACCAGCCATTCCTCAACCTGGTGCCCTCTAGATCATGGGAACTCCAACTTCCATCAGCCCCAACAGGAATTGTCAGGGATGATGGGAGATGTGATCTAAAAACTTCTGGAGGGTACCATATTAGCCACTCCTGGCAGAGAGAAAGAGAGACAGTGAGAGTGACAGAGAAAGACCCCTACATGCATTGGTTCTGCGGAGGAATTCAGCTGTCAGTTTGGGGACGCCATTCATATGCCCCTTGACAGATTGAAAGATTGGCAGCAGCATAGAAGCTATGTAGCAGTCATGCAATTGGAGTGTTATGCACAAGTACTTTTCTGGAAGAATAAGAACCAATATTTTGCTCCCCTTGCTGTTTTTGCCTAGATTGAGAAGGAAGACTTTCCATGAGGCTTTCAAACAGCCATCAACATCCTCTCCCATCAGCGATGGGAGTCTGTATCACCAGCAATCATTTAAATGTCAAAATAGCAACAATACACACATTTAAGTAAGACAATGCAATTAATTCCTTTTTTTGTAATTTGACAAGCCTTAACAATGGCATGCTGGAAATGTAATGCCCGTGAGGGAAATTCGCTATTCAGGGAGATGAGGAGATATTGATTAGATAAAGTGGGACTTGCTATTTCTCCACACCTTGTAATTCAGTGTCTTTTTTTATTGAACTGATATTATTCTGGAAAAAATCAATAATGCAAATAAAAAATATAAATGGACACCCATTATATACATATATACACACACACACACACACACACACAGTGCAGAGGACCAATTTACCATTCAGGGCGATGCAGAGGCAGCAAAGCACAGCTTCCTGGGAAAAAAATACTTCTCAGTTCTGCCACTAGAGAGAAATTTTTGGCCTCCTGGCCCAATGCTGCGCCAAGATCCTATACTAGTACAGCAGAGGCCCTGGGCACCGTTACATTGGTGTATAGTGAAAATGTCTGTGCACCCTTGACATATCATGCCAGTGAGCTGCTGCTGGCTCCCACGTATCTGAAGCTACTTTGCTTCAGTTAACAACTATAGAATTTGTATTATTTCATTGCTGTTACATAAGGAAAATGCATGCCTGAGACCTAGAAACTGTAAGTATAACATTTTAAAATTACATTGCATTAGTTGAAATAGGGGTAAAAGGGGGGTCAGCTGCTTCACACAGATGAATGGAATAAATAAGGTTCAATAGCCTATTTATATGCTTCATGAACCTGCCTAATGATGGGACTCAATACTCTACTACTGGGGCTATCTGTGTGCTAACCCTATGTTTTGAATCCAGGCACCTATCCATTTTCCCTTTGTTGTTAACCCACATACATGGGTCTTTAGAAGATTAAATATAATTAATATATCATCTTACCAATTCCCATCATTATCCCCAATGAAAATACATATTTTTAAAAATCTACCAGTCATATCCAGATGACTCGATCTATCTGTTTAGTTAATTTATATAGCATGTCATATTTCAATCAAAACCTCCAAGTGAGATTATAAATCCCAATGGAAAGGAAATAATGTAAGGGCTACAATGCACAGTTCATCTTCAGAACCAATGTTTTTTTTTCTCCCTACAATTACTAATCATCATGATAATTCCACATTTTAAGTAATACAGTTCAAGTAATGCAATTAAATAAATGCCTCTAAAACAATGCACTAAGTAAAACAATTATGAACCACAAAAACCACAATCCCAAAAACAAAATCGCTCAACCATTTGAACACCCATCACATCACTCCACCCACTTATTTTTCACTTCCATAAAACACTCTGATGTGTATATATTCAAACTTTTATTTCTGTGCAAAGTTATTTATTTATTGATATCTTCTGTATGGCTCTTCTGATACCCCTAGTCATGCTGCCTCTGCCAAGTGAACATCTTTATTATGTTTAATATGCCGTATGGCTAAGAAAAGGCTCCAAAACTCAGCATGAGGAGAACAGAGTCTGTGCCAAGCATCTTCCAATGAAAAACAAGCTATATTTCATTCATCCTGTTGCTCCTTTACCAGTCTGTTGGCATTATGTTCAGCGTCAGGTCCTTCAAGAAACTTTTTATATCTGTATTCTACAGTGTGTGTGTGTGTGTGTGTGTGGTATGTGTTTTTGTCTGCCAGTTGACATTATGTGTACTACAAATTTAATCACAGCTCTCCCATGGAGCTGAAAAACCTCAAAAGAAAAGGGAATTCTAAGTCTTCCCACGTCTGACCCAAATAATCATTAAAAAACAAAACAAAAGCAGCAACAACATAAAAAAACATGACAAAAGCAGCAACAACATACAGATACATTGAAATAAAATACAGGTCAATTCTCCAGGTCCAGAGAGCTGATACACAAACATTGTACTTTGTTTTCTGATCATTGTTCAGAAATTCATGGAAAGGACTTGAAATATGGGCTACTGTCAGCCATGAGCTAAGGATGTGGTGGTCAGAAACTTTGTCTGACATACTGCAAAGTTTAGGTTTCACCACCCTGAATCTTCTTTAGAGCTTCCAATGAATATTCAAGCAAGCAAGCAAAAATAAAACCTTAACATTCTCAAAGACTCTATGTCCCTGACAGTTAGAACACTTTAACACTGATTTGTGTTTGTAGCAGTGGATATTTGCCCTTTGATTCAGCTCCCTAAGGATTAAGGCTGTGGTGCACAGCAAACTTGGGGAAGGGGTGTAGCTCAGCAGTAGAAATCATGGTTTGTAGGCAGAAGCACTAGCTTAAATCCCTAGTCTCTCCCCTAAGTGCTGGGAAGGCCTCCTACATCCCATCAATCTCATGGCAGCTGCCAGGCATTGTGAACGATATCGGCCAATATCAGAGGTGCCACCTTCTCTGGAGGAATGAGGGGGCCCACATGCAACTCTGTGAAATGTCCTGATGTCATGTGGGGAGTCCTCTGAACATTGAGGGGTTCTGGCCCCTTAAAAAAGGGGGGTCCTCCACAGTCTCCAAGACCCTAGCAGCCAGCGCCCTTGGCCAGGCCTAGATGGTACAATTCAGTATAAGGCAGCTTCTTCTATTCCAAATTTATGGATATTAATTCCACTTTATTTTGAAAGTCTTACTTGCAATTGTGCTGGATATGCTGCAAAAGCAGAAGCAACTGGTTCATAGCAAACAAACTGGAGCCCATCATCTCATCGGCTTCTTCTTCATTATTTATATATTTTACATCTAACTTCCCTTAAAAAAAATTTAAAACTAGATCAGCAGAAGGAACCAGAACCTCACAGTCTAGCACCTGCAGCCTATCACCAAAATGTAAGGACAGGCATACCTGGACAACACCTGCAAACCACACTGCAGAAAACTATAGCTTTTTGTAGCTTTCAATATGCTTCCCAAGCTTTCTGAGAACAAAAATCAACTGGGTTTTGTTTGCCAGATAATTTACACTAGGGCAGGCATTGGGTTTCTTTTTAAATCCTCTCCCATAAACTTTGGTCTGCAGTTTAAGTCACTGTCAAGGTCACTGTATTAGAGATGTGCATCATTCGATTACTCAACCCTTGAGGAATATTTGCACGTTACATTCAATGAGTGTGCAATCTGTGTTCACAAATAGTTGAACCATACACTCATATGGTTATTTACATATAATGTTCAGTGAGTGTCAACTCTGCAGAGTAAAGCAGTTGAAGCAGTCAAGTAGGCAAAGATGGGGTAAGGTGATCTGAGAAGTAAACTGGTCCCAAGCTGTTAGGGGGGCCTACACCATGTTTCTTCATAAAACATGAAACCCTGATTGTGCAAGGTTCCAGATCATGTGTTATTTGTAGGCTCTCCTTCTTCAAACATCAATGCTTAATGCACAGACATTGGAGGATGAAAGTGGGTAGGCGCTGTTGATTTAAGCAGAGTCTGTCGTGCCCAGCGGAAGGATGAGGAATACGTGCTGCATACTCTATATTGCTTTATTTACAGTTCAAAGCTGGTATATTACAGAAAGACATCTTGCCTCTGCCGGAGCAGAAAATGCATCCTCTCTCCTCGACAGCTCGGAGAGAATCACACAGTGAAAAACAGGAAACCAGTGTACGTCACATCCAGTCTCCCTTTCCCGTGAGAAACTCCAACAGTACAGACTGTGGAATGTAAACACCTGTCTCGTGACAAGAAGAGCTGCACAGTGAAGGAAAGCAGAAACCAACATCCTCCCCATTTCTGTGAACATCACTGGGCAGCGTGTTTGCACAATATCAGTACAAACCCAACTTCTGCACATAGGTACAGTGTTGATCCCTTGATACAATCTTGGACAATACATCAGCAGGAATTTCATTACCTGGCATATAGGACACCGTTACGAGTCCCTTCTGAATACATTCCCTAGCATGCTGCAACTTTAATTGCAAGTGCTTTGTGCTTTGCTTACAACCTTCAGACTTCAGCAAAGCCAAACATGCTTTGTTGTCCTGGTAAACCTGGATTGGACATTTGACAGGAATTTTCATATCTTTGCACAATTGTACTAACCATTCACAATCCTTAAGTGAATAAGACAGTGCATTCAGTTCGGCTTCACAAGTACTTAAGCTAACTGTTGTTTGCTTCTTGCATGACCAATCAAACAGACTCTGATTGTACATGTAGCAAACTCCAGACGTACTTTTCCTGTCTGTAGCGTCACTTCCAAAACTTGCATCTGCAAATATCTCAAGACCACCAGACTTCTGATTGTTAAATCTCAGTCTGTAATGCATAGTGCCTTTCAAATACCGCGCTATGCGTTTCAGAGCTTTCCAATCCTTGACACTAGGATTGTCGACTTGTCTGCTTAGCAAATTACAGCTAACAGCAATGTCTGGTCTTGAACATCTGGCAATGAAGTTTAGCTTGCCTAGCACACTCCTGTACAGTGTAGTGTCAGAAAATGCTTCTTCAGTGTCATCTACCTGATAACCTGTTGTCATCGGTGTGTCTACAGGGTTAGCATCCATCAGATTTAGTTTGCTTAACACATCAGCAATTTTCCGTGACTGGTGTACTAGAATGTTACCATCTTGATCTCTCTCTATTTCCAGAGATAGGTAGTTGTTTACCTCACCAAGATCTTTCATGTCAAAGTGCTCTTTCAGTTGAGCTAGGGCGCTATTGTACATTGCAACATCTTTCCAAAAGAATAATAAATCATCAACATAAAACAAACAGTACAGTTTCTTTTGCCCTCCTCTTGACAAATACACATGGATCAGCTTTCCCTTGCTGAAAACCTAGAGAAAACAATACTTCAGTGAGTTTTGTGTGCCAACACCATGCACTTTGTTTGAGACCATAAAGGGATTTCTTCAGAGCACAAACAAATCCCTGTTTTACCTGTACGCCATCAGGTGGAAGCATATAAAGTGATTCATCTAGAGATCCGTACAGAAAAGCTGTATTAATATCATGGTGACTAATGTGTAGATTTTCTTCTGCAGCTAGCTTAAGCATAAGCCTAATGCTTTCATATCTCACTGTGGGTGAATAGGTCTCGTGATAGTCTTGACCTGGTACCTGTGCAAAACCTCTGGCTACCAATCTGGCTTTGTGTCTGACTATCTTGCCATTTTGATCTGTCTTCGCTTTGAAGACCCATTTGCTTCCAAGCAGTTTCATTCCTGGAACTACTGGAACTAGCTCCCATGTTTTGTTCCTTTCTAAGGAATCAAGCTCAGCCTTCATGGCATTTAACCATGGCTCAGCTTCCTTTGAATCCAAACCCTGGATTTCTTGGAAACTTGAAGGTTCAAATACCTTCTTGGAGCTTTTAACAGCTGTTACTGCTATCGTAGCAAACTCATCAGCAAATCTCTTTGGAGGTTTGCCTTTTGTGGCTCTCTGTGACCTACGAATTAGCCTTAAGTCTTCAACACTCTCCTCTTCCTTCTTAGGAGAAAAACGACCTATTGTGAACAATGGTTCCTCCAATTCTTGATCAGAGCTTTCAGAGGGTCGCATAGAGGCTTTCGCACCTTGAAATCCTCTGAATCACCCGATTCAGTTTCAGATTCAGACTCAGAACCTTCATCAGTGGGTGTGGGCTGTTGTGGTTGCTTTTGACTATCCTCAGTCTCATCACCGTCATCAGGATAACATTGGAAAATTCCCACATTCTCCCCCACTTTGCATTGTACTCAACACTTCTCGTGAGCTTAATTGTCTTAGAGTCAGTCATCATTATTCTGTAAGACCCTTTCTGATAACCTAGAAAGATACCATGCAATCCACGCTTGTCTAACTTGGAGTTTTGTGGTGAGCGAACCCACATGTCAGAACCAAAATCTTCATGTGTTTGATGTATGGCTTCTTGCCAAACATCTTCTCATAGGAGTACAACCAATCGCTGAAGATAACCTGCGATTGTAACTGTAAACAAAACACGAGAGAGATTCGGCCCAATAACTCTCTGGAAGATTGGCATCATGCAGCAAGGTCTTTAACCCTTGAAGCAATGTCTGATTTGCCCGTTCCGCAAGTCCATTCTGCCATGGCGAGCGAGGACTAGACAAATCGTGTTGAATTCCTTTCTCAGTCAGAAAAGCTTCAAACTGCTGAGAAGTGATTCCCCCCCGCGATCACTGAAAAGAGTCTTTATCTTCTTACCATGCACATTTTCCAACCAAGCACAGAATTCCTTGAACCTAGGAAAAGCCTCCGATTTCTGCTTGAGATTGTACACAAAAATATATCTAGAAAATGCATCAATGAGAACCATGAAGTATCTATTTCCACCCAAAGAGGGCGCTAGTGGTCCAACCAAATCAGCATGAACAACCTGGTATGGTTCTGTAGCTTTCCTACTAGACACCTTACCTTTCGCAGCCATTTTCACCTTGTTTGCTGCGCATGCTTTGCACTTCATGTGGTACCTGCAGGGTTTAATAGTCATACCTTCAACCAAGGCAGGCATTTTAGATACTGCCTCAAAATGCAAATGACCAAATTTTCGATGAAAATCGTGAATACATTCTGCATGCAAACTTTTGTTAGAACCTGCAGTGCAACAAGTGTCATCCTGCACCACATCATCATAATACAAAACAAACAAATGATCAACATATTCTGCATGCAATACATAATCATTTTTCTTTGTGATGATGCACTTCTTGTTCTTGAAGGAAACGTCAATGTTTCGCTCATTCAGCTGTCCAACGCTGAGCAGATTATGTTTGGCGTCTGGCACGTAAAGCACATTCTGTATCGATAAGTCCAAACTGTGAAGAACAACAGTTCCGTAGCCTTTACTGGGAATAGTGTGGTCATCCGCCTGGTGAATCGCACCTTCCTGCGGTGTAAAAGACACAAACAGTTTCTTATCATTGCACATGTGGTGGGTCGCCGCTGAATCAACAACGAAGAAAGATCTAGACGTCTTCTGGACCTCTGCAACCTTTGGAGTGAAGCGTGAAACCATAGCCTTGTGCTGCGTTGTCCTAGACACCGGACCTTTGCCTTTGCCTCGGCCTTTTCCGCGCGATGAGCTTTCGCTGCGCTGCTCTGTCTTGGCCCTGGGATGTCTGCATTCCCTCTTCATATGGCCTAGACGTCCACACGAGTAGCATTTCACTGCCTTCAAAGCTTTGGCGCCATCTGGTGGTTCCACTGCACTATGGGATGACGTCTGTGAAGACTCCCCTTGCCCATGCAGCTAGCACCCCGGCGATCTGCTTCATTTAAAATCACGGCAGTAACAAAGTCCACTGTCAGCTGAGCAGTTGGTTGCACAGCAATCTGGGTTGCAACAGACTCCCAACCTGAACCCAAAGATTGTAGTATCATGAAAGAATACACAGCCTCTGGAAAGTTGAGTCCTCTCTGTTGCAGCTCATGTCTCAGATTTTGCATCTCCATCAGATGTAAACGCACATCTCCACCTTCAGCAAGAGCCATATTATGCAGCTTGTTAAAGTAAAACATAGTGGATCCAGCTTCTGTCCTTAAGTGAGCCTCTCTCAAAGCGTCCCAAATTTCTCTGGCTGAGGTCTTATCACGCAATAGACAGAGCTCTTCTGGGGATACTATCAATGTAAGAGTTCCCCTTGCTTTGGAATCCTTAGCTTTCCATGCATCTGTAACTGGAACTGGGGGGGTTTCTGTAATCACCTCAAACAAACCCTCTTTCCGCAGAATTGCCTCTGCATACTGAACCCAGTCGGCATAATTTTTCTTGTTGAGCTTAGGAATCCCACAAGCATCCTGAAGGGCCATCATGACTCTGGCATTAGCCTTCAGCGTCATATATGCTGCTTTAAATCTTGCTGCGTCACTGCTGCAGCTGCTTTATTACAAAGGCACACTTAAAAGTTACTTCGATTTCCCCAGCATAGTGACTTGTGCCTGGGAGCCTTTTGCCTATTCCCGGCAAAACCGGCTTTAAAAGTTCAAAGTCCAGCCATAAAGCCATTAACTTGAAGCTGGCAGGCTGCCCGGAGCAGTAGCACATACCTCATCAATCACCTCTACGCGCAGAGCAGATTCCGTTCCGATCTGTTCCTCTGCATTCCGATCCTTTGCCGGCACTCCGATTCGACTTCTGGAGCCCATAACCACGTGTTGATTTAAGCAGAGTCTGTCGTGCCCAGCGGAAGGATGAGGAATACGTGCTGCATACTCTATATTGCTTTATTTACAGTTCAAAGCTGGTATATTACAGAAAGACATCTTGCCTCTGCCGGAGCAGAAAATGCATCCTCTCTCCTCGACAGCTCGGAGAGAATCACACAGTGAAAAACAGGAAACCAGTGTACGTCACATCCAGTCTCCCTTTCCCGTGAGAAACTCCAACAGTACAGACTGTGGAATGTAAACACCTGTCTCGTGACAAGTTAGCTGCACAGTGAACGAAAGCAGAAACCAACAGGCGCATGATGCTGGATGCGACACCAATGATATGGCCCTGCGTCCCGTTATGTAAATTGGGAAGGGGGCTTTCAACATCTTTCATACCCTCTACAAAACTCATTTTCCCCTGAAGCTTTGAACTTAACTGCATAGACCTCATCCAAAAATGAAACTAAGGTAGTATTCAATGTCCTTAGAGGCAAGGGAAATCTTCTGTTTTCTTGCATCCATCCCTGGTAAATCATCGTTCTTGCCTGTGTGTCTTTGTGCAACTAGTGATACAACCATGGATCATCATCATATACATTGACAGGAGGTATGGCAGGGGGTGTTGGTTCAATTTGCATTTTAATGCAATACCTAATTCACACATTCTGCATCTACAGTGAACTCCAATGCAACTAGCCTTCAAAATCAACACTTCTACAGAAGTTGTGGTAAAAATTTCCATTTTTTAAAAGTGTTCAATAAGGAGTCTTGTTCGGCAAAAAATATGCACAGAACTGCAAACTTTTGCGAAAATAATATGCAAAATACATTATATATGGGAAAATGGCATATAAAAATGTGTACATTGGACAAAATTGCACACAAAATGTATATATTTATAGAAATGCACATTAAAATGCTGACTAATTTTGATGCAAACTGGTGTGGTGATCTGAAATTAAGATTGGAAAATAAGAAGATGAAATTGACTAATCCATTCATGTGCAATTGAGAGTGCTGCCATTAGTGATGCTTCACAGTGGCATCATGTGGGTGAAATAATTTCTCCTCGCTCTCCCTGAAGAACTGCTTATGCCTGACTCTGCCATTATACTCAAACCAGCCAGAGAAACATTAGCTGGCACTCGGTGGGAAGCATTCTTTAAAAATTGCACGAAATGAATGGGAACACTATTTATTCCAAAGGGTAAGAGATTTATCTTAAGAAGCATCACCCAAAATGAAAGCCTTTGTCTCTCACCACCTGCGGCGTAAGCGATACCAGAGCATTATTTCCAAAGTGCTTGCTTGTTTTGGCGATAGTACATGATTCATCGTTTATGTAGCAAAGCAAAATGAAAGTGAGTAATAATCAGAGCCTGGTCTGCAATATTTTCCTTCTCTTTCGAAACAGGAGGGGAAAAAATAAAGATATTTAAAGACCTGTGACAACAGAAGCACTGAGTAGATAAACCTGCATTTTCACAGCTCTGCAGAAACTTAAAGTGTACCAAATTGGGAGAAGCACACAAATAAATGTCTTAGTAAATACAAAGGAATGGTACATTTCTCTGGTTCTGATCATAAGCATTCCTCTCTTTCAATTTGGCCCCATTTTCCCTTCTCCCCAGCTTTCTTATATGTCCCTTCTTTATTTGTTTCAGGTACAATATGTCTGAGCTGAACTTTTAGCTTGGCGGGGTATTATGTACTAAGTTGAATAGGATCCAAAATGCAGCAATCTGATTGGTCCTAGAAAAATAGGATTCAGAATGCAGCAGTCTGATTGGTCCTAGAACAATGCAGCAGTATGATTGGTCTGCAGGAGCCACCCAATCCAGCTCCAGATGGAAGTGAATCCACAACCTGATTGGCCTACAGGAGAATTCCAGAATTAGCCAATCACATGCAGCCCATTGTGTAAATAATGTATATAAAGCAGATACTTTGGGGGGAACTTTCATTCCTCCTCACCACTATGAGCTGAATAAAGAGCATGAAATCCACTCTCGACTCTGAGCATATTTCATGGGGGCACCCAAAATGAGGTGGAGGATTGTTACAGTAGGCAAAATGTTATAGATTTCAGAGGGTCGTACTGATGTAGGTGAACAATGGAAATAAGAACATAAGAAGAGCCTTATGCTGGATCAGGCTGGTGGCCCCTTTAGTCCAGCACCCAGTTCTCACAGTGGCCAACCAGATACCTGTGGGAAACCCTCAAGCAGAACCTGAACACAAGAACACTCTCCACTCCTGTGTTTCCAGCAACTGGAGGCTGGATAATTTAGCTGGCAAAGCATGAGACTCTTAATCCCAGGGTTGTGGGTTCAAGGCCCAAGTTGAGTCAAAGATTCTTGAATTTCAGGGGGTAGACCAGATGGTGGTCCCTTGCAGCTCTACAATTCCATGGTTCTATGGTAGTTAGAAGCAACCACTGCTTTCAACTGTGGAAGTAGAGCATAGCCAGAATGACTAATAGCTATTGACAGGCTTCTCCATAGTTTGTTACTCTCTCTGTCTCTCTCTTTCAAAAGTCTTATTCTTGCTGGTGGTGTCAACACTCCACATAGCAGTCACTGTTAATTGATTTATTTAGGCAATTTTTACACCACTTCGTATTTCAGAGAAAATCTCCAAGCTTCCTAAAATATCACAAATTAAATACAACCCACCCACCCCCCAAAAAATACAGTTAAACATTCCACATTTTAGAGCAGACCAGATAGCACTTAGTTAATGAATTCTCTTAAACATCAATATAGTCTGAAACAGTTAGCATATGGTGACCATGGTAACCACTATAGATCCAAAATACAGCAGAGAGCACCCAAGGAAATATACAGTGAAATATTTGTGGGTAGCAGCAGCACTCTAACTTCTGTTGCTATCTCCTCAACTTAAGTGCACACTAAAAGTTGGGGGCAAAAATTGCATACGCCCGAACCCTAACGTTTCCCCATAGGGGAGTTGCTGCAACCCCTTGGAACCTCTTTTCTGAACCTTTGCTAGTCCTACAATATCCTTTTTGGGGATGAATGGATGGAATGATGGATACAAAAGAAAAAGAAAAGGTAGCATATGAATCTATTACATACATAAAACAACTTTAAAATGATAATTTTATAAAAATAATACTAGCATAATTAGGGGCTTTTTGTTTTGTTTTTGTTCTTGTTTATATTATGTAACTTGTGTTTTTGTTTTGTTATTTTATTTTATTTTTGAATTTACATGCTGTGAACTGCCCTGAGATCTTTGGATGAAGGGTGGGATGCAAAACAAACAAACAAACAAATAAATAAATCCTCTCTATATGTAATGACATTGACAAAATTGAATACACATTAAAATCCATTTCAAAATATATATTTTTTTGTTGCAGCATATCATAAAAAATAATTATACCTTCTGAAAATATGTTCATATTGGTGCTCTGCATTCTTGATCTACCACTGAAGAAGACTTGTTAGTTGGAATGTATCTGACTTTAGAAAATATTTGTTTCAAAAAATTGCACATGTTCTTTCATTTTAATTGGTGTGTGTGTGAACTATTTGGTATGATTTGTGAATTCTCTGCCATGAGAACTAGCTTTCTTCATTATTGATGCCCCACACATTGGGATCCACTAGTCTTGAAGGTGTGGGAGAGATCCACACCCACCCTTAATCAACTAAAAAATGGCCAGTAACTGACCACCCTGATTTATAACCTGCTGAAGCCCAGGACTTTCTTGAGAATGCTCATCAAAACAGAGCTGCTAGCTTTTTCAGGAAGGGGTGTTCCGTGCATTGCAACAAACTACATTTGATTCCATCAGGGCTAAACCTAATAGCTACAAAGTGACATAACTTATCTTTTAACCTTGACTCTTAGTCTCAGACAAGTGCAGCTGTTGAGAACAATTTCATTAAAACTGTGCCATGTTGTCTTGCCTTTCACAGCCATTCCCAACATGGCTTCTATTCACATCAAACATTGCCTTTGATACTCACACTTACACAAAGAACCACTTCTGTTTATCCAGCAAAAGAGCCATCAGGGGGCCAAGAGAACCTCACCAGTCAGCACCATCAAAAAGAAATTGACTCCCCCCCTCATCCTATACCCAATACACGAAGGCCAGGTAGTTTTTCCTTACTAACAATCACCATATTCACTCATCGAGTTCACATTCTCAAGGTTCTCATAGACAGGAGGAAGAATTCTTTCCAATCCTTTACAATGGGACTACAGGATGTGCCTGTAAACATGCCCTGTTGTGGGGAGGAAATTGGTTTTTCCTACCAAAGGACATCCTTGTCTGCACTATATTTTGATTCGGTAAACATGTTGATTTATTGTTTGCAGATCTTCCAGTTTGTTATATTTTAAATGAATATAACATTTCCCCCAACCAAGCTTCTTTTACTGAGTCTTCTTTATGGGTATGTTGGCAATGACACCCATGAGATATAAAGCCCATCTGATCCCATGCAGAGTCAGGGCATCTCAACGGCTCATCTAGAAGGAACAGTGCCACTAGAAGTTAAAATCAGACAACATGTGAGCCCAGAGATGCCTCCAGAATGCAGTAGTAATAGGGACAGCTTAGGGAGTGCCTTATACCGGGTCAAACCATTGGTCCATCTAGCTCAGTGTTGTCTACACAGACTGGCAGTGGCTCTCCAGGGTTTCAGACAGGAGTCTTCACCAGCCCTATATGGAGATGCCGGGAATTGAATCAGGGAATTTCTGCACGCAACGCTTATCCTCTGCCACTGACCTACAACCCTTACTCAATGGAGGAACTCATAGCAACATAGAAAGGTGTCTTATACCACGTAAGACCATTGTTTCCTCTAGCTTAGTATTGTCTCCTTTGATTGGCAGAGGCTCTTGGGGGTTTCAAAAGGGACTGACTGGAAATGCTACAGATTGGTTCAGGGAATGACAAGGCGAAGCCCTCCCCCTCCCATTGGCAAATGTCCCAGTGGCATCATAAAGCGTCCAATGAGACCAGAGTTTTCACTCTGCACTTCTTGCCTCTTCTAGATGAAAGAGGCCCAATGGGAAAACTTAGCTTGAGGGACCACTGAAGCTAGAGCCCACATTTCATGACCAGTCCTTCAAAGCTGTGCCTCTGACCTCATTGAGGAACCAGACCTAGCCCCCCCCCCCACTTATCAGAGACAACTGCTTGACTAATAGCTTCTTATTCTTCTGGATTAGAAAAAATCTTAATGATTATCATGCAAAGGAAGCTTACAGAGATAAGATACTAATCAGTCTGACTTGGCTTGTCATTGCTCATGGTTATAAACCTATTATAAAGAATGAATTGCTGGAACAGAACTCTCCCCCTTCCTACTCCTCCGCCCTTCACCAGCTTCTCTTCTTTCCCTAAAGCACTAGTCTCTTACAGCATTAGTAAGTGATGGTGTTGCTACATACTGTTGCCTTGCTCCATCTGGGTTGCACTTTGCTACTAGCTAAAGATATGATAGTGACATCCACACAGTAAATAAGGACTTGCAAGCAGTTTCTTTTTGAGAAGGGATACTTAATTGATGCATATCTGCATCCTCAAAGCAACTGTTGGCCTTTTAGGCTGGGATTTATTCAAGACACAGTTTCACAATGACCTTTCCTCCTACCCATTGGATGGAGAACAACTTAACATGGCAGATAAACAAGGAGTAACTTTGAGAGAAATCACAAGACTGTTGGGTGAGTGATGAGTCTGTGTTAAGTCTCTGGGAGACTGTGTTGCAAGGAATGGTAAAGGACCAAGGCAAATGTTTGGTACAAGGTGGGGTGTGGGCAATGGTGGACCTAAATTTTGGGGGCCCTGAAGCTTGAACTGTTATGGGGCCTCCTTCAATGCGGTTGTTTACAACAACCTTTATAGCATCTGTGCTACTGACTCTCAAACTCTGAGATTGTTGAAATACAGACAACAAAAATTAATCAATTTGAGTTGTGTGACTCTAATTGGGTCTATTAGACCAAAAATGTTTAAGCAGTGTGGACTAAAGTTGATTCTGGGGCCCAACCAGGATTAGGCACCCTGAAACCTAAACTGCAATAGTTTTATAATATATCTGCCCTGGTGGCAGGGTGTGGGTGGGTGGGTATGTGGGTGGGTATGTGGGTGGGAGAGAGAGAGAGAGAGAGAGAGAGAGAGAGAGAGGTAGAAGGCAGATTTACTGAGCTGGGGAATGGGCAGAGTGAAAGTTTTGGCCTCTGTGATGGGTCAGCATTTCCTAAGTCAAGGTAGAGACTGGGAGATGTTTAGTTTTATTGGGAATTGCAGAGATGCTAAAATAGGGTCAGAGCATTTGTATCAGAAAGGGAGATTTTCACAACTGGTTTAATCCCAATAACTGTCCCATCAACATATGAACCACGTGAGCTTTTTGGAAGAGAAGAGTGATGTCCATGTTGTAGCAACCATAGGACTGGGCTGAAATACCCCCAACTATATGCCCCAATTTACAGGCAACAAACAGCCTTCTACCCTGCACCCTTTAGAACATGTTTTTTTTTGCAGGGGGGAAGAGAATGCAGACAAGAGCAAAATGTTTGACCTATTTATCAGGGCATCACTTGCCCTTCCTACTTGGGGCCACACACAAACACATCTACTTACAACACAGAAGATATGAGAATTGGGGTAGGATACACCACACATCCATGTATCCCATCTCTGGGTAGGCTTCAGGAATCATCACGTAGCCAATGCAAAATGATGGCAATGTGCTGTCACAAAGCCAAAGCAAGGCAAAGCCATGTCAGGAAGCAAAACCAGGATCCAAGTGTTGCACCAGCAGCACGGTAGCAACACTGATGCTACTCAGGCTTTGCACAAAGGTTTGGAGACCCCAAAGCTTTGTTGCAGCCCATCTCTTGTGAAAAATCAGATGCTTTTCACTTTTCAGCTAAAGGCAGGTGGGTCAGGCTCAAAAAGAACCAAAGAACCCCTAAAATAATCCAAGGGAGGGAAGAGCAGACTTCATTCCAGTTCCTGGGGGTGGGGGAAATCATTGCTGCTCAGTCTACAAAGAGCTGAATTTACCAGAAAGGTTCTTGCTCCATGACAACGGCCATGTAAACATCCACTCTCAATGTGTCATGTACCGCATCTGTTTTTTTACATCCTTGCTTCAATTAAGGATTCCAATTCAGTGTGTGCATACACACGCATACACACACTAACTGTTTATTATTCTACACAATGGTGAAGCATCAATTATCCACGGGAACATTTTAACCTTTTGTTAAAAATAACTGACAGTAGCTAATCTGAGGTTTTAAAAGATAATTTGGGTGTGCTGTTAGGCTTTCTCCAACAGCTTTGAGAAGCGAGATCATGGTGGGATGCAGTCGCAGTGGCTGGTTTCTTTGCTTGTATAATTTGACAAACATGGAAAAACAGCACACAACAAAGAATTTGTTTGTTTGTCCACAGCATCTGGTTTTCAAGAGTATATGGCCTCTGACCGTGCAGGGTCCAATTTAGCTATTGTGACTAAGGGTTGCTGACAAACCTTTTCTATGAGCCCTGTTGTATGAGACAAAAACAACACACAGTGTCCAACCACATGCCTCTGGGAAGGCCAGAAACAGGGCATGCAGACAATAGTCCTCTCCCATGGTTCCTCAGCAACAGGTACTTGAAGATCTACTGCCTCCGAACTTTCCACACAGTCATCACAGTATCCTTTTTAAAGGCATCCAAGCCAAATCTGCATCTCCTGCCAGGAAATTCCATAAGGCACTGTGGAATGCTGCGCAGATTTACTTAGAAGCAACCCCCAATGCATCCTAATTAACTGGGATTAGGATTGCATCCTTAATTTCACATGGCCATAGCTATATCAAGGCTCCCTTGCACCTTTGGTAAGGAGTTGTATTAGTGCCACCCCACCCCACCCCCACCATTCCTTGTGCCCTTGGCAAAGGGGTGTATCAGTGCTTCCAAAGCTGGGAGAGACCATGTACCAGAAACTCAAATAGGTTGCTTTTGGTCACCTTTTGTGCTTCACCAGTGACTTCTTCCATGGCCATCGGAGTCAATCTGCACTGCCTCCCCTCTTCCTCCTCAATTGGCTCACCTGTTTGCCTTTCTGCCTCCCTCCCTCCCACCACTCACTGCCTTCTCTGCTAGCCACTCCTGATGGAGTGGAAAGGTGTGGGTTTTGCACCCCATTGGGCCTGCACCCTTAGCGAGGGAGCAACCTGCCCAACCCCTAGGTACACCCCTGCACACAGTGTGACCTTTTCCCCCTTTTGTAGGCCCCAAAGAGTCTGACAATCAGTCTTACTGAAATGCTCAGGATGCGCTTTCCAATTTGCTTTGGGAAAGTTGGGTAAAAAAACCTCAAGCGAACAAACCTGACACAGCACTTTTGTTAATTTGTCAGAGGCAGATGAAAGATAGCCCAACTCCACTCAGTCCCAGCTAGGGATCTTCCTCCATTGTGTATCTCAAAACGTTGTACATGCCCATCGGCAAAATGTTCTCTGACATCCTCCTAAGATTAGTTTTCCAGTTACCTAACGACGGTTCAATTTAATTGCCAAAAAATTTCTCCTAGAGGGGGAAAAAAGGCAACAAGCAATCTATAATTTTGCATAAATGCCTTATGGCCAATTCCAATTTGTGTTTAAATAAACCAGAAATGGCATCCTGCTGGCCTAGCCTCATTAGCACATTGCCTATAGAGCAATAGCCATGCAATATTAATACATGCTGCATGGCTCCCCTTTGACAAGACTGTATCTTGCAAGTATTTAAAAAGAAAACACATGTTGATAACCAGCAATCAAGACCTCTGTTTTTGAACCTCATTATAAGGGCTGAATTAAGGGTAGATGTGGGTGCTATGATTGAACCATTTATTAGTTCCACATCATGCAGAAGAGGGGAGTTGGGACCAGACATAGTTTTAACTATTGCTGCCTGA